GAAGATTGGCAACAGATGTTAGCTCAGGGCCAATCTTCCTCACCAAAAAAATAAAGAAAAAGAGGGAGCAGGGGAAGTGAAGCAAATGTGGCAAAATCTCATAATTATTGACTCTGGGTGACGAGTGTGTAGAGATTCTTTGTGCTAGTCTCTCTTACTTTGTGCAGATTAGAATTTTTCATCAATGAAAATCATTTTATTGTATATTCTCTGCAGTAGAGTAGCGTGACTAATATTCTAGTGAAGACTCATCACTAAACTTCGAGTGTTGCTGATAGTAGGATGTAAGTGGGATGATCTATGAAAGACTGTTAAAAACACAGCACAGAGATGACCATGCACACTTGACATTAAAGAAAAGTTATCTAACCAGGAAACTGAAATTATAGCAGAACTTTTCTGATACTTCTTCTTTTAAAAAAGAGTGACATTGATTTAAAAAAAATGAAAGGGGGCCAGCCCGTTGACGTAGTGGTTAAGTTCGTACATTCCACTTCAGCAGCCCAGAGTTCACCAGTTTGGATCTCAGGCATAGACCTACGCACCACTTATCAAGCCATGCTGTGGCAGGTGTCCCACATATAAAGTAGAGGAAGACGGGCACGGATGTTAGCTCAGGGCCAGTCTTCCTCAGCAAAAAGAGGAGGATTGGCAGCAGATGTTAGCTCAGGGCTAATCTTCCTCAAAAAATATATATACATATTTGAAAGGAGGAATCTATATAAATTACCTTAAATAGCTTTCAGGCACCCTCCACAAGGTGTATAAAGAATATAAATTCGTATGTGAAAAAAGTATCATTTCTGCATACATATACACACACTACTTATTTTCAAATATATGAGGCTGCTTAATGTGGTTAACAAAATGCAAATTAATTCAAAAAGCGTTCCTGAATTCATTGTAGCTTTTTGCCATGATATACATTTTCTTAATGCGTGGATACCAAAATTATAGCTACTATTATGTGGAAATCTCTGAAATAGTTTGAGTTTTATTTAAACTTCAGAACCTCCTCCCCACTCATGGTGCTTGTGTTCTTTCTGTGTGTTAATGTGTGTTTGCAGGGGTTGGTGTGTGCTGGATTGGCTGACATGGCCAGACCTGCAGAAAAACTCAGCACAGCTCAGTCTGCTGTTTTGATGGCTACAGGTGAGTTAATGAGCATCTTCTATGTTCCATAGAGGACATTTGGTATTTTTGTTTTGTTTTACATCAGTTTATTTAACGGTATATGTTAATAAGGTATGTGTTTGAAATACATATACACGCACTCACACAAAAGCATTAACAGTGTTGTCTCTAGGAAGTGCTTAGATCATAGACGAAGAGGGCAGAGGGGGTTCCTGTGAAGAGCTGTCTGCGGGGGTTTGTGTTTTCAAGTTTGCCATGAGCATATTTTCGTAAGGAGAAAAAAGTTACACTTAATATTCATTTGCCCTATAAAGATTTCCCTTTGATGTAAGAACTGTAACACTGAATTATGGCAACTTCATTAAAGACTCAGTATAGCATTTCTTTGGCCTTTATCCTACATTATGTTGTTATAGTCTTATTTATAATCATTTTACTCGAATATTAAATGTTCAGATAAGATTGACAGTAGTACTGGTACTTTTCTTTAAAAATATTTTGTTTCAACAGGGTTTATTTGGTCAAGATACTCACTTGTAATTATTCCAAAAAACTGGAGTCTATTTGCTGTTAATTTCTTTGTTGGGGCAGCAGGAGCCTCTCAGCTCTTTCGTATTTGGAGGTAAGCCCACCAAAAGCGTGGAAACATCTGCCTCAGGAGCCGCCCAGACAGCAAGACATTTTTTAAAAATAGATTTACATATGATGCTAAGATGAGATGTGCTGAAGCAGAAATTTAACATTTCTAGAAAAGGTGGGAGTCTAAGTTAAAAGTGTCAAGCAGTATATTGCCTAGGCTTTGAATCTGCATTCTCTAGATGTCTAGCCCTTTCACAGAATTTCCTTTACTAAGACAGCATATATAATCTATGATGCATTAAGTAATTTTCTGCATGAACCTTTTTCAGTCACTTTCAATTGTGTGCGATAAAGTGGGCCTTCAATGTACAGCTATGTGCTCTTGGAAATGCTATCTAGCTGAGGCTGCTGGTTTCACTGGGAAGTGTTCCATGAGCACTGGCAATGCTAACTGTTTACTCAGGAATGAACATTCTTTGTCAGTGACCGGTTGGCACTGTGGTGAGCTCATCTTAGATGGAGGCTCTGCTTTGTTTGAATGGTAGAACCTTCCTAAATTATAAAACCTTGTCATGAACAACAGCTTTCTTGGCTAAAAAAGTTGAATCATCTCAATAAAGAAGTAAAAAGTATTGACTTATAATTTACCTTCTTTTCAGAAGGCATTCTTCTGCACAATATAGTACATTTTAATTTCATTCATCTTTATCATCCCTAGCTTTTTTTTTTTTTTTTTTCCTTTTTCTCCCCAAAGCCCCCCGGTACATAGTTGTGTATTCTTCGTTGTGGGTTCTTCTAGTTGTGGCATGTGGGACGCTGCCTCAGCGTGGTCTGATGAGCAGTGCCATGTCTGCGCCCAGGATTCGAACCAACGAAACACTGGGCCGCCTGCAGCTGAGCGCGCGAACTTAACCACTCGGCCACGGGGCCAGCCCCTATCATCCCTAGCTTTACTAGTAGCTTTATAATTTAATCCTTTCATAATCGTCTAGCACACAATTGATGGATGAATAAATAACTCACTCATTCTACAGTATGCCCTACAATTATTTTTAGGGCTTACTTATATCAATATGAACTTTGATTTGTAGTGATTTTATTCACAGGGTAATTTTCTCATGTACCATCTCATTTTAATCTTATATTAACTCATATAGTAGAACTGAGAGAACGCTAAGTGTCACGTTTAGAACTATTATTTCTTTGTTTTTTAAAGATTGGCACCTGAGCTAACAACTGTTGCCAATCTTTTTTTTTTTTCCCTGCTTTTTTTCCCCAAATCCCCCCCAGTACATAGACGTGTATTTTTAGTTGTGAGTCCTTCTAGTTGTGGCATGTGAGATGCCGCCTCAGCGTGGTGTGATGTGCGGTGCCGTGTCTGCTCCCAGGATCAAACCGGCGAAACCCTGGGCCACCGCAGCAGAGCGAGCAAACTTAACCACTCGGCCCTGGGGCCAGCCCCAGAACTATTATTTCTAATATCAGAAATTCAGATATAGTTAGACAAAAGAATTTTTGGCACCTTGCAGTTACAATAATAGATTGAGGGTGTAGGGAAAGAGGGAATTCCCCCTCCCTTTCCCTTAAGGTTCTTATGCCTGGTCAAATAATTAAAAAGGCAGGTTAGCAGAGGAAAATCAAACAAAGTTTAATGACATGTATACATGGGAGAAACTCAGGCAAAACTCAGCAACTCACCACAATGGCCAAAGTTGCCCCCTTAAATATCATCTCAACTAAAGGCAAAGGAGGATGTTGGGATAGTGGTTTGGAACTTCAAAGGAGAGGAAGGCCATTCACATAGAGATGGAAAAGACAACTGTTTCCTGGGCCGCCTATCGAGAATGTGGCCCCGGGAGACAGGGTTTCGGTAAGATGGGAAGATGGACTGTTGGTGCCTTTCCGATCACACCTATTTTACATTGTACTATAGTTATTTCCTGGTTAGCTCCTTCCTGGATCAGGCCTTCTCTGTTAAATTCTTTCAGGCAATTTGGGGGAAGGTCGAATATTCTTCCTGAGTCTTCTGAGCCTTAATTGTCTCCAGCTCGAAATAATCCACATATCCGAGTGACGCATCTTGGGGCAGCCTGCCCTAAACTCCATCAGGAGATTTAATTAGAAATATAAATGATGGACTCTCTGGAGCATTTAGGAAAACACTACTGGGTATTTGAAATTAGGACCTTTTGAGAAATCTAGGAGGTATGGTATGCTTCATGGAATAAGTTCCTTCTTATGCTTACACTATTCTCTACTCTGCTGTAAGCTGAGAAGAATGGTAAATGAAGCCCTGAGAAGGGAAAGGCTCTGGGGCTTTGTGGTTAATTCTTCTTTGGATTAATGAGAATTGAAGCCACAGTCCCTTGCTTCAATAAACTTAAGTGTTTACAACTTGCTAACCCAGTAGCCTGCTTGCATCAAGGAAGTATATCTTATTTTCAGTGATTAGATAGGATCCTTTTCCCAATTGGTGTTATTCTCAGGAAAGATTCATTGTAAGTATAAAATAAAAAGTTCTAGATGACCACATTTTGCTAAATTTTATACATATGGTCACATATTTGTCATACTCTTGTATAGTTCAAGAATGAAATACTCATTAAAATAATGCTTTTGTACAGGAAACTGTATGTCAGTTAAGTTGTTAAAACTTTTTGGCCATTGGAAGCCAGATGCAAATGAAGTCCATGGGTCACTTCCCTCCTGCCTGTGTCCACCTGCAAGCCCTGGAGGAGATTGTATTGACAGCTGTACAGCCCTGGCTAGGGAGAAACAGATGGGATAGGCTTCCCTTCCCTTCTCATTATAATTGATCTGTTGGGATTCATGATTCTGTTTCTTTCTCTTTTCTTTATAGATATAACCAAGAACTAAAAGCCAAAGCAAGCAAATAAAAGAGTTCCTGATCGCCCGAATGGTCTGGATTGGACATAACCGCTGGGACCTAGTTGGATTTATTATTTGATTATTGATAAGGTGATGCTAACTGTGCTAAATTTGGAAGGCATAAAAGAAATCTAACTGTAACTGGGAGTTAGTAATTGATTCAACAAAAAATAAAGCACACTTTTAATAAGTGTCTCTTTACATGTGACGTAAGGACCTTATCTATGGATATTAGGAACATTTTTTCTACTATTTGCCCACAATAAATCATACTTGCTCATATGTAACACTGGTCTCCTTCTGTTCTAGTCAACCAAAGTGTGGATATATAAGAGCACACACATTCAAGTGAGTTGAAAGATGGTTAAGAGTTTAAATAATCTGTTGTACAGTTTTCAGGAAAGGGACAATTTCCCCATTCCTTCCTTGGTTCTTTTGGCTGGTTGAATAATTAAAATGACATACGACAGGTTAACAGGAGAAAATCAAATTTAATACGTGCACACAGGGAATTCACATAACATGAAAAATTCCAAAGACGGTCAGGCAAAATGAGATATGTATGTCATTCTGGACTAAGGAGAAGGGGGCAGAGACCTGGGAGTTCAAAGGGGAAAGGGGCAATTTACAGGAAGGAAAAAAAGAGTTACTCTTTGGTAAACCGAGTTTGCTGGGGCTGTCCAGAAGCAATGGGCTGGAGAGAAGACGGATCAAACAGGCCTGGAGAGGTTCCTCCCTCTCTGCCACACCTAGTTCATGTTATAGTATAGTTGTATAAAGTGATATCTCCTTCCTTCAACTAATCCTCCAACTTCTTTTTAAGCAGTTAGGGGGAATATCAAAGGTTCTTCTTGAGTCTTTTGGGCCTTGATTATTTTTAGCTCAAAATCATCTACATGCCAAAGTGGCACATCTTGGGGTGACTTGTTCTGAGCCCCTCCGCAGTGAAGGATAGTGAGTCGCTGGAAGTGAAGGGAAATAGAGCTGACAAGAGTGAGAAATGGGTAGTGGAATGGCTAGCAAAATGACTTCAGATTTTAAAATCTTTTAACTTGAAGAATCTTGAAGAATTTTTTTCCTGCATATTGTGTGAAATTCTTTTAAGCTACAGAATAACAAAGGATTTCTGTATTTTCGAATTACATTCAGTAACTGATATAATGTGGCAGAAAAGGCTCTAGAATCAGCCAGACTTGAATTTGAATCCCAGCTCTAAGCCATGCTCTATGACTTTGGGCAAATTAAGAAAGTGTCTAGCAGAGTGCCTGGGACACAGCTGACTTTCTGTAAACGTTTATGACCTTTGTCCCCATTAGGAGGAGAGACTGGGCGTAGATTACTCCATACTGGAAATGACAGTCTATTTGATTTGAGATCCAATCTGGAGTACTGAACTTTCTTCTAAAAATCCTAGCAAAGCCTGTCCTGGCTAGAGCTGTAGCCAGAGGAATCAGCAAGGCAATTTAGTTCTGAATTTGAAGAAGCAAGTGAAAAAAGAATTTTTTGAATAATATACTATAACTGATCAAAATTTGGCAATTAGCTATTGAAAACCTTGCACTTTATCATTTATCCCTTCACTATAGTCCATCTTTGAGGAGGAAGGATTAGAGAATTTGACATAAGCAGAAGTGAAGAGGTCCTGGAGAGTCAAATTATTACTACTTTCTTTTCATAATCCACACTATTAAATTAGATTGTTTGGCGTGTATGTGCAAACGTGTATGTGTTTCCTACGGTTAAGCATTTAGGAGAAACATCTATGATGAAATATGGCATAGACACAAAAAGCTTTATTGACGTGTCTATGTTGAATTGGTGTTTTACTTCCTTTTCATTAAAACCGGGTCTTTTCTGTATGGGTTCTCCTAAGCCCAACTGGTCAGTGAAATTAATTGCAGTATTTAGATGCAATCACAGATAATCACCCTCTTGGCTCTCAGAAGTTCCATTGACAGACCACCATCTCATGCTTCCTGTCTGCCCAAAAACCCTCATCCATCCCATTATCGAATCTTAAAAATTAAACGGCTCTAACATGTATCCAATCGAAAACTCACACTGCCGTTTGGAACACAGCCCAGTGGTCAGTTTCACAACTACCCTCAAAACTTAGAATTTATATGCTAGAAATCCTTATTATGAATGTAGGTACTAAACCCCATAAAAATGCCTTTCACCATGGTACAAATCTCTTGATCAGTCAAGATGAATTCTGTATAAAAGTTCTCTAGGTCTTTATTGATGACTTCATTAGGTAAGTTTTCTCAATGCGGGGTCTGACCAGCCTGGGTTTCAACTCAACTCTGCCACACAGTAACTGTGAGACCTTGTTAACCTTTGTCTCTGAGATTTATCATGTTCCAGAGTAAAATGGAGATGATAATAGTACCTACTTCATAGGATTGTTGTAAAGATTAGTCAGATAATGTTTTAGCACAGTGCCTTATCCAAGGTGAGTATTAAATAAAATGTAGAAGGTTTCAGAAAATGGTAAGCTTGTTAAAAGTAGATCAGAAAAGTACCTTCTTAGACAAAGGAAGTTTTAATTTAGTTGCAGAAAGAATATGCTCTGTTAACCTATCTGCACGCCGTCTGACGTAGGAACAGTTGGAATTCCTCACGCTTCCACACATTAGAGCAGAGAGTGGGCTGCTTGGGGTGCGGGGCAGAGGCCATGGAGAATACTCAGTAAGAGATAAAGTCTTAACCTAATCTTTTGTTGTGGTTTGGCATTCGCTTCAAAGAAACATTGATCCAAAGTACATCAGTGCTGTTGTCTCTCCATGGTAAACAGATTATCTCTTTCAAGTTGTTAAAATGATGTTGGAAGGTTGAATCTTAACAAGGATTGACCTCAAGGCCCAGATTTCTCTCTGTAAAGCAAAGCAGTTTCTACCGGAGCTTGTTTATATAATGAAACAGAAATAGAAAACACTGGTATTTATTAAGACTGGTGTTCTCCCTAAGGAGTCTGTTTAATTATATGAGGTATGACTCTAATTATATTGACTAGTTTCCACGACACCAGAAAATGCACTCGACAATTCATTGAGCCTCTTTTCTTCCTCCCTTAAGACAGCTGTGCTGTACAACATTTTGAAACACACAGTAAATATAAGGCTGGACTTTATTTGAGAATGTCTGCTTGCTTTTTCAGTTCAACTTTTTAAAATTCAAGTCCTACATATGTCTCACTAACTGTGAATTGCAGTTGTGATAAACATAAAAACCGCTGGAAAATGAAAACATGATTTAAGCTGTTAGAAAATATGCCCCCCTCTTAAAACGCATTTTGCCAGAGTCACGGATTAAGAAACTCAAATCCAGGGCTACGTTGGATTGCAAGTTATCTTTGGGGTGAATTTGGTTAGAAGTGTGCACTTGACCAGTCAGAAAGGACAAGACAAGAATTTACCTCACACAAATGCTTGAAGATGAGTACGGAATGCATTCTAACTATATAGTCCTACTAAACGCCATAATCATTATTGACCAGAATTAGGTGTTTGCTTACTTAGGAGATAGGTGTTTTTATGATGATCACCTACCAACTATTGCCTAATTTCAACCACCTTCCATGTGGTCAGGGAAAGAGTTGCAAAAACTACGTTGGGGTCGTAGCAGTCTCCCTGACCCTCGCCCCACTTGTCCAGACAAGGGAACCTGGTACAGCCAGTCCTGTAAGAGCAATAGGCCACTAGGGCTGGTGGGGGAGGGGAGGGCAGTGCCAGCCAATCAGAAGCATGGTCAGTGCACGTGAAACAATGAGCTTCTGATGAGGGTGTGGCCAGGAAAACGGCTTTTAGACAAAACTGTCATTTTATGGGTCAGCTATCAACAGATATGGCACTTCTGCTGTCTTCAGAATAATAACCAGGCCCTTTTGCTGTTTTCTGCACTCCTGAAAGATCTAGTCCCTAATCTAGGCTCTGGCTTTTCCCCAGCCTTGGAGGAAGCGGAGGTATGTGGAAGTCTCAGTAGGAAGAATGGTTACAGAGCGAAAGATGAGGGCAACCGTCTGGGATTAAGATAGGTATTGGCGCTTGGAGGAAAGTGAGAAGGCCTTGGGCTAGGAATCATGGTTCAGCTTGTGTCTATCTCTGTGTCAATCTTTTAAACGAGGTTAGAAGCTTGAAGGCTTAAATGTTGCCTCATGCTGTGGATCGTGGATGCTCTGTTCTCCTAGCTTACTGTCTTTATTTACCTCTCTCCAGCATCTGATAGCAAATGCCCGCCATGTGAAGGGGGCGCTAGGAAGATGCTGTGGAGGAAAGAAGGATATGCAGAACATGATTTCCAAAGCAGAGAAACTTACAATTCAGAGGAAGACGTAATAGAAACACATCAATAGATAATCAAGGATATTTAAATCGAAAAGAAGGCATATAAGTTTATAGACACTAAGTGCCCTAAGAGCTCAGGGGAAAAACTGCCTTGGCTAGAGTGGTCTGGCAAGCTTTCCCGACAGATAACCCTGTCCCTTAAGGTTCAGAGTATCTCCTCCTGTGGACTCATAAAACCTGATTTTTTTTTTAAAAGATTTTATTTTTCCTTTTTCTCCCCAAAGCCCCCTAGTACATAGTTGTGTATTTTTAGTTGTGCATCCTTCCAGTTGTGGCATGTGGGACGCCACCTCAGCGTGGCCCAATGAGCAATGCCATGTCCGCACCCAGGATTCGAACAGGCGAAACCCTGGGCCGCCACAGTGGAGCGTGTGAACTTAACCACTCAGCCACAGGGCCGGCCCCCTGATTTTACATATTGGTGAGCAATTGGATGGAAACTGAAATCTATTAGAAGTGTCTAAAGAGATATTTAGGGAAACAATAAAAGACATAATTGATCTTTAATTTCCTTTTCATTTTTGGCTACCGCTGAATTTTCTTTAAGCAGAATGAAACTGTACACACTCTCCTTTCTTCAGGAAACTCTTTCTTGACATGTCTTTGGGGCTTCGTTCAGCTGCCTGCTCTTTTGCTCTGTGAGATATCCTCGTTCCTAAACACTGCCACGCTCCCTCGGTGCCCACTCACTGTTCAGCTCTGTTCTTGACTGAGATTGAATTGGCCAGATAATTGATGATGGCAGCACCATCAACACGCGTTGAAAGTGCTCTAAAATGCATCCTTTCTCTAGGTCATAAACACCCCCTAAAGTGTCATAAAACGTACACAGATGGGGTGTAGCATGGTACGGTAGAAAGAACATGGGCTTTCAAAGCCCCCAGACCTGCGCTTTCCAACTGTGTGACCTAAAACAAATTAATCTCTCTGAACTTCAATTTCTGTGTCTGTAAAATGACAGTCAGGCCTGCCTCTCAGTGCTGTTTTGAAGATTAAATGCAACCTATGTAAAATGCCTCACATAAAGAGGGCTCAATAAATTGAAATTACAATGTGATATGTGCCTGTACAAAGTAAATATCGTTAATCATTTTCTGCTGTGGCAGAACTTAAAGCAGTAGACTAAATCTTCTAAAATAGAAATTTTCTATTGTCTTCTCATGGGTGTTCATAAGGAAAACTCAGGTATTCGTTTTAGATGTCTTTGCCTCTTCAGAGCAGGAATAATTTCCCTGTTCTAGTCTCCCTTCTACATGTGTCATCTTAGTCTCCAAATGTGTCTACTTTCCTTGCCTAGTAATCATAAACTTAGAAAAAACTATCCAAGTCCTCAAATCACCTTATATTCTTTAAAGGTTTGACCCTGAGCTAACATCCATTGCCAACCCTCTTTTTTTTTTCTCCTCCCCAAAGGCCCCCCAGTACACAGTTGTATATTTTAGTTTGGGTCCTTCTAGTTGTGGCCTGTGGGATGCCGCCTCACTGTGGCCTGATGAGTAGTGCCATGTCCATACCCAGGATCCGAACCGATGAAAACCCTGGGCCACTGAAGCAGAGCGCATGAACTTAACCACTCGGCCACGGGGCAGCCCCTCAAATCACCTTATTTTTAAAACAATGGAATCTTAGCCATCATCTGATTGGTCCTTCCACTAAATGTAAAGATCACGCTACAACCTCACAGGCAGACAGCTGTATTGGCCTCTCACAAGGAAATTCAATAGTTCCTAAGACTGCCCAGTTGGAACTTTCATCTTTACCTTGTTTAAATTTGCCTCCCAGTGGTTGCCAGCCATTGATCCTAGCTGATCCTTTTGGAGCAACAGAACATAAACCGGACCCACTTTCCACACAGTGTTCAAACTAAAGCAAAATAGTCTGTACTGTGCCTGGGAGGAGGGTGTAAAACAGCTTATAGTGTCAACTGGTGGGCTAGATGTAGGGTTGCTAGATAAAATGCTGTATTGGGGATATATTTATATTTAAAAATTATTCACTGTTTATTTAAACTTCAGATTTAAGTGGATATCCTATACTTTTATTTGCTAAACTGGCAGTCTTACAAGTGGTAGCCAAAGGGAACAAGGTAGAGCTGGTCAATGAGCAGGAGCAGGCGTGGGGAGACCGGAGCTGCCCCTGCTCGGTCCTGCTGGGTCCTGTCCCGGTGCTGCGGCTGCTCAGCATGTCTGCGGAAGCCCCTGCCAAGCACCCTACCTGCAGAAACCATAGTATCAAGATCACCTATTCTTTGATAAACTAGCTTCCTCCACTGAGGAGAAAATGCCAACTTTCCTTTCCCTCTTCAACTCTCTCACGCATGTTATTCTTGCTCAGCCAAACCCAGCCCCTCCCTGAGGGAGGAAGTAGGCGAGTTCTTGGGTCAAATGCGGGGCCTGCATCGGAGTTTGCACAGGGGGCTGTGTCTCCTCGTTACTTCACAACTTGCACGTTTCAGTTCAAATAGTTGAAGACAAATACCATTTTCATCCAAATATCATCATCTCCTGACTTAACATTTCCAATCTCTCCCATCATTCCTCATGTTCCATAGTCGACAAACTTCAACTAAAATGGGCAGAACTAAACCCACTGCTCTGGATCAGATTTGATCACTGCTTATGTACCTTGAGATTGCATTGCATCCAAATGGCCAATAGACATGTGGAAAGGTGCTTAATTTCATTAGTACACCAGGGAAATAAACAACCACTCACCTACCAAGATGGTTAAAATTTAAGAAGACTGACAATAGCAAGTGTTGGCTGGGATGTAGAACTTCTGAAGGCTCATATCTTGCTTGTGGGGTATAATTTGGTGCAACCACTTTGGATGACTGGCAGGGTCTACTGAAGTTTAATGTATGTACAACCTATGACCCACCAATTCCACTCCTAAGTATATGCCCAAGCGAAATGCATAGACATGTTCACCAAAACATGTGTACAAGAATGCAGAATTATTCCTCACGTCCTAAACTGGAAACAGCCCATAGGTCAATAGCAGAATGGACAAACACTTTGTGGTATAATCAGGTAATGGAATACTACAGAGCACTTAAAGTGAGCAATTTATATACACACAACAACATAGATGAATATCACAGACATTTGAGAAAAAATCCAAAAAAATATGCACAGTACGATTCCATTTATATAAAGTTTAAAAAGTGGTAAAGGTGATCTGTGGTGTTAGAAATGAGGAGAGAGGTTACCTTTGGGGAGGGAGAGTGACTGAGAAATGGCATGAAAGGAGCTTCTGTGGTGCTGGTGACGTTCTGTAGCATTGGTAATGTCCTCTTTCTTGATGTGAGTAGGAATTACATGGATTTGTTCACTTTATAAAAATTCATTCAGCAATACTTTTATGAATTGTGCCTTTTTGCACATATGCTTCAATAAAAATGTCTTTTAAAAGATAGCATTGAATTCTCAGTGAATCTAGTTTTACACACCACACACTTATGCATTGCATTTTGTTAAAATTCTAAATATAGCACTTTTGCATTTATTCTTCTGAAATTCCCTCGTTATTTCAGTCAAGTAAGGCATTTTAAGATCCTGATTCTGTCACTCAGAGCATTGGCTCTCCCACCAGTTAGATCTTCATCTAAGCCCTCCGGGCCGCCCATAGAGGCTTCTCCTTGGGTCGACACTAGAACACGAATCAATATCCTCTAGGGAGGATTGCTAACCAGCTAAGTATATTTTTATCACTCCTATAATTTTGTATCTTACCCAAAGGATGTGAGAAATTTGGCCAAATGCCTTGTCAAAGTCAAGATGTACTTTATCTATAGCATTCTCTTGATTTAAAAGTGGGGCTGGCCTGGTGGTGTAGTGGTTAAGTTTGTGTGCTCTGCTTGGGCAGCCCTGGGTTCGTGGGTTTGGATCCTGGATGAGGACCTACACACTGCTCATCAAGCCAAGCTGTGGTGGCATCTTGCATACAAAATAGAGGAAAATTGGAAATACATACTAGCTCAGGGCTGATCTTCCTCACCAAAAAAAAAAAGTGTAGCAACTCTTCAAAGAAGGAAATAAGGCTAGCATGCTCTTGACTCTGAATCTATTTTGACTCCTTTTAATCAGCTCTTCCTGATCTAAGTGCTCGCATATTATCTAGTATTTGGAATATCACAAATATTCCAGCTCTCTCTCCCACTGCACATACGGTAGGATTGCACTTCCCCACTTACTTGAAATTAAACGTGTCTGCACAACTTGCTTTGGCCAACGTCATGTGAGTGGAAGTAAGGTATGTCACTTCCGGGAGGATACTTTAAGAAGGAGCCTGCCCCTTCGAATCCTCTTTTCCCACTGTCTTGGCAGCCAGAATGTCCCAGCCTGGGTCCCAAAGTGAAGGCAGCAACAGAGCAGAGCCTCAGCCACCTACAGTGACATGGAGCATGAGCAAGAAATGAACAAAAATAAACCTTTCTTATGTTGAGCCACTGAGGTTTTGAAGTGCTTTGTTAGCACTTCATACCCTAGCTTACATTGACTGATACATTGCATTTACCAGTCCGTGCGTCCTGGAACCACATGGAGCCTCATCTTTTGAAAATCAGAAGAGAATGTGCCCATCTCCAGTTTTCCACTCCATCTCTTGTTCTCCATTATTTTTTGAGATTACTGACATTTCATCTGTCAGTTCTTTTAGTGCTTGTGGATGTAGGTTATGTGGGGCTGGCTACTTGAATTTATTTAAAATGCCCGGGTGTTTTATCACTACTTTCCTATTTTGGACTTCAATTCCTTCTTAGAAATATTTATTATACTTTTCAATTCTCCACAGTGGAGAAGGCAGAAACAAACGAAGAGTTGTGTAATATACTATATTTAAGCTTTGTCCTTATTTCTCTTTTATTCATTTCCTTGCTTTCAATAAAGTCTAAAAATCCCTCTAGGTTTTCTTAACTTCAGCATTATTCCTAAGTCTTGACTTAATTTTGGGCATTCAGTTTTCTCACACCCTTCTTAAAAGTTCATATAACATTCACCAAGTGCACTATCTGAAATTATTCGCTGGGTTTACTTGTTATCTGTTGACTGTTCCTGGTATATGCTGTGGTTTTGATTGAGTTTTTAATGCTGGTTTTTTTTTTCCAACCTTAGTTACATGTTTCTCTATCTTTTCTTCCCTTCTTAACATTTGCGTTTACCGGGGCCTTTCCTTTTAAAGGTTGTCCAATACCTAATACTTAGACTCAGTTTTAGAGGTTTCTATACACTTTAACGTTTGTCTGTTAAATATACTCTTTTCCCTGATTTTTTTTTTTAATGCTTTCCTTAAGTCTAAGATACATGTCACCTGTCTCACTTTTTCCTTCTGACACTCTTGCGTATCCCATGTGACCTATCTCTGGTTGAAATCACGAGCCAGTTCCTCCCCGTTGCTCTAGACCTGTTCCTCCTTTTTCGCTGTCACCTGTTCCAGGAACTTGGATTGCGCTGAGAAAGTCGGAGACGCTCTTCCTGTTCAGGGTGCTAGAGTAGGATTTGCACAACATTCAAGCATTCAAGTGGCAGCATTTAATCGCCCTGCAGCTAAAGGAAGGCTTTAGAAAATCCTAGTTTTCTCAGAACTAACTAGGTAACAAATTAAAATTTCAACATTTCCTTCCACTTCCGGTTTAAAGCTTTACACACACACACCTTTGAATTCTTTCCCTCTGTATGTTTGACTATACCTTAATAGACTTAATCTCTTGCTTTTATATAATACTCCACTTTGCTACTCGCCTTTATATAAATATTCACACACATAAACTCACGTCTACACTTTTTTAAATTTTCAAAACGGAGGGAGCAAAGATGAGAGATCAAAAGGGAGGGAGAAGGGAAGAGGAAACTCGAGAACAGAAGGAGAGGGGCCCAGACTGACTAACAGTGCTACCGGCCCCTCTACTCCAGGAGTTGCACATGCAGGGCTCACCCCTTCATGACAATGGATGGGCCCATTCAGCTACCTTCTTTCACCCCATCCTGTTTGTAATGGCGCTCACCTACGCAACAGCTGTTCAAGGTTGTTCTCCTCTGAGCAGAAAACTGGTCCTTTTGAAGAGTGACTCGACAAGTCAGACACGGTCCCACTCAATCACTGAAATAACCAGTCCACAGGTTAGAACAAGACAAGTGGAGAAAAATAAATAGGAAAGTGAGCGAATGAATAGAAGTCAAATCTCCTCCATTCTCAGCTTTTCTTTCCAGCAGGTCTGTTAGGGGACTGCTTGCTGTGACCGTAGAATCCTGAACATTTGCCTTGAACATGAACGCTCGAAAGGGAGACTCCCAGGACCGGGCCATCGTCAGAATGGCAGCTCATCTGCCAGATCTCATTGTCTATGGAAATTTCTCCCTAGAGCGACCTTCTGTGGATTATTTTGACGGAGTCTTGATGTTTGTTGATATTTCAGGCAAGCACAAAAAGAGTGTTTAACATGGGTGAACAGCAGGCTCATGTCAGAATTCACACACACAGCTTGATTGCACAGCGGGGGGCCATTTTCAGCTTTTGCGTCCTTAGAGCAGAGCTTCCTACTGAGAAAAGAGGCGGGAGCAGAGCTAACCTGTGGGCCTGGCTCTCTCATCTTCCCTTATCCAGCACGTCCAGTTTGGGTAAATCTTTAAGATGCCCAAGTCCCACGCCTGGAACTTCAGGCTTCTGTGTCCCTGCCCCGACTTCACTGACGTGACCCCCAAGCTCCACTCACATCCTAGGCAAGACTGACCTCAGCAAACGATCTCTCCAGAGGTGGTTTACGTCGTAACAGTAAACTCACCACCTCTTCAACAGCGTTCAAATTTTGTGTGTTTTCGTTACCATGGAAGGGAAGATCTGTACCCAGTTAAAGGGCTTGTAGTCACCCCTGTACGAATTGAGAAATTTGGAGGGAAGATATATCTGGCACCTTTCCCTGACCCCTAAAATAACAAACATAGGTAGAAGAGGCTGCATATTTGACACTTGACCATCCACAAAGGCCATTAAGAAGAAACCCTGCCAGTTCTGAGAAGCTGAGGCCCACTGCTCTCCAGCGTGGTCCTCTTCTCCTGGTTCTGCTTGGTTCCTCCAGGCAGCCAGGGCAACCAGCTGCATGTTCATTACAGGTTTTACTGCAATGACCGAGAGGTTCAGCACAGCCATGTACATGGACCGAGGGGCCGAGCAGCTGGTGGAGATCCTCAACCACTACATCAGTGCCATCGTGGAGAGTGAGTGTCCCCGCAGGCTTCTGACTCCAGAATACTGCAGTTCACTGTTTTTCTGTTTTTGTTGGTTATAAACTGATAGAGTACTGTTGCTTAGCACTCTTCATTTTCCCCATGAAATATGTATGAAACCAGTCTTCTTTGAAATGTGATACAGTACAAGTGAAGCAATGTAATTGTTATCACTAATACAGACTGTTCGAAGGAAAGAATCTTTTGCACTAGTTGAGAGACTGAAGTAGAAACTGCTTTTAAGAGAACTGTAGCAGTCATGCTTTTAGGCATATTCAATAACTCAAAAGAGCTAGCATCACGACAACCAGGACATAGTATTCAAGAGAAGGCTGTCTGAAGAGATGTTTGTTTTCTTTTTTTGAGGAAGATTAGCCCTGAGCTAACAACTGCCGCCAATCCTCCTCTTTTTGCTGAGGAAGACTGGCCCTGAGCTAACATCCATGCCCATCTTCCTCTACTTTATATGTGGGACGCCTACCACAGCATGGCTTGCTGAGTGGTGCCACGTCCGCACCAGGGATCCAAACTGGTGAACCCCGGGCTGCTGACACAGAACATACGCACTTAACCGCTGCACCACTGGGCCAGCCCCAGAGATGGGTGGTTTCTGACCAGCAGGCATTTGTCTCCTGATGATGGATTCTGAAGCACTTAGAGCTGACGGAACAGTTTGGTCTCCTTTCCAACTTCTGCCTAATATCTTGTTTGCATTATTAATTTGAACTATTCGTGAAGAAAAGGGCTTACTCTGAGGTAAACTTTAGGGCCAACTTGTTCTCAGGCTCCAAGTTCCCTCGTAATATCTTAATATCACCCACTAGACAAAATTCAACATTCCTTAACAGCAGAAACTGTGTCTAATTCCTTTTTGCATTGCATTCAGTACAACAATGCTCAACAAATTTGTGATGATGCATAAATAAGAGAAAAAAATGTCCACTTATGTCATAAAGCCTACATAAACAAAATGCAAGTTGGTAATAAACAACCCAGGTTGACCATAGTTGTGGTTTCCCAGTTCTCTGATTCTCAGTTCTTAGGGAGCCCTGTCACTCACCCACTTACCCAGGCTCACTCACGGCCCAGCTCATAAGATACATCGATCAGCAAAAAGCATTCCATTATCGTGGGAGAAAGGCAGCTGTCCTCAGGCCTATCAGAAACCCCATCTCCTTCTTTCCTACCTTTTCCCGTTCACAGAAACGGAGCACATGTGTGATCTAGTTCCACGTACTCACTTGACAGTAGCGGAAGCAGACTCAGCTGGGTTGCAGTGACTTGTCTGGGGTGACATCCACAGTATAAGTCCCTTCCCTGAATTGCTGTTCGCTTAACCTAATTTCTATTCCACTGGTGAAGAATGAATTCTTGTTAGCTTTAAGAAATCAGAGTTTGATTTAACTTATTTTCTCTTTTTTTCAGAAGTGTTGATTTTTGGAGGAGACATCATAAAATTTGCAGGTATGGGGGCTTCCTGAGACGGGAGGGGTAACAAAGGCTTGCGGAGGTGCTTGTGCTCTGATCAAGGGGGCATCTCAGGGAGAGCAATGGCCAGGAGGCTGGGCTGAGGAATGTTTGAAGAGTAACTTTCTGTACAGATTTCATACAACATAGACTGATCCCCAGGGCAGGTCAAGAGCCCCAGCCCCCACCCCAGTGTATCTGTCTCTTCAAGGCGACGCGCTGCTGGCCCTGTGGAAGGTGGAGCGAAAGTACCTGAAAGACATTATCACGGTGGTGATTAAATGTAGCCTGGAGATCCATGGATTGTTTGAGACCCAGGAGTCTGAAGAAGGCCTGGATGTCCGGGTCAAGATAGGTAAGCTTTTGAGAAAGAAGAGATGCTGCAGCAGTGTGAGCGTGGGTCCTGGCTCCTGAGGCCTCTCTCCCAGAGAACACAGTGGGACGGAGCGGCTCAGCCCCACCATCGTGTCTTCAACTTTGGAATGAGGTTAGCCAGAAGGCGAACTTTGGCTCCCTCACTTACCAGTTAAGAGAATTCGGGTTAATCCTACTATCTACCTCATAGGCTTTTACAAAAAGTAAATTTAGGTAGTTAGTATAGTACCCGGCACATAGTAACCACTCCACAAAATAGTCTTTATTAGTACTACTACTGTTGTTATTATTAGGTCTTGCTGCTGTCAACAACGTGTATCATTAGGTACAACAGAAAGTAGCTTGTGATTACATAGATTCAGCAACGTCGTCCGACTGGTCACCCCCCACTTCATAAGACCCGTGTGCGAGAAAAGCTTAACGGACAGCCTGCAACACAGCTCCAGCTTAACCGAGGGCTTCTCAAGTTCAGACACGTAATAACAGTCACGTATATTCCCACACTGTGTTGCAGACGTTACACGCATTACGTCATTTTCGCTTCCCCACGGTCCTGAGCTGCAGGCATCGCGGTGTCCATTTCAGAGGCGAGGACTGAGACGCTGACAGGCGTAAACGGCGAGGTACAGTTGGTGTCAGCTTCTGCCCTGCTCAGCTTTGTAAACTTAGAATTCTGAAGTGTCAGAATTATCCAATTAACTGTTTCTCAGCTTTCTTTAGGTTATTCAAAATTTCCAAGTAAGTTAAATCTTCTGTTGAACGAATCAAAGTTGTTGTAATACTGAATATTTGTTCCAAGGTAACACCTAGAGAGTCTGATGTTACGGAGAATGATGGGGACCCAAACGTTTCATGTGCATCTTGACTGGTTGTCAGAGAGGGGTGCCAGGACCTTTTCTCTAATGAGTCTAAGCACCAGCGCGCTTCAGAGGGAGAAAGAACTCTATCGGGAAATCAGCGCAGCAGATAAAAAAGCAATTTTGATTGTGTTAAATCAGTCGTTTAAAAGAAGCGTGTATCATCTATGGTTCTTTTATACATACGTTTTGTGTACATGTCACATTTTACAACATTCTGTCTTCTGTGGCTCGGGTACCAAACCCTTCCGCTCGCAGCGTGAAAGAAAGCAGAGGCCGCATTGTCAGGACTGTCAGAGCGCCTACTCCTCTTCCCCCCCCACCGCCGCTTCTCCTTTGGGTGTTGCCTGAAATTCGACCTCCAGGGTTTCTTTTCAGTTCAAGCCTCAGTCTCTGATAAAACGGAAATCCTCCCCAAATAGAAGTTATTGAAGTTGTTCTTGTTGTTCTCTGTTGCCCTTAGGTATAAACAAATTGAAGAAAAGATAAAATAACTTTGAGGACTAACAGGGCCAACTAGGGAGATAAATGTCACAAAAAAGGCGAAAACTAGTAGCCAACTTTCTAGCTTTGGGAGAAGAGGAGTTTTGGAAGGCGCAGGCCTGGAGGAGGCATTCTCTGATTCTTATGTAAAATTCCAGACAGGAGATTTTGCTTTGAGATAGTACAGTCTGATTTTTCCAAGAATCCCTGCTGCTGGGGGGCAACTCAGAGCTTCCCGTGCACACATTGCTTGCCTCCTTGCCAGGCCTGTCTGCCGGTCACATCACCATGTTGGTCTTTGGAGACGAAACACGCAACTACTTTCTGGTGATGGGCCAGGCAGTGGACGATGTGCGCCTTGCACAGAACATGGCACAGATGAACGACGTCATTCTGTCACCAAACTGCTGGCAGCTCTGTGACCGGAGCATGATTGAAATTGAGAGGATTCCAGACCGGAGAGCAGTTAAGGTAGGTGAGATGCTGCTGCTGCTGCAGAGAGTTCTGTCGTCTGTGCCAGGGCCCCGTCAGGAAGGCCACGGGGAAGGCAGGTTCCGGGAAGCTCCGGGACGGGATGCTCAGGTGGGGTCAGTCTGGGTTAGACCCACGAGGCTGTCGTCCAGACGCCTCCTCTGGGAGGGGCTAAGGCTGGCTAGCTCAAGAGAAAATGTTTAGGCTTCTCTGTGATAACTAAGGATGTGAAATTTGGGTGTTGAGGCCTTTTAGGGGGCTGGCGTCCTTGCTTAAAAAATAGAAAGGGTCTCCTGGCTATTCTCCAGGAGCAGAGGTTTATAGTTTCCAGGGCTGCCATTGGCCTTCTCTTTCACTGCTCAACACCCTCCTAACTCAGGGCGAGGCATGACTGAGCATGAGGATTGGAGGCACGCCGGGGCAGCAAAGGCGAGTGAGGGAAGAGAGACTTTTCCTGTGGTCTTGCCCAGTAGGAGACACTGGTTACGGTGAAGACTGACCATAAGCAGAACTGTCCTTGGAATATGGCCAATTAGAGAAACTGTGCTCTGAGAGTGGGTATAGGGGAGGAGAGCTATGCCGCTAGCTGAACCAGGAATGGGACTACACGGCAAATGGAAAGACAAGATGGAGAGTCCACGCAGACAATAGCAAAGATGAGAGGCACTCCTACACCGTACCTCAGTCTACAACCCTTATACCCCTCCAGTACGACCCTCACACTCACTTTTCCGGTAGTATGCCTCCAGGCTGTGTGACCTAGCTGGCTGACAACAATGCCCTGTTTCCCAGCTTCTCCAATCATTCCTTATGCCTTTAAAAATTGTTTTAATTTTTAATTAATTTTAGATTCACAGAAAAGTTCAAAAGTAATACAGAGTTTTCATATATCCCTTATCCAGCTTCCCCAAATGTTAACATCTTTCACAACCAGTGTGCAATAGTCAAAATCAGAAAATTAACATTGGCACAGGACTATCCTCCACTAATTAAGGGCCTTATTGGGATTTCACCAGTTTTCCCAGTAAAGTCCTCAGTGGGGTGCTCCAGGATTCTATCCGTGCTCTCGCACTGCGTTTTGTCGTTATTTTTCCTTAGTCTCCTGCCATCTGTGACAACAGCTCTTCAGTTTTCCCTTCTCTTTTATGACCTTGACACTCAAGAAGAGTATTGATCAGTTATTTTGTTGAATGTCCCTCCATTTGGTTTTACCTGATATTTTCTCGTTATTGGACTGTTATCCATTTTGCGGGGCAAGAATACCACAGAAACGAAGTTGTGCCATTCTTTGTGTGTCACATCATAGGGTTCATGATCTTAATAGGAATCTTATTACTGGCGATGTTCCTGGTACCCTCTGAGGCATCAGCCCCCTTTGTGCTTTCACACTTATAAGAAAGAAATGGGGGGGCCAGCCCGTGGCCGAGTGGTTAAGCTCGTGCACTCTACTTCGGCAGCCCAGGGTTTCACCGGTTCGAATCCTGGGTGCAGACAAGACACCGCTCGTCAGGCCATGCGGAGGCGGCATCCCACATGCCACAATTAGAAGGACCCACAACTAAAAAATACACACCTATGTACCGGGGGGCTTTGGGACAAAAAGGAAAAATAAAATCTTTAAAAAAAAAAAAAAAAAAAAAAAATAAGAAAGAAATGGGTTACAGGTTAGCCAGGTTTTATTTGAATTAAAATGTTATGAATGAAACAAAAAAGAAGAAAGTTCTAAGAGTGGAAAAGTATACAGGCTAGCCCCCTGGAATGGCGCTCTGTGTATGTATGAAGGCTGAGATCTTGACAACTAATTGGAGAAATGTTTAATGTAACCACATCCAAATTAAAGACCTTCATTGCTGAAGTATGCCAGTCTCTGGCGATCGTGTCCTGGGCCTTCAAAAGCATACCGCCTGCCGTTGCTGCTGAGAAATTACATTCGGAGGACCAGACAACCCTCAGAATAACCAAAAACTTCTCTCTCTTTTTTAAAATTTAGGTGAATTTCTTAAAACCACCCCCTGCTTTTAACTTTGATGAGTTTTTCACAAAGTGTATGACTTTCCTGGATTATTATCCTTCTGGTGACCACAAAAGTAAGTACCCTCCATGGACAAGGGCCTTTGCCTCTACCAGCAGTCGGTAGAGTCGTATACCAAGGCCAAGGGTTCCATTACAAGTGGCCGGCCGCCTCAATGCAGCTCCCGGTCCTTAGCACACACCAAGAAGAACTCCCTCTCATTCCCCACGACAGCAATGCTCAGTACAACCCTCCTCGGGGCCTCTACCTCTCCCTTGGCAGTGGCTCCTCTCCCTCATCTCCCAAACATTTACAAGACTCCCCCCTGATGAAAGAAAAAATGAACCTTCTGTGAACCCTACTTTCCTCTCCTAACCTTCACCACCAAACTTCTCAGAAGAGTAGTTTGTATGTCTGTGCCTCTTCTTCTATCCTCTCATTTGTTTATTCACCCAATAAACACTGATTGCTTGTGCCTGAGGGAGCATGTGCTCACCTACTCTTCAGTCTAGAGCCTCTGACATCTAGCTTCTATCCACCTCTCCTCCTGTCTACTGAGACTGTTTATGCCAAGGCCACTAATGGCCATCAGCTTGCCGAACCAGGTGACCTCTCCTCAGGCCTCATCCTAGGTGGAGCCTTAGATTACTCCCTTTTTCTGAACACTACCTTCTCCTCTTTCCTTGGGTTCAAGAAAATTCTTTCCTAGTTTTGCTTTGACCCCTCAAGCCATCCATTTGTCAGTGCCCTTGGCTTCATTTCCTTCCCATTTCTTGAATGTTGGTGATTCCAGAGACCTCTCCTTGACCCTCTAGTCTTCCCTACTCACCTCTGGGAGAACCATTTATCCATACTTCCTTATGACTCCCACAGGGCTGGGACCAGGGTGAGGAAAGCAGGAGCCTAGGGCACGAAGTGTAAGGAGCCACTACTCTCAAGGTTTTGCGTGTGGCTTGCCTCACCCAAGTCCCAGCCCTAACTGCCAGATTTCAGCCCTGACTTTTGTCCTGAATTCTAGGCTCATAAAAAAACTGGCTATGGGCTATCTTTGCTGGATGTCAAACATGCACTCCAACATGAACATGTTGTTAAAAAATGATTAAAGAAGACGTTTTAGGTGATACAAACAAACTATATTTAACATTTCATGAAGTGGACAGTCTTCTTTTGGAGAGCTACAAAATGGGGCAGAAGAGAAGAAGCTTTTATAGGATGCAGGATAAAGAACAAGGAAGAGACAAATGGGAAATATCTGGTTGGCTGGGGCCGCAGTCAATCTTGTTTGGTGTGAGAAGGCCCAGAGCTGGCTTGGCGTGTGGTGATTGGCTGACTGGATATTCTGCGTTTCTGGTCAAGTGGAGCATTCATAGGGACAGGAAAGTTATCCAAGTTTCAGTTTGCTGACATGGCACCCTGGCAGAGAGCAGAGATTTATTTCATCTTGGGCCTAGAAATTTATTTCAACAATGTTTAAACTCTAAGCTACTTCTCACTTAGAGTTTCCTAAAAACTGCTTCCTCATCCAAACTAGAAACTTCAGAAACATCTTTGAATGATTCTTCTGTCTCATCATTTCTGTATAGGTGTGGATATCTTGACCATGACAAATGGAAGTTTGTACTTTTACAAAGCTGCAATAGGTAATGGGCTGGGAGAGGGGCCCAGGGAGAAACTGTAGGAAAATTGACTGGGAAAGGCTGGGAACCCAAAAGCTCCAGAGTTGGAGAAAGTCTAATGACACTCCTTGTGCGCTATGCCATCCCATCTCCTAGATCTTAATGGTACCTTCGATTAAGGGCTTCCTCAGTCCTTATTTGGGGCACCGTAATACCGTAACGTAATTCTAGCACTAAGCACCTGAAGCTGACATGGATATCATAGGTTGAGTCCTCCACAAACTCCCCTCTCTTCAGACGCTAGCCGCCAGCTCTGGGATCACCAGGCCACCTTTACTTCTGACAAACTGGCTAAAACCCAAGTGTTCCCACACTGCGCTCAGGGTTAATAATTCTCAATGATGACTCACAGAACTCAGGAAAGTGCTGTGATTATGATTATAGTTTTACTGTGAAGGATACAAATCAGGACAAGCCACAGAGAGAAATAGGGTGAGGTCTGGGAGCGCCCCAAACAGGAAGCTTCTGTGTCCTCAGGACACATCTCCGTCCCTGCACATCCATGTACGGCTGCCAACCAGGGGAGCTCACCCAAGATTTGGGTGTCCAGAGTTTTTATTGGGGTTTTATCAAGGAGGCATGATTGAATTGAATCATTGGCCATGAGATGGAACTCAGTCTCCTGCCCCCTTCCCCTCCTCAGAGCGGGAGGTCAGGCTCTTATCACCTGGCTCAAAGCCCCAACCCTCTCATCTCGTGGTTGGTCTTTCCAGCATGACCAGCCCCTATCCTGAGTCTTCTCATTAGCATAAATTCAGGTGTGGTCCAAAGGGCCAACCGTGAATAACAAAGACAATCCAATTACTTGGAAAATTCGAAGGTTTAGAAGTTACCTCCCACGGTACCAGGAAGAAAGACCAGTCAAATTCTTTCTTCTACAACTGGCTCACATCCATCTCCATAACCATTGCCACAGTAATGGTCTGGCCTTTACAACTCCCACTCTTTCTGAGCTCCTTTCCTCTCTCCACAGTCTGCTCAGTGTCATTTCTTCTTAGTCTCCAATACTCACATGAGATTCCAGCCAGGCTAGCGTCTTCCCCAGGTCTTTAACCTACTGTGCTCATTCTTGACTTTCACCTCCGCGGTTCCACCTGCTGGGCATGCCCTCCTCAATCCTTCTAGCAAAATGCCCTAAGTCAATGCAAGATGCAGTTAAATTTCTGGTTCTCCTGTGAACTCCTTTCTGATTAAACCAGCTCATACTGACCACTGCTTCCTCTGAATCTCTCTGGTCTTTATGATCTATTAGCCCATTTGGCCTAACTATTTTTTTCTATTTAATTTTTCCTTACGCATTATATTTGAATGTTTAATCAGTAACTGCCTCCAGGAAAAAGCCCAAGTTTCCTTATTCCTTTTAATTCCCACATAGTGCCTAGCATGGTGTTTCGAATATACCCAATAAACACTTTAAAATTAAATTTGCTTCTTAATTTATATCCCTTTCAGACTCTATTTTTATTTTTCATCTCATTTTTTTTTTCACATTATCATTATTCCCTGTTGAAAACCTATCATCATTTCTTTCTCCCTTATTTTTGATTTCTTCAAGTTTATTTCTACCACCTCCTATCAGTTATTCCAGAGTGTGGAGCTCTCAACAACTATAGTGAAGGGAGCCATAGAGATAAGGAGATCCCACTGCTTTCTTCCCAGATGAGGGAATAAGAGACAATCAGGAAGTGAGGTGACTTGTCCAGGGTCACACAGTGAGGTGGTATTAATACTGGCTCAGCACAAGGTTGACATAAGGGAAGCCATATTGTAGAAAAGAGACCATATTATAACTTTGAATGACCTCTGATTCTTATTATCTTTAAACTAAATCAGGGTATAGGGCATTTCTCCAGCCTCTGCATATCTAGCAAAACAAAAAATTATCAGGAACTAAGACAAGATGTCTGTCCCACCTGATGACCAGATGTCTGCTCCACCTGGAGACCAGCCCCCTATATAGCTTGGCCTGTAGTCTTTGTTCTGTAAGACGGTTCTTTTGGACATTAGTCAGCCATCTTCCCGCTGGCTAGCAAGCTGTAATAAAACCCTTTCTCTCCTACTACCTACCCCTCGACTATTGGCATGTCTTGCGGCAGGCAGACAACCTCCCTCGGGTGGTAACAGTATCATACCTGGGATCAGAAGCCAGTCTCCTGAATCTTACTCCTGCTGCTCTTTCAACTCTATCATCCCCTTCATTCTGTCACCATTGTCCTCTACTGCCATCCCCTCATCTGTCCATTCCCATCACCTGTGACAATAGTTTTGGCTCGAGTCTGGAGGTGAAAACTTCCCCAAGTTCCAAAGTGTGACAACAATTAGAACAGGGTTTTGAGCTACATGCAACAGAATTTTGGAAAACCAGCAATCTCTAAGAACTTCTCATTGGATTTCCCTTGGCCCTATTCGGCTACTAGGTGTCCCAGAGTCCTTTGACTGAACTATGAAGACCACTGCCCAAGGGCATGGGGACTGGGAGGCTGCACTCTCTGGCACTGCAGAGCCAAGCCTTTCTGAGGCTGCCCCTCCTTCTGCCCTCCTAGACCTCCTGAGGCTTGCATGCACGCTGGAGTCAGATCCCGAACTGGAGTTGTCCCTACAAAAGTATGTGATGGAGAGCATATTTAAGCAGGTATTTTTGCAATTTTATTTATTGGCATTTGGGGTGTGAGGGATCTCGGACAGCTGGAAAGATCAAGAAAACCAGTAGCTAGTAAAATGTTTCATTGAAATAAAAAGACACAGGGCTGATGTTCTTCGTGTGTAGGTAACTGTAAAATGTATTGTTCAAAACAAAATACTTTGAAGAGCTAAAGGGGGCATTATTCATAATTACACTGTGACAACAGGCGTAAACTAGGACTGTGTTGTCTTATACAGCTGGGCAAACTGGAACTGTCCCAAGCATAGAACATATGGTTCCCCTTCTTACATGCCACGTAGCGGAAAGATATCAAGCGGATGAGCACTGGAACTCTGATTCTCTAAATCACCTGCAGAGGATCTTAAGCTTGGAAAGTCAACAATGCAGAAAACTCGAGCTCTCAGAACTGCCTCCAACCCCTAAAGTTTTCTCTTTTCATTTGCTTAGATCTGGGCTCTCTCAAATGTATTAATCTGTATGAATTGTAACTATTTCTCAGCACTCACCACATGCCAGACACTCTACTCTTTCATGTACTTATTCTTCACAGTCCTCGGTAGATATTTTTATCCTCATTTTATATACGAGAAAACTGAGACCCAGAAAGATGCCAGAACTTTCCTGAGGTGGTAAAGTAGGAAACGTAGATAGGATTCTATCTGAACCTTACATTTTTTGCACAGGCTATACACCCTCCTAATATATGCCTGTTTTAATTCTTAATCTCATCAAAATGCAGTTGTGTCCTGGAGGAAATCTTTGTAGCACAAGCCTGAGCAGTGGACAGCTGCTTTCACGGTGTGGGTTGAAGACGTATCAGAATGCACCCCTCCACCTTCAGCCCAACTGAAAAACACCACCTCTCGTGCCTGCGTTGTCAAACTCTTCCACAGTTTGGAAGCTCAAGAAAGCTGCGCCCTTCTTCCCTCCCTCCCTTCTAGAGATAGAACACGTTTTGCTTCTTCAGCTGCAGCCAGCTGAGAGCAAAGTCTGCAGGAATGAGATGCAAGAGAGACTCCACGAGTCACTAGGACACTGGTGGGTGGGAATAATGAACAGTGAGTGAAGAAGCACAGCTAAGGGGGCTGAAAGGAGTCAAAAAGACAAACCTTTCACGACTTTATCAAGGCCTGCCCCTGCACCCAAAGAAGAGAGATGCAGAGAGATACCGTGGTTGCATTTTCCAAGCCAAAACCCAGAACACACAGTCTAATAGAATAATTTTTAATTGTTTAATTTGTTTGACAGATCTACTATTTAATAATTAATATTTTTATTTATTTAATGTTAATTACTTATTTAATAGATTTGTTTGAAAAATCAAAGAAAATCACTATAGTGGTTAGTTAGAAATTATTAAATAATCTTTTATGAAAAGAATAAAATTACGTGAGACCAGGACTGTCTTTGCCAGTTAGGAAGCATGGCTGCAGGATTCCTTACACACAATTTCCTCTTTCATCCAGAAGATATGTTTCATATTGTTAGCGGAGAATCTGACGCTTCTGTGCTATTTGGGGGAGAAAAAAAATGCAGTGATTTTTCCCCCTATTGGTTTGCTATGCACTTAGTTTAACCAAATTCAGGATGATGATAGGCGGGGATAACTTGGGAACACTCTCCTTTTCTCTCCCTGTGCCTGCTGTGGGCAGGCTTGGAGAGAAGAGGGAGCTGAACGAAATATACCACCCAGAGAGGCAGGGACGGCTGACAGACAGAATGTCGGACAAGGAGCCTGGAGATTCGGGTTCTAGTTTGCTGCTGGCTCCCTGCATAACTGTGGGGAACTTGCATTATTTCTCCATGCCTCAGTTATCTAGTCAGTAACATGGGGGTAATCTGATTTCATTTCATTTGAAGATAAAGTGGGATAGAATGTGGAAATATTCTGGAAGTTTCCAGGTTATGAAAATATATGCTTAAATTACATTGCATGCTATTCTTATCCCTAAATCGTAAGAGAGCCAAAAGGAACAGTGGTTCTTTCTCTTATTGTGATGGTTCATATTGGCATGAGGGAGCTAGCAGTTGGGGCAGGAGAGTGGTTGCTAGCCAAAAATTAGCAAGTACGTAAATTTCCATTGGAAGAGATTTTGATAGCGCATTCCATTTCCATCTGCTCGACTTGGGGCTGCCTCTGCCATGTTGTACCTCACACATTCCGACTTCAGCTTCCCCAGAGAATCTCAAAAGCCTGGCTCTCTCCCAGTGATACTTTCGGGAGGGGGTGGGGTGGCAGTGAGAGAGGATTCACTGCCAAGGACGCCTGCTGAGGAAAGCTCTCTCCTTTGCAGATTGTTGACAAACAGCTTCCCGGTTATTTGTCTGAGCTTCGCCCAGTGACAATTATGTTTGTAAACCTATTGTTTAAGGACCGAGAAAAAGCAGAAGTCATAGGCACAGCCATTCAGGACGCCTGTGTGCACATCAATTCTGTCCTGAGGGTCTTCCGAGGCCAAATCAATAAAGTCTTCATGTTTGACAAGGTAAATATGAACTAAGGCTTGGGAACCTACCAATAATTTAAGGCTGACATTCATGCCTACAGACATGGGTGAGAGGGAGGGAATAGACACTTTTAACCTAGAAATATCACTCCTTATTTGTAATTATAATAATAGCTTATGTGGTGGATGTGGCACTTACTATGTGCCAGGCATTGTTCTCTACCCTTTACATATTTTATTTATTTTACATATTTTAATGCATTTCATCCTCATGACTAAGAGGTAGGTGCTGTTGTCCTCATATTATGGATGAGGATGCTGAGGTAGAGATGAGGATACCGAGACAAGGCAAGATTAAGAAACCCAGGTGGTCTGGCCTCCTGGTCTGTGCTCTTAACCGCTGTGCTTGACTAGCTCTCACTATACGTATACCTCCAGCCCAGCATACGATGCATCTCCCGGAGATTTTAGATATGGTGTCTAGTAACCATCACATCTCAGAAGCTTGTTTCCAATAATCCCTACCTGCCACATCTACACCTCCAGTGTACCCTTTCAGTTTCATCGGGAGTAGAGGGTGGGAGGGGTCACCTCTAGCTCCTGGGTTCTTTTAATCTGCTTGTAACCAGTTTAGAGAAAAACTATGTGATTAATAAATTACCACACAAGTGCTAGCAAGACCTGATTCCCCATCCCAGGTGGTTTGTCTCTTAAAAGCAGAGCTCTTAATTACTACCCCCCACTCTCTCATTCACTAATTCAATAAGCATTTATTGAGCATTTTGCAGAAGGCTGAAAGCTAAGGGCGGGTGGCAAAGATGCGTAACTCACCCACACTGCCACACAACCAGGCGGAAAGAACTAATTCTGTGCAAGAAAAATAAACTCTGTGCTATGAGAGTTCTGAGGGAGCGGTGGCTTCCAGCCCGGTGTGCTCTGGTCCTTTCTTCCATGTTCATTTATGAGTATCATAAGGAAAGAGCATAGAATCTAAGGAAACAGTCTTTAGTGACTTGCAGACATGGCTTTGGCAATTCCAAGCTGTGTGACCTTAGCAAATCATTGAACTTCTCTGAACCTTGGTGTGTTCATGAATCATAATATGGATATTATTTGAATGGGGATAGTATTTGCCTCAAATGATCATTGAAAGTTTTAAAAAATATATTACGGAAAGCACCTGTCGCAATGCCCAGCTCACAGTCACCGCTCAATACGTGAGAGCCACGGTTCTCGCTGCTGAAGTGGGTCAAATGCTCACCTAGCCAAGCCACTAAGCAAAATTTCCAGGCAAAGCACACCCACTGGTGCTCCCAAAGAGGGCTTATCCTCTAGCGTCTCCACAGACCCAGAATCAGGGCTCCCCTCTGATGTCAAGACAGAGCCCAGTGGCAGTTAGGATCTGACGCTTGGTCAGATTCTTTTTGGAGAGGGTTGAAGAAATTGAGGCATTTTACTGTTCTTTTGCATTTCATCAGGTTATAACATATCTATATTCAAATTTTTTAACCCATTGCCTTTTATTTATTATGCTCTTTTCTTACAGACAACAGCATCTGACTGAGTTCATTTTTTAAGTGACTGATAATAAAAATGCCTAGCTTTAGAGTTTAATCTCTTTTTGGCAGAGTTAAGTTTATGCCAAGAAAACCCACTCCCAGCTTAAGCCTTTACCCATAAGAATAATAACAGCGTTTGAAAAGAACTTATTGTTTACAAAGTGTATATATATATGTATGTATAAAACATTGTTTACATTATATATGTATACAATGTTATATATAACTTTACATAATACAACATTAAGTTTACAAAGTACATATACTATGGTGTGTGTGTGTGTATATATATACATAACATTAATCCTTTTAGTAACCAAAGCAACTTTGGCAGGTGTATGTTACATCCATTTTCAGATTGATAAACTGAAGTTCATAGAGTATAACTGGCTGATCCATGTTCCCACACTTGGGAAGTGGCCTGAGAACACAGACTTTCTGATAACGGAGCTGGCGCCTTTCCCACTGCTCTGGGCTGCTTCTTAGACTTCCACTTAGCACCTTGCATTACACGGTCTTGGACACAAGAGAGGGTAGACAGGAGGTAGAGAGGGTGCACACAAATAGCTCGGTACAAGCCATTATCTCTGGAGCAAAAGCAAGCCCTTCTTGGGCTCAAGACCTACCATTGGTGATGCACTAGAAGTTATGTGAAGTTTACTACGAATAAAATAGGTATGAGAGAAATCATGATGAAATCAGATTCAGAAAGTGCATATTTCTGTGCCCCCTCCACTGGGCCTTCTGCCTGGTCCAGTTTAAAGCTCACCATCTACCAGCTGTGTTTGCCAACTCTCTCCCTCACAGGGCTGCTCCTTTCTCTGTGTCTTTGGTTTCCCTGGGGAAAAGGCACCTGACGAATTCGCTCATGCCTTGGAAAGTGCCATGGATATATTCAGCTTCTGCTCTCAGGTCCACAAAATCCAGTGAGTGTTGACCCTGATCCCACCTGGTGGTCCCTGCCCCTTTTGTAGGATATGGGGAGACAACAGAGAGAGCTGTCCTTGACTGGTGCCCTTCTGCCTGCATTCATTATTCATGTAACGTACAAGTGGAGTGTGCAAACCCAGCCCTGACGCAGTAAGACAAGAGATGATAAAGGCGAGTCTGAGGAAGGGCATTCCTAAAAAGTCAAAATGTGCCCAGTTAGCAAGAGACTCTAACAGAGTTGTCTCTACTTCTAGATTACTTCTTGGTAGAGATGGGACTCCCAACTCCGTGTTGGAGACCTGAGTTGATTTTTAATAACTGGGAGATAAAATGAGTCCTTGGGTTGGAAGTTTATATATTGATCTGGCCTCAAGACCCCCCTCTCACAGTAAAACTGGTAAGAAGGTAAAGTTTACCATCCCCAGCCCTGGCCAACCAAGAGCGCAAAGCCCTCAGGCTCCCTCTCTTGAGCACCTCAAGGACCTGGACCTGTGGCCCTACTCTGGTTGACCCTAACAGGTATCACCCCCTTGTCCTAAATATTTCCACCATCTCAGCCCCTTGGCATCAATATATGCTGCCATACTCATGTATTAGCAAAGTGAGATTTGATGCTACACACAGAGGTAACTCTTAGTTACTTCCTTTCAAAAGAATGGCTTCGTTCTTTCTAGCAATAGCAAAGATAATTGAATTGTTTACAACCATAGTCACTGTACACTCAAAGTCCATTTTGGGTGATGAGAGTTATCTTCCAGAAAAGTGGTTCAGATGAGTATTAAAACTAGCAGAAAAGTACACTGAGTTACCACTTCTAAGAACTTAGTTCTGTGTTCCCCCTTCACACCTCCAGGCCGTGTACAATTGCCCTAAACTAAGTACAAAAGGAGGGGAGTTTGTTTATTGAAAATCCTTTCCTACCTCTCCCCACCCTATTCCTCATCATGTCCCCACCCTTCTCACTTTCTCTATGCTCACTGTCTTTATCTCTCTTCCCACAACTCGCTTTGTCCCCGGCACCAGTACTGTTTCCATCGGCGTGACCAGCGGCATTGTCTTTTGTGGAATCGTCGGACACTCTGTGAGACATGAGTACACAGGTGTGCTGGGCTCACTTATCTCCATTTTTCTTTAGCAAACGCTGTGCCTTGCCACTGGGCTTTGTCGGAGGAAGGACAAAAATAAGGGAGACATAGTCCCTGCCCTCGGAAAGTTTATAGTCTTCTCGATGGAACCAAGCCATGTAGCTTTGTCCATTGACAGCTCAGCGCTTGCAAAGTGTGCATTTCTGGGGCTATGCATGAGTATAGGAAATGTGTAGTCACTAGAGGGGAGCAGCAGAGACTATGAGCTCGTGGAATGAGGTGCCTTTATAATAATTTCCTGCTAATATTAAACAGCTACTCCTCTTAATTTCTGGAATAGGTAAGAATAGCTTCTTAAAAATTATGAACATTGGCATTACTGATGAATAATACTAATCTCAAAAGAAGATAGTAAGGAGGTATTATTTCAGGATTTCACTGCTCTTACTATTACTTCTCTCTTCAATCCTATTAGGGTTTAAGATGTTCAGAGATAATACATCTAAAATACTGAATACACCTAAAATGCTGAAGTGGTTATGTCTGCAATGATACATTGCCTGAGATTTTCCTCAAAGTAATATGGGGTGGAGCGTGGATAGGAATGAAGATGCGGCAGGATTGGCCATGGGTTCATGGCTTTTGGGACTGGGTGATGGGTTTATGGAGATTCATGATACTGTGCTTTATTGCATGCTCAAATTTCCCCACAATAAACAGTTTTTTAGAAAGGAATATCTTGTTCAGAAGTATTTATGTTTATGTTAGAGGGCAACATTTAGTACCTAAATAAAGGTAATATTCAGGGCTTACTAGCAACCAGGCACTGTTCAAAGAGAAGTACATGTATTAACTCATTAATCTTCTGAAACTACCCTCTGAGATAGGTCCTATTATCATCCCTGTTTCACAGACTAGGAAGCTGAGGCGTGGAAGAGTTAGTAATTTGCCCAAGTGATTTGGTAACATAGCAGTTAGAGGTAGAGTTGGGGCTCAAGCCTACATAGCTTGGCTTCAGAGTCCGTGCACTACAGTGTATTACCCTGTAAAACACCCCTTTAAATCAATCTTACACACACCCCTTCCAGCTCCATCTACGTACTCTTAAGAAATGGCCAAATGAAGGCAATTCGTTTTGAAAATGAAATGAAATGAAGAATTTCATGCACAGGAACATACAGATGCAATTTTGTGCCCCATTCGGAGGTCTGGGTCCCAGAGCCAAGACTGTGCTTGTCCATCTTGTAGCAGCAGACCAACGACACCTCCTCTGAGAGCCCTCAAGTCTATGACCATCTCACTTACAGAACCCTCTCCTTACACAAGGGCTTTGATCTCTGCACAGATTATCCCCATGGCTTCCCAGGTTGGGTAGAAACTTTACTGATGGCTAATTGAGTTACTCTCTGCACATTTTTTCCCCCTGCTTTTCTCCCCCAAATCCCCCAGTACACAGCTGTATATTTCAGTCGTGGGTCCTTCTAGTTGTGGCATGTGGGAAGCCGCCTCAATGTGCCCTGACAAGCCGTGCCATGTCCACGCCCAGGATCCGAACCAGCGAAACCATAGGCCGCCGAAGCAGAGCTCACGAACTTAACCACTCGGCCATGGGGCCGACCCCTCCCTGCACATTTTTAATAGCCATTGGCTAATATGGGTATTGAAGGCAAGACTTCTGTGTCATTCCTGAGAGGCAAAGGGAGTAAAGGGTAAAAATGCCACCCGGGGACGGTAGGTCTCAGAGTATATTCAGTTCATTGATTCTTTTCTCCCTGCTCTTTCCCTTTCTCCTTCCTGTTATAGTAATTGGTCAAAAAGTCAACATAGCAGCCAGGATGATGATGTACTACCCGGGAATCGTGACCTGCGACTCTGTCACCTACAACGGCAGCAACCTACCAACCTACTTTTTCAAAGAGCTTCCAAAGAAAGTCATGAAAGGTGTTGCAGATTCTGGACCAGTCTATCAGTGTTTGGGCCTTAATGAGAAAGTGTGAGTGTGGGGCATTGATTTTGCAGTATCTTTTAGTAAAGAAGCGGGAGAATTATGCTAGCAGTCAGTCACCCATTTCAGATTCGAAGCCAATTTACAAAATTGAAATCTATTCCTTCTCTAAACCAACACCCAGATTTCAAAATCCTTCATTTTTCTCCATCTTACTGATATTGTAGCATGGTGGAAGATCCCGTTCTCCCTCAGTTCTGAGAATCTTGGGCTTATTCTTCAGAAGTTGTGCAAGGGGAACAGACAATCCCCTCATTTCAGTACATTTGTGGACCCAGATGGACCCAGTGACCAAATATTAAGTATTTACTGATCATACCAACCATGTGCCAGGCATTGATAAGGATAAAAGAGTATAAGATATTGCCCCTCCCCTACGTCTTAAGTGAAATATATTCCCCAAAAGCCCAGTTAGATGTATGGGTGTCATTTTGAGGCTGAAAATCCTTCAGTGGCTTCTAGTCATTTTCACGATAATGCTCATCTCCCCTTGTGTCCCCTCCTCTGTGGTGCCCAAGTCGATTCTCCTCCCCACCACCCAGCCCATCCCCAGTCAAGTGGGAGAACCATCGCCCATTTTTGAAATTCAGCTGGAGGATCTATTCCTTTATGAGGCTGGCTCTGGGACTGCCCAGTCTCGGCTCGGGCAATGTAGCTCTTTCTTCCTCTTGTAACTCTACAGCACACACTTCTATTAGAGTACTCACCACACTCATCACAATTACTGACTTGATATGCTTTTCACTTACTACATTGTGAGCTCTTTGAGGATAGAGACGATTTCTTGCTCATTCTTGTATCTTCAGTGCTTGGCACACAACAGGCACTAGGTAATGATGAATAAATGAATGAATAGCATGGAAAGCAGGAAGGTATTATTCTTTATATTAGCGAGCTAGAATCTAGGTCTTACATGGTCAGACAGCAGAATCAGGGCTACAATTGGTTCAAGGAGTCTTTATTATTGACGTTTGTATTCCCAGGGCTCAACACCGTACTTGGAGTGCATACACCATCAATAAAGTGCTGTTTGAATAAATGAATGAATAATAATTTTTTGTGAGCCCTTATTAAATATTAGGTACTCTACCTCAAAATATTTAATTTCTTCTTAATATCAACCATATCAGGTAGAAACAACTATTATCTCCATTTTATAAATTTAAAAACTGAGACTCAGAGATGTTAAATGACTTGTCCATGGCCATAAATCTAGTAGGCAATAGAGACAGGTTCAAAATGCCACGATAATGCTGGATTATAGGCAGCCACAACACCTCACTGGTATACAGCAACAAACATTTATTTATGTCACAAATAAGTGGGGTCGATTGATCTTGGCTAGATTTGGCTGATCTTGCCTAGACTTGTTCACATGCCTGGGGTGCAGCAGATTGTTGGCTGATCTGGGACGACCTCAGGTGGGATAAGCGGGAAGTCTGGCTGACATAACTGGGACAGTTTGGCTCTTTGTGTCTCATCCTTCATCAGGCTAGCCCAGGCATGTTGTCATGGCAACATCAGAAGAGGAAGAGAGAGCAAGCCACTGTAGAAGCCTTTTTCAAGCCTCTGTGTCATGGTTGCTAACATCTGATTGGCCAAAGCGTTCACAAGGCTGAGCCCAGAGTGAGAGGCACTGCAAAGTTACGTAGCGAAGGGCGTAGATACAAGTAGGAGCGGACAAGTGGGGCCATTAACGCAGTCAATCTACCACCGAAACTCAGGACTGATTCTAAAGCAGGCCCACTTCATGATTTTTCTATACCATCTCTGAAAATAAGAGACTGTAGAAATGCACATACAAACATAAACAGAACCTGGTTCCTGCCCTGAAAGTTCACAGTCTGATAGGGAAGACCAACATGTACAAAATTAGTTGTATATTACACGGGAGACCTTGGTATGTGCTGTAAACGCGGCATAACAAAGTAGTATGATGATACAGACAAGGGAATGATCCATTTGACTAAAAAGGCTCCTTCAAGAGATAACACCGCACACTGGGCAAGTGTATGCATCCTGGCCTAGATTTAGATATTAACTCTGTCATTATCCTGTGTCACCACTAGCCATGGGTTCTTGGGTAAGTTAAACTCTCTGTACCTCAATTTCCTCATTTGTAAAATGGACATCATAATAGTGCCTTCTTAACAAGGTTTTTGTCAGGAATAAAGGAAATGATCCGTGTAAAACACCTGAGCAATTGGTGGACTCTTTCCTGGATGTGAGCCAATGTACCATATCCAAGTCCACTGGGTCCCATATTGGGTGTCTGTTTTCCCTGGAAAGGGGCCAGTTCTACCAAGGCAGACTCAACAAGGATTGATTGAACAGTGTACCAGGGGCCATGTAAAGGCTGCTACACAAGTTGTTTGGACTCTCTCACGAGGTAAGAACTTCTTCCTTCCCCCTCTCCTTTCCTCCACTGCTCTCCTCCGTTCCTCCTCTTGGCACCTGCAAGCCTTGACTCAGGAGAGAGACTCTTGTTAGAGACTGACAAGGAGGCTTCCTGGGAACCAGGAACTAGTCACTCTCGCTCTCAGCATATTCCTGTTTTAACTCTAACGTCTCGTCTCGTCTTCTTTTCTTCAGCATGTTTGGTATGGCATACCTCAGCGGCAACAGAAATCAGGATTACCTTTTGCTGGGTAGGTAGTGGGCCTTGATTTTTAAACTTTTTTATTGAACTACAACAAAACATGCAGAAAGGTATACCAATGATAAGTATACAGCTTAATGAATTATCACAAAATGAACATAGATTCACCATCCAGGCCAAGAAATAGAAAAGTAGCAGTTCTCTAGGAACCCTCACATACTTTATCCCTCTCCCCTTCCCCAGAGACTTCTGACAGCCCAGTTTACTTAGGCCTGTTTTTAAAATTCATATAGATGAAGTCATACATTGTATAATTACGTATGCCTTCTTTTAGTCAACATTATGTTATGAAATTCATCCATGTTGTTGGGTGCAACTGTAATTCATTCATTTTCATTGCTATGTAGTATTCCATCTTACAAATATACAACAATTTATTCCTTTGTTCTTGTACAATATTTGTTTCCAGTTTTGGTTCTTATGAATAGTGTTGCCATAAAGATTCTGATACAAGTCTTTTGGTGAACACATGTATACATTTCTGCTGAGTATATATATAAGAGTAAAATTTGGGGGACAAAGGGTACAATTTTGGTAGACAATGCCAAATAATTTTCCAAAATAGTTGTGTTTATTTATGGTTTGACCAACAGTGTTATGAGAGTCCCAGTTGCTCCTTGTCCTTACCAACAATTTGGTTTTATCAGTCTTTATAATTTTCATAATTCCGTTGGCTGTATAGTGGTATCTCATTGCAGTTTCCATTTGTGTTTGGGAATGTGGCTGAGCTCCTTTGTCATGTTTATTGGCCATTTAGACGTCATCTTTTATAAAGTGTCTCTATAAATCTTCTGCTTATTTTTCAATTGGGCTGTATTTTATTATATAACTGTTGGAATTATTTACATATTCTGGTCCACCGTCATTTGCTTTTACCATGCGTAACTTTTCCCATTCTATGCTTGCCTTTTTGATCTATTGATGATGTTCTTAATGAGGGGAATTTCTTGTTTTAATGTAATCCAACTTATTGATCTTTCCTTTTGTAGTTAGTGCTTCCGTATACTGTTTAAGAAATCTTTCCTCACCCAAAAGTCATGAAGACGTTTTTCTAGATTCTCTTCTGGAAACTTTGTGTTCCCATTTACATTTAGGCGTATGATCCATCTCGCAGTGATGTTTTGGGGATTCTTGGTGATAGGGACCCTGTTGTAAGAAAACTAACTCGAGACTAGATAGGGAAGTAGACACAACATGAGGTAGGGATGTGCCGTCTGAAGGAAGAGACCCGCGTGAGGTGGGCCGGTGGATTCTGAAGGCAGCCATTTCTAGCAACACTGTAAGTTCCTTCTGTTAGACCTGAACATCCCTAAAAGTATCATCATAAGTGAAATCCTGGTCATAACTGTGATACGGCAATTAAGAGCATGCTCTGTCCCACACTTTGGGGGATGTTAGGACAGAATCGTGATGTCAGCAGAGCCTCAAAGAAGGCGACGGTTCCAGACCTTCAAGGAGCAGTGGGGCCAGCAGCGTGCCCACTTCCACTGAGCTCAAGTGGTTTTCAGAGTCTGCAAGCAAGTCGCTTCTTCTAAGTCCGGTCCCCAAACTCCTGCAGGCTAGAGAGGAGAAGGAAGGCCCACTCTCACCCTCCTCCGAGGCCTTACTTTCCATCCCAGGATACGCCTGTGGTGGTAGTGACTGACAGTGAACGGAAGTGCTAACTCCCTTTCTCCAAGACTGAGGATCAACATGACGGTCACACTAGAGCACGTTGGTGCAATAAGTGTACGCTTCTCAGTCTGGGCTGGCTGCCTGTTTGCCTGATTCCACTAGTGGGAGGTAAAGATCAGTCCCGGTATCCTTCCTTAAAGCCAAAGTCAAAAACAGACTGTCAGGGGTTAGGAGAATGGAAAATGCCCTTTTACAAGATTGCGGTAAATGAAATTGTATATACTAATTAACAACATAGATGACAACAAAAATATAATGACCGAAGAGTGGTTTTTTAGGGTCAAAAATACAACAGTCCCAGGTGTTAGGGCCTTGTTTAGATAGAAACAAGGTACATGTACTTCAAGTCCAGTTGACTTAACCACATTTTAAAATCCAGCTAAAAGGACAATCCACCAGGTCTTACCTCTAGAAGATTCCACTAGGCAGCCTTCTGGGCCTCATCCTCTGAGTTCCTATGTGAGCCTCAGGACAAAGAACACTACACATCTCATAAAATTGAAGGTCAAATTCATTTTCAGAGAGGGAATGTTTCATCCAAAAGGAGCAATATAGTATGCAAAGTAGTTCTCAATAACTCATACCCAGAAATTTACATTACCAAGTAAACACTCAGCTTCTTTGTATAAAACTTCTAAACCTAGAGCAATGGTCCTGGTTTTGAATAGATGTTAGATAACACCTGGGTCCGTTTCACTCTATCTACGGATAACGCAAGGGGCCCTCCACAGTGCCATTCGGCAGAGATGGAAGAGTCGACCCCCAGTGGGTGTCCACCTCTTTGACAGGAATGGCTCACTCTTTTGAAATTACAGTTCTGTCAGCTCCTTGCTGTCTCCCCAGGTTTCAAAGACTGTGGGCCGAGTTTCAGATTTCAGGCAGGACATCCTGTTACATATATTTAAAAACATAAGAAAAATAACAGTGACAGGGTTGTAACCCAAGGTGATTTTTATTTTCTTCTTTTCCTTCCCTAAGTTTCCCATATTTTCGACAGTGAGCATGTGTGAGTTTTATAATCAGGAAAAAACTCTGTTATTTTTACGAAGAATTTTGGTTGTTCTTATGATACAAGTCATCTATACATGATTTTTGAAGGCATATTGAATTTTCTTATCACTGATAGTGCTTCTAGGAGCCCTGAGATAAGCATAATTTCTCATTTACAGAGAGCAAGTTCCCTTCCCAGAATTGGAAATAAAAATATTTGTTCAGTATAGGAACCTGACTTTAATAAATTTATTTCCTGATGTGATAAGCTATAGATTAATTACTTCTAGGGTGTTATAGAAAAAAAGGAAAAGAAAATGAGTGTTAAGAGTCAGATAGGGGGCCGGCCCGGTGGCGCAGCATTTAATTGCGCACTATCTGCTTCTCGGGGGCCCGGGGTTCGCTGGTTCGGATCCCGGGTGCCGATATGGCACTGCTTGGCAAGCCTTGCTGTGGTAGACGTCCCACGTATAAAGTAGAGGAAGATGGGCACGGATGTAACTCAGGGCTAATGTTCCTCAAAAAAAAAAAGAGTCAGATAGGCCTGGTTTAATTCCTGGTTGTGCAATCTGAGCAAATTTCAGTTTTCTACACTAACATTAAACGGATGTTATAGTGAGCATAATAAGAATACTTGCCCTCACAGCTTGTGGGAATCAAAGAAAACCATAAAACCACATTGTTAGCTGGAAAGCTCTAGAGAAAAATTTAAAAAATTTTCAAGTGCACAGGACCTCAAAAAAGTCTATGAACAAAGCCAAAGTTACTCTTTGAAGTGCTGTCACTATGTGCATTTTTTCTGTCTCTAGACTGTTTTATGTTGATTTGGTTTGCTCCCTTTTTAAAAAATAAAAATCACAGGACGTGATAAGGAGATCAAAATCTTCATGTGTACTATGAAGGAATTTTTGATGTGCAACTGCAGCCGAGTCCTAATGTACGAGGGGTCATCGGGATGTGGAAAAAGCCAGATACTGACGGAAATTGAGTTCCTGGCCCAAGGTGAGAATCACAGGTGAGTGTCTTGCAATGACCATTTCCTGGGAACCCAGAGAATCCTGACTCCTGAAGAGTTTTATTTATTTTAATGCTCCTCTCCTTTATATAACTTGTCATATGTAAACTACAATCTATCGATTATTGGGCGCCATGCCCCTGGTGGTGAATAAATAATGATAAACATATTGAACTAAGAAAATGAGAAGCTGGGCTGACCCCTGAAGATCCTGGTTTAATGCCCTTGGGGCTTGGTTATTAATGTTTTAAAGCTTTCTAAGTAATCCCAATGTGCAGACAGGCTGAGAACAACTCGCACAGATGTTGAGACCAAGGCTGGATTGGATCTGCAGAACAAACACATAAATGTATCCAGGGCTGACAGGCAATCACTAGTTCAAACCTTTTAGCCCTGTGAGTGGGGATAGAGAAGGGGAGGCCGCTGAATTTCCCTTTGGGAGGCAGAGCTAACGTACTTGCCTCATGCTGTTTCTCTATTTTCATATGAGGAATGTCAGGAGGGCTCTCTTTGGGACAGCCCATCTAGCACCCTCGTGGCAGTGGAAAGTGTGGTATTAAATAACAGTGACGATGACCAAGATGATGATGACGGTGTCTCACATCCTTTCACCATCTAACCTAAAGGCTTTAAGGGGAAAGTGATTATTAGCCTTAGATTATTTTTAGCTGTGTGTCTACTCTTTTTTAATTCAAGGCCTGAGAAAGGCTAGCTTTAAAATATCTTTCACATTGCTAGGGAGGTAGTTCATAACAACCAGAAGACATTCATTCATTCATTCTCTCCACGCCGTGTTGAGCACCTCCGGTGTTCCAGGGCTGTCAAATGCTGCGTTAGTTTGCTAGAGCTGCTGTAACAAAGTAGCACAAACTGGCTGGCTTTTTTTTTTTTTTATTGAGTTAATGATAGGCTACAATCTTGTGAAATTTCAGTTGTACATTAATGTTTGTCATTCATGTTGTAGGTGCACCACTTCACCCTTTGTGCCCACCCCCCACCCCACCTTTCCCCTGGTATCCACTAAACTGTTCTTAGTCCATAATTTTAAATTCCTCATATGAGGGGAGTCATACACAGATTGTCCTTCTCTCGCTGGCTTATTTCACTCAACATAATTCCCTCAAGGTCCATCCATGTTATTGCAAATGGAATGATTTTGTTCTGTTTTGCAGCTGAGTAGTATTCCATTGTATTTATGTACCACATCTTCTTTATCCATTCATCTGTTGCTGGGCACTTAGGTTGCTTCCACGTCTTGGCTATTGTAAATAATGCTGCAATGAACACTGGGGTGCATAGGACTTTTGGGATTGCTGACTTCAAGCTCTTTGGATAAATACCCAGTAGTGGGATGGCTGGATCGTATGGTAGTTCTATTTTTAATTTTTTGAGGAATCTCCATACTGTTTTCCATAGTGGCTGCACCAGTTTGCATTCCCACCAGCAGTGTATGAGGGTTCCTTTTTCTCCGCAACCTCACCAACATTTGTTACTATTAGTTTTAGATATTTTTGTCATTCTAACGGGTGTAAGGTGATATCTTAGTGTAGTTTTGATTTGCATTTCCCTGATGATCAGCGATGATGAGCATCTTTTCATGTGCCTATTGGCCATCCGTATATCTTCTTTGGAGAAATGTCTGTTCATGTCTCCAGCCCATTTTTTGATCAGGTTTTTTGATTTTTTGTTGTTGAGTTGTGAGAGTTCTTTATATATTATGGATATTAAGCCTTTGTCAGATATATGACTTGCAAATATTTTTTCCCAACAAACTGGGTGGCTTAATCAGCAGAAGCGTATTGTCTCCAAGTACTGAGGCTAGAAGGCCAAGATCAAGGTGTTGGTAGGGTTGGCTGGTTCTGACAGCTGTGAGGGACAATCTCTTCTATGCGTTTCCCCTGGCTTCTGGTGGTTTGCTGGCAGTCGTTGGTCTTCCCTGACTTGTGGAAGCATCACCCCAACCGCCGCCTTCATCTTCACCTGATGTTCTCTGTGTGTGTGGTCTGTATCCAAATTTCCCCTTCTTATAAAGACACCAGTCATATTGGATTAGGGGCCCACCCTACTCCAGTGTGACCAAGGCTTAATTCACCTAATTGTATCTGTAATGACCCTATGCCCCAATCAGTTCACATTCTGAGGTACTGGGGGCTAAGACTGCAACATAGGAATTTGGGGGGAACATGAGTCAACCCATAGCAAGTGCCAATGCTCTGAAGATGAATAATGTCTGATCCCTGCTGTCAAGGAGCTCTCACAGAAGAGGACAGAGAGTAACAATAAAAATATAACGTGGGAGCCGGCCCCGAGGCTGAATAATTAAGTTGGCACACTCTGCTTCGGCGGCCCAGGATTTTGCCGGTTCGGATCCTGGGCGCGGACATGGCACCACTCATCAGGCCATGCTGGGGCAACGTCCCACATGCCACAACTAGAAGGACCCACAACTAAAAATACACAACTATGTACTGGGGGACTTTGAGGAAAAAAGGAAAAATAAATCTTTAAAAAAAATAAATAGGGCCAGCCCAGTGGCACAGCAGTTAAGTGCGCACATTCCGCTTCAGTCGCCCAGGGTTCGCCAGTTCAGAGCCCCGGTGCAGACATGGCACCGCTTGTCAAGCCATGCTGTGGTGGGTGTCCCACATATAAAGTAGAGGAAGATGGGCACTGATGTTAGCTCAGGGCCAGTCTTCATCAGCAAAAAGAGGAAGATTGGCAGCAGATGTTAGCTCAGGGCTAATCTTCCTCAAAAAAAAAAAAATAAATAAAAGGAGTAAAACCATTTGGGGCCAGCCTGGTAGTGCAGTGGTTAAGTTCACACATTCCACTTCAATGGCCTGGGGTTCGCTGGTTCAGATCCCGGGTGCGGACATGGCACCGCTTAGCAAGCCATGCTGTGGTAGGTATCCCACATATAAAGTAGAAGAAGATGGGCATGGATGCGAGCTCAGGGCCAGTCTTCCTCAGCAAATAGAGGAGGATTGGCAGCAGATTTTAGCTCAGGGCTAGTTTTCCTCAAAAAAAAATTTAATTAATTAATTAATTTTTTAAAAAAGAATTGGAATAGATGTTCTCTAAATTCCCCTTTCTCTTTAAAATATATATATATATACATAACGTGGCAAGGAAAATGATAGAGGCACTCAGCAGTGTATTATGGAAGCTAAGAGAAAGACGGGTATGTAAGCCAACCTCAGTGCATCAGGGCAGATTTCCAGGAAGCTCCACTGAAGCTGAGATTTACAGATGAACAGGAAATGAGGGATTAGGAGGCACTGCGAGAGCGATAACATTCCAGGCTGGGGACACAGCCTAAGCAAAGACATGGAGAGAAGAGACAGCTCTGCTGTACAGGGAACGCTCACCAGCTTGTTGTTCATGGAGGGGTAGACTGCTGGACAGGGAGAGGCAAAAATGACAGAACGAGGCCTTGGAAGGTCTTGTATGTCACATAAAGGAGTCTAGGCTTACACCTTTAGGCAATGTGAGCCGCTGAAAAATTTTAAATGAGAGAGAAGATTTTCCTGTCTCGATACTGCAGGCTTCTGGGAAGGTGCTGCGTTCAGAGAGTCACAATGCTAGGCAGGGCCAGTCGCAGGGTATTTGGCCGTATAGGTGAGCGTATGAGCCCTGAACCAAGGCGGTGATGGTGGGACTCGAGAAGAGGGGACAGCTAGATTAAGTCATCAGGGCTGGGGAACAGAGTGGAATGAGGGAGTGCATCTGAAGCAGGAGTAAAGAACAACTTGCAAATAGCTTGGGGAATTTCTGTTATAACAACTGAATATGAAGAGTCAGAGCCTTCCTTCAACCTTTATTTCCAAAAAATATATTCAAAAACCCTCTTCTGATTCTTACCTTTCTTACAAACAGGACTATTGCTATTGCATTGACTAAGGTCAGCTTCCAGCAAAATTTTTATACCATCCAGATACTCATGGCCAGTGTACTAGGTCTGGATACTTGTAAACATTATAAAGAACGACAGACCAACCTTCAGAATAAAGTCAAGATGCTGTTGGATGAAAAGTTCCACTGTCTTCTTAACGACATTTTCTACGTCCAGGTAACTAGCTGGTGTTAGACTTCGGCAAGAAATACCGATGGGGCGGGTGCTGCAGCTCCCCCCTGATGCTTTATGACTTAGCAGCTCTTTGGCCTTTGTCCTTTTCTTTTCTCATCTGGAGCATCCAGGTGGTAAGGAAATGGCTCCCAATCCCCCTTGAATGAGCATCCACCTTCCTGAGACATAGTGGAGGGATGTAGAAATACCATACTCAAGAAAATCCAGAGGGCCACTTGCAGTTTCATCTTTTTCTCATCTTTCCATCATAGCTATACTATTCCAGCTAGTCTGGGGCACAAAGTCACTCTTCTCCCAGAGGTGACTGCCAATGCAGAGACAGAATGTGCCCTGTTGTCTCCTGTGTCTGTTAGATTCAGTGACGTCGAGTATTCGAGCTAGACGGGGCTTTATGGATCATCTAACACACGAGGATTTTAAGGCACAGAACAGTAAAGTGATTTGCCCAAAGTCACCCAGCTAGTAGTTCTTTTTGCTATTTTCCCATACTAAATATTCTCATAATTCTTTACACAGTTCCCTATTTCAAGAGAGTTCTCCAAGATGAGCACCTTGAGAAAGCGAAAGCTGTTGGAAGCATTGTTTATGAAGATCTTGGAGCAAGTAAGAGCATCTGTAGGTCCAGTAATGGGGGGAGGAAAACTGGGCCTCTCACCACGAAGCCAGGTGGCCTGAGGGGTTCAGACGCCACTGGCAAAAAGCTCTGAAGCATGTGAAAGCTTCATCCTAAAGTGTTTCATTCTCCGCCCTCCTTCCAAACCTTGAGCTAACACTCTGTCCAAAATTTAGCTATGATTGAAGGGAGACCCTTAACCTTCCTCCTGGGAGTCTGGCCTCTCCTTAAAGCCAGCCCTCTTTTTCTCTCCCTCTGTGTGAAAGGCACTGTATCAAAGTGCTTATTCACGTAGGCTCTGTAGTCAGACTACCGATATTTGAGCCCTTAGGCCTATGGCTTCCTACCTGGGTAACCTTGAGCAAGTGACTTTAATCTGTCTCTGCTTTTGTTTCATCATCTATAAAACAGGGAAATAACAGCACCCAGCTCGCAGGGTTGTAAGCTTTAAATGACTAGATTTTGTGTATAACACTTTAGAACAGCGCCTTTTTCAATGGAAACACTCAGTCACTGTGAGCTCTCTCTCTGGGTAATCTTGTGCTTGTCCACTGTGTGTTGATAATCACCAGATTTACCCCCACTTCTCTTATAAGCACCAGAACCATATTTCCAAGAACCTTCTAGATATTCCACATGGATGTGGTAACTCACACTCAGTTCAGCGTCTAATAGTAAATTTATTCATTTTTTCCTATTCCAATGCCCTTTCTTCCTCGTTCTGATCGTGCTCCTTGGTTTAGTTAATGGCAAATTCATCCACACATCATTTAAACTTACCCTTGCTCCCTTTCTCACCGGTTGCCACATCTGCCATATCTAGTCAGTGGCCAAGTCCCACTGGTTCTCCCTCGGGCCGTCTCTGGAATCTCCTGTCCTCTGTTCCTGCTGTAGTTCAGGTTCTCTCTCTTCCTGTACTATTTCCATAGCTTTCCAGCTGACCTCTGTGCCTCGTACGTCTCCGCTCCAATTCATCCTCCACAGAACTGCCAGAGTGTATGCGAATCGCACCAACCAACGCTTTGTACTCTCCGAATAATTCCCAACGCTAATGAGATAAAAGCCAAAAGATTTTTTTTTAAACCTGGAGAAATGCTACTCATCCTTCAATGTCACCTCTTTGGCGACAACTTCCCAAATCACTAGTCGTGACTAATTCCTCTTCCACCATCCTTCTGTAACACTTCAAACATATTTCTTCTTGTGTTTACCATGCTCTCTTGCAATTCGTCACTTGTATGTGTGCCTCTCCCCCCAGGAGAGTGTGAGCTTCTGAAGGGTGGGGAACCTCCTACTCATTTTTGTGTCGCTGTTGACCACCAGAGGGTCTGGCACATTATAAATGGTCAATACAAGTTTGTGGTGTTGCGTTAAAGTTATACTACAACTTCCTTCTTCTCCACCTCAGGCACGTAAGCAGGGCAATATCGGTAATTTCTAAATGTCAGGCTGTGTTTACATCACAAGTATCCAGGAAGCTTCTTTAAAAATACGGATTTATGAGTCCTACCTCTAAAGATTCAAAAGGGCTTGGATTGGGCTGAGGAATCTGTTTAGTTGTTTGCTTTTGTTTTAAAACTTCTCAATTGGTTTTGATGCACAATCTAGTTTGGAAACCACTGCTAAAGCTGTTCTTTAACTGTGTGCTATGACAACAATCTTTGGATCATCTACTCTCTGTGTGACCTTGGCAAGTTACTTAACCTCTCTGTGCCCAAATTTTCTCAGTAAATAGACTCCACCTCTTATGAATGTTATGAGGATTAAATGAGTCCGTTTATGTAAAGAACATCACACAGTGCTTGGAACACAGTAAATTAAATGTAAATCTTGGCTTTCATTCACATTAGAGAGACTCCAACTCAATGACCCCATTTTAACTATGAAGACACCGGGGCGTGTGATGTACTTTTGAATTTATACTCTTTTTCTCCCTGCTTTATTCTCCTAAATTCACAGATAATTCACTGAGAAGGCCACCATACAACTAAAATTCACATTTCTGTCTGCCCCATATTTTTAAAGGTTTTAGCCCCAAACAAAACAAATGTAGTGCTAACCTCCCCGTTAATTAACATGTGCTCGGGGTCGGTGAAGGGCTAGATCTCTGGTAACAGAATGGGCTGTAAGAGCAGGTTTTTACGGACGTGTGATACGGCAGGTTAAAGCAATGCATAGTGGCTGTCCAATGAAGTTTGAAAGTAGCCTTTGCTGCTTTTGTTTATAAAAACACAGAGGAAAAGAAGGGGTTAAGCCTGTGTGCTCTCAGAGGGAACCCAAAGAAGCCGAGAGCAGCCTGGAGCAGTAGGAGGGGGGCCGTGTTCTCCGCGTAGACGCCTCACACAGCGGAGATGCGCGGTCAGCTGTGCAAGGGGCTGATGCCAACATGCAAGCTCTGTATTTTGTTTAATACTGTATCCCCAGCACCTACAACAGTACCTGACCTTAATAGATGCACAATAAATGCTTCATGAGTGAGTAAATAATTCAGACTAGTTAGAGAAGCGTAGTCTACACAAGAAAACGGACACATGATCTGTTTTTAAGTGTAACATATACCACAATTCAAGCTGGAATGGCACAAACTGCCAGCAGGGCAAGGACTAGATCCGACTCCTTCAGCACTGTCTATCCAGCGTCGAGCCCAGAGGGTGCTCCCTAAGTGTGTGTTGAATCTACGTCTGTTGAATAAATGTCAAGTAGAATCCCCAGGAGACCGTCATTTGTCAGCAGATTAAAGTGACTGGTAGTAAACATCAGTTATTTTTATGTAATACATAATGGATGCTTTTACTTGGCTATAACCCCATGTATCCTACAAATTTGTCTTATTCTTACACAAAGATTTGACCAAGTAAAAGTCCATTCCAGTCAGCTCTGTGCGAAGTGCCACAAATTCAGGTTAGTAGAATCTAAATGAATACAAAGTTATTAGAAAGAAAAGATTTCATTTTGCACCACAAAACTCAGTAGATACATATGCATACCCATGCACGTGTGTAAAAACCCAAAGTCCTACAGCATTCTTCCTTCTGTCTCTCTGCCTCGTCCAGACAGTGAAAGAGGAAAGGATTATTTTTATCATCGATGAGGGCCAGTTTATTGATGCAGCCTCCTGGGCCTTTATGGAGAAGCTTGTCCGCACTCTTCCTGTGTTCATCATCATGTCCCTGTCTCCCTTCGTTGGCTTACCCTGTTCAGGGGCCAGTGCCATAATGAAGAACAGGAACACCACCTACGTCACCCTGGGTGCCATGCAGCCTAAGGACATCCGAAACAAGGTCTGCGTAGACCTCAGTGTCAGGGGCATCTCCAAAGAGCTGGACTCGTGAGTAACCCGTTTCTCTCCTGAGGTCTTGACCTGTCATGAATCCGTGTTCATTCCCCAGGTCCAGACTTCATCGGATTCCTTAAGATGTGTCAGAAAGCGCCTGCCTCAGTAGTCTTGCTGGTCTCGCCTTTCCAAAGGGCCATTCATTGCACTTGGTAGCATGGATGCTGCTCATCTTTCCCTTGTTATGGCCCACGTCGCGCTTTCTCAAGCCTTGTTCATGACGTTAGTGTTGTTTCCCTCTCATCATGCTGCACACGGGTATACTCACTTTAATGAACAATGACTGAGGGCATCGCGTGGGCAAGCCACATGAAAGGCAAACTGGTAAACAGTAACGACCACAACCTGCAGCTAAGCAAGGTCTTACCCAGCTGACAATAATGTGGTCTGGCACTGGCGTTTCCTGTTTACGGCAGATGTTGAAGGCTGGCTCTCCAGGCAGCGCTGTCTGAGCTTCTCAGTGGTTCCTCTGCTGAGGTCTTCACAGCAGTGCCCTTAACAACACAGACAGCGCCTCTTCTTTAGCTGCTGTTTACAACCCACCTTGGTACTGGCATCCATCTTTCTAATGAGGTTGCCTTGCTTTTGGAAGAAAGATGTCTTCAACGAAGTCTCTTTTAAAGTAACTCCAGGCATGAATTTGGCAGATTTGCTCCCTTTGTCTCTCTGTTTCTTTCTCTCTATGTATATGTATATATATGTATATATTTATTATGTGTATATAATAATATATATGTATATATACATTTACTTTTTAAAATTTTTTTCTGAGAAAGAGTCACCCTGAGCTAGCAACTGTTGCCAATCTTCCTCTTTTTTATTTGCTTGAGGAAGATTAGTCCTGAGCTAACATCTGTGCCAATCTTCCTCTGTTTTGTATGTGGGTCACTGCCACAGCATGGCTGATTAGTGGTGTAGGTCCACACCCAGGATCTGAACCTTCGAACCTGGGTCACTGAAGTGGAATACACCAAACTTTAACCGCTCGGCCACGGGGCCAGCCCCTGCATTTCTCCAAATCCCAACTCTAGAAATCTATCTCAAAATTATATTGACAAAAACATGAAGTGACCAGATGGACAAAGTTTTTATTGAGGCATTATTTGTATTAGTAAACGTCTGAAAACAACCTGAATGGACATCCTTCTAAGCAGATAGGCAGAATAAACTAGGACGCAGCCACACAGTGGAACACTGCATAGCAGTAAGAAGAAATGAGAAAGATTTGCTGATATGGAGGGATGACCAGGATGTATCGTTGAGTGAAAACACAAGGGGCAGTCCAGTGTGCAGTACGTATAACATGCTGTCTTTGATCTAAGACAGGGGTGAAATGCAGGCGTGTGCATTTGTTTACGTTTTCTAAAAGAAACATTGAAAAAATAAACCAAAAATTAATTCAAATGGTTACTTATAACACGAGGAAGGGAAGCAAGATGGAGGATGTACCTTATTATATAGTTTTGGCTTTGGAAAGATGTAAACGTTTTACATAATCAAAAAGATGAAAGAAAAAGAAAAAAGGCAATTCCTAAAAATGGAAAACAAACCAAGAGAAAGGGAGAATGAGAAGAGATTATTTTTGAGTGATTGAGAAGACTCAAATATTATTTTTCCTTAAAAGGATGTAACCAGCTTGGCTTGTTTTGACTACAGGTACCTGGTGGAGGGGAGCTGTGGGATTCCATTCTACTGTGAAGAATTGCTAAAAAACCTCGATCAACACAGGGTGCTCATTTTCCAGCCAGTCGAGTCCGAGGAAAAGGCAAATGTGACCTGGAACAACCTGTTCAGTAAGTCCCACAGTTGGGTCTTTCTCAGCCTATCCTGCAGAGAGGGTGGCAAGAACGGGCTGTCCCATAGGCGGCTTCCTGCACAGTCAGAGGATCTGGGGAGGCAGGAATGTTGGACCTGGTATCCCAGATTGTGAAAGAACTTAACATCGCCTGGGCCTCACTGAACTGGCGAAGGAATGTGCACCTGTGACAGACCTGAGAGAACCCTGAGGAATCTGAAGGCCCAGGATCAGAAAGGAAGCAGCATTTAGATGTTATCTGGGGAAAAAATTCCTTGTTTTTCAAAGGGAAAATTACTAGCTCAAAGTGAATTGTCAGCAAGGTTCCATGCTACAGAGACATACAAGACGATGAAGTTTGAGACGGTGGCACAAAGGAAGCCAGCTGGAATTTTTACAAACTAATTTTCATGAAAGGAGGAGGTGGGGGTTGGAGAATGGGGTAAGGACGCGAGCCAGAATGCAGAGGATGAGGCAAGGTGAACGGTAAGGAAGTTCTGCGGTGCACGTACAGCTTGTTGAGGGGGTTCGCAGTGGGGGGAAAAAATTCACATGCTAGCAGAAAAAAAAGGAAAGGAAGAAGACAAATGAACTATGTCTTGACATCAAGGAGACCTGTGAAGGTTGAAGAGATATCATCTCTTCCATAGAAAGAGAGAGTATACAGACGTAATCAAAAGAAAATCTTGGCCTTGAAGTCAGGGGTCCAGAGTTCCAGTGCCGCATATGCCATTTAATTACTGGTATTTTGGAACTAGCTACAACCTTTATTGGCAGTTACCTGCAATAAAATGGGGGTAAGGAACTCAAATTCTTTTTCATTTATTCATTCAACAAACATCTACTGAGCACCATCTGTGTCTGATGCCACAGTAGGCACTCTGGGGAGTGTCTTGGAGTATAAATGAAGTGACTGAATACAATAATCCTTTGCTGCCTCATTGTTTTTTTTAAATTAAACTTTTTTGAGGTGATTACAAATTTATGTGCAGTTGTAACAAGTCCTGTCAAGAGATTCTTGTACCCTTTACCCAATTTTCCCCAGTGGTGACATCATGCAAACTATAGTGAATACCACAACCAGGATATTGACGTTCATACAGTCAACATACAGAACATTTCCATCACCATGAGGGTCCCTCATGTTGCCTTTTTATAGCCACCCTGCTTCTCTCCCACCCCTACTTCCTCCTTAACCCCTGGCAGTCAGTAATCTGTTCTCCATTTCTATAGTTGTGTCATTTTAAGAATGTTATATAAATGGAATCATGCAGCATGTAATCTTCTGGGATTGGTTTTTTCCACTCAGCATAACTCAGCCTGGAGCTTCTCCAGGTTGTCGTGTGTCTCCAAGGTGTGTTCCTATTACTTACTGAGTAGTATTCCATGATATGGGTGTGCCACACGTTGTTTAAAACCAGTCACCTGTTGAAAGACATCTGGGTTGTTCACAGCTTTTGGCTATCACAGTAAAGCTGCTATAAGCATTGTGTACAGGTTTTCGTGTGAATGTAAGTTTTCGCTTCTCTAGAATAAGTATCCAGGAATGCAACTGCCGGGCCATATGGTAGTTACACTGTTAGTTAAAAAAAAAAAAAAATAACTGCCAAACTATTTTCCCAGTGGCGATATCATTTTACATCTCCATCAGCAATACATGAGTGATCCAGAATTTTCTGCCATCCTTGCTAACATTCCATGCCACTATCTTTATTTTAGCCATTCTGATAGTATGTGGTGATAGCTAATTGTGGTTTTAACTTGCATTTCCCTAGTGGCGAATGATGTTGAACATCTTTTCGTGTTCTTCCTTGCCATCTGATATCTTCTTTGGTAAAATGTCTCATCATGCCTTTTGCCCATTTTCTAACTGGATTTTTTTTAATGGTGAATTGTGAGAGTTCCCTGTCTATACTAGATACTGGTGCTTTGTTGGATCTGGGGCTTGCAAACATTTTCTCCCATTCTGTAGTTTGCCTTTTCATTCCCTTCACACAGTCTCTCAAAGTTCTTTAATTTCAATAAAGTTCAATTTATCAATTTTTCCTTTCATGGTATGTGTTGAGTCTAAGAACCCTTTGCTTATTCCTAGATGCCAAACATCTTCCCCTCTGTGTTTTTGTTTCATAGTTTTATGTCTTACATTTAAGTTCGTGATCCATTGTGAGTTAGTTTTCACACAAGGTGTGAGCCTTGGGTTGAGGCCCTTCTTCCTTTCTCCCCCTGCCACCCCAGTGGATATCCGTTTGCTTCAGCACCATTTGCTAAAGCCTATATTTTCGTCCTTGAGTTGCTTTTGCATGTTGGTCAAAAATCGGTTGGACATATCCATGTGAGTGTATACCTGGGTTCCCTGTTCTGTTCAGTTGATCTAAATGTCCATCCTTTTGCCATTACCGTACAGTCTTGACTACCAGAGCTATATAAGGAGCCTTGAAACCATGTAGACTGATTGCTCCTACTTTACTCTTTTCTCAAAATTGTTTTAGCTGTTCTAGCTCCTTAGTCTTTCCATATGAATTTTAGAATAATCTTGTCTGTGTCTACAAACAATCTTGCAGGGATTCTGATTGGAATTTCAACACATAGGCGTTGCATTGTACGTCAATTTGGAGAGAACTGACATCTTTACTGTGTTGTCTTCCAATCCGCGAACACAGTATGTCTCACCGCTTATTTAGATCTTCTTTGATTTCTTTCACTAGTGTTTTGTAGTTTTCACCACACAAACCCTAGGCATATTTTATTAGATTGAAACTTAAGTATTTCTTTTTTGAGGAAAGATTATGAATGCTGTTATATTTTTAATTTTGGTGCCCACATGTTCATTGCTAGTATGTAGAAATGCAACTGATTTTTGTGTGTCTATCTTGTTCACGCATCCTTGATGAACTCATTTATTAGTTCTAGGAGTTTTTTATTTGGTAGGTTCTTTGGGATTTTCTATGTAAAAAGTCATGTTATCTGCAAAAAGGGGCAGTTTTATTACTTCCCTCCCAGTCTGCATGCTTTTTATTTCTTTTCTAGCCCATTGCCCTGGCTAGAACTTCAAGCACTATGTAGAATAAGAACAGTGTGAGAAAACATCTTTTCCTTGTTCCTGATATTAGGGAGAAGGTGTTTAGTCTTTTACCATTAAAAAGCCATGAGCAGGGCTGGCCCAGTGGCACAGCACTTAAGTTCACACGTTCCGCTTCGGTGGCCCGGGGATCACCAGGTCGGATCCTGGGTGTGGACATGGCACCGCTTGTCAAGCCATGCTGTGGCAGGCGTCCCCCATATAAAGTAGAGGAAGATGGGCACTGATGTTAGCTCAGGGCCAGTCTTCCTCAGCAAAAAGAGGAGGATTGGTGGCAGATGTTAGCTCAGGGCTAGTCTTCCTTGAAAAAAAAAAGCTGTTAGCTGTAGGTTGTTTGTAAATGCTCTTCACCAAGTTGAGAAAGTATCCTTTTATTCCTATTTTTCTGACAGTTTTTATCATGAATGAGTGTTGAATTTTATCAAATAATTTTCTGCATTGATTGCTATGATTATGTGCATTTTCTTTTCTGTTAATATGGTGAATTACATCAACTGGCTTTCAGATATTGAACCAGCCTTGCACCCCGGGATAAACCCCACCTTGTCCTGGTGTATTATTATTATATACTGCTGAATTCTATTTGCTTAATACTGTGTTAAGGAATTTTGTGTCTATATTCATGAAGGATATTGTTCTGTGGTTTTCTTTCTTTCACACTGTTTTTGTCTGATTTTGTGGTTAGGGTACTACTACCTTAATAAAATGAATTGGGAAGTCTTCCCTCCTCTTTTATATTCTGGAGATTGTGTAGAATTGGAAAGAATTCTTCCTTAAATGTTTGGTAGAATTCTCCAGTGAGATTTCCTTTTGGGGAGTTTTTAAATTACAAATTCAATTTCCTTAATGTGGTGAGGCTTTTCAAATTATCACTTTTATATTGCATCAATTGTGGTAGCTTATATTTTTTGAGGAATTGGTCCATTTCATCTAAGTTATCGAATTTATGTGTCTAGAGCTGTTTGCAGTGCTCAGTAGCCATCCCTTGGTGTCTGTAGGGTCTACAGTGACAGCCCCTGTTTCATTGCTGATATTTCTCTTTGTTAGTCTTGCTACAGATTTGTCAGTTTTCTTGAACTTTCCAAAGAATCCGCTTTTTGTTCCATTGCTTTGCTCTTTTGCTTTTCCGTTTTCCGTTTCACTGATTTCTGTTCTTCTGTTATTTCCTTCTTTCTGCTGAAGTTGAATTTGCTCTTCTTAGTGGTGGGAGCTTGAATTATTGATTTGAGATATTTCTATTTTTTTTTAAGTCGGGGTTTTAATTTTTTAAAATTTTTTTGAGGAAGATTAGCCCTGAGCTAACATCTGCTGCCAATCCTCCTCTTTTTGCTGAGGAAGACTGGCCCTGAGCTAGCATCCGTGCCCATCTTCCTCTACTTTATATGTGGGACACCTACCACAGCATGGCTTGCCAAGTGATGCCATGTCCGCACCCAGGATCCGAACCGGCGAACCCTGGGCTGCTGAAGCGGAACATGTGACCGTAACTGCTCCGCCACCAGGCCAGCCCCACTATTTCTTTTTTCTAATGTATGCGTGTTAGTGGTACAAATTTTCCTTTCAGTACTGCTTTGGGTATGTCTCACAAATTTTTGATATTTTGTATTTTCATTTTCATTCTTTTCAATGTATTGTTTTTTACTTCCCCTGAGATGCTCTCTTAGTCATGGATTATTTAAAAGTATGCTGTTTAGTTTCCAAGTGTTTGGGTCCAACATAACGTTTCTGTTATTAATTTCTAGTTTATCCATTGGACTTGGAGAACATACTCTGTATGATTTTAATTCTTTTAAATTTGTTGAAGTTTGTTTTACTGACCAGGACATGGTCTATTTTGGTTGACATTCTAAAGGCATTTGAAAAGAATATGTATTTTGCTTTCATTGGTAGAGTGTTGTAGAAATGCTAATTAGATCCTGTTGTTTGATGGCGGTGTTGAGTTCTTCTATGCCGAGGGCTGATTTTCTGTCTAGTTGTTCTGTCAATTGCCGAGAGATAAATGTTCAAGTCTCCAACTGTATTTGTGGATTTGTCTGTTTCCCTTTTCAGTTCTATCAGGTTTTGCTTCACATATTTTGCAGCTTTGTTTGATGCATAAACATTTAGGATTGCTATTTTTCTTGGTGTATTGACACTTTTATCATTATATGGTATTCCTCACTGTCTCTGGTAACTTTCTTTGCTCCAAAGTCTACTTTGCCTGATATTAATATATCTACTCATTTTCTTTTCATTAATATTTGCATGATATATCTTTTGCCGTTCTTTTACTTTCAGCCTGCCTATGTCATTATATTTGAAGTTTCTTATAGACAGCATGTAGTCGAGTCATGTTTTTAAAACCACTCTGATGATTTCTGTCTTTGGATTGGTATATTTAGACTATTTACATTGTATTTACATTTAATGCAAGTAATATATTAGGGCTTAAGTCTACCATTTTATTTTTTGTTGTATTTTTGTTCTGTTTTTCATGTCTCTGTTTGTATTTTTCCACTTTTCTTTGGGTTATTTGAACATTCTTTAGAACTCTATTTTGATTTATCTATAGAATATTTGAGCATCTCTCTTTGTATAGCGTTTTTTTTTTTTTTTTTGAGGAAGATTAGCCCTGAGCTAACTGCTACCAATCCTCCTCTTTTTGCTGAGGAATACTGGCTCTGAGCTAACGTCTGTGCCCATCTTCCTCTACTTTATATGTGGGACGCCTACCACAGCATGGCTTGCCAAACGGTGCCATGTCCGCACCCGGGATCCGAACTGGCGAACCCCGGGCCACCAAAGTGGAACATGCGCACTTAACCGCTGCGCCACTGGCTGGCCCCTGTATAGCTTTTTTAGTGGTTTCTCTAGGTATTATATTGTATATACATAACCTATCACAGTTTGCTGACACAAACCGTTGCTGGACCCAGTCCCAATGTGTGTGTGTGTAGGCTTCCCCAGACCAACAAACAGTTCTTAGACACCTTGCTGGTGTGTGAGAATTCAAGTCAATTGTGACACTATCTACCTGTAGATAGAATCAGATTCCACAGGTAGAGGGCTCCGTCCCACAAGACTGCCCTCCACTTGAGATGCCAGTTGCAAGCCCAGGTACTTCTGATCAACTGGCTATAAATCAGAGGTTCCCACGACCCCCTCCTTGGGTTCAATTAATTTGCTAGAACGGCTCACGGAACTCAAGAAAACCTGTTTATTCACTAGATTACTGACTTATTACAAACCATGTTAAAGGATATGAACCAACATCCCGCTGAAGAGATACTTAGGGTGAGGTTTCAAACCATGGAGCTTCTGTCCTTACGGAGCCAGGGCCGGGCACAGTGGCACATGGAAGTGTTCTGGCTCCCCATTGTGGAAACTCTGAAAAAGGGCCAATGAGTTGTCCTTTTGGGTTTTCTTTTTTGTTTTTTGCTTTTGGTGAGAAAGATTGGCCCTGAGCTAACATCCGTTGCCAATCTTCCTCTTTTTGCTTGTGGAGGATTGTCACTGAGCTAACATCCATGCCAGTCTGCCTCTATTTTTGTAATGTGGGATGCCATCACAGCATGGTTTGATTAGCAGTGTGTAGGCCTGTGCCCAGGATCCAAACTTGTGAACCCTGGGCCGCTGAAGCAGAGACAGCAAACCCAACCAGTGCACCACTGGACTGGCTGCCCCTTTGGGTTCTTACGGAGGCTTCATTATGTGATCATGACTGACTAGGTCATTGGCCATTGGCAAATGATTCAACCTCTAGCCCCTCTCTCCTCCCCAGAGGCCAGGGGGGTGGGACTAAAAGTTCCAACCCTCTAATCATGTCGTTGTCTCCACTGGTCTTCAGGAGCTTTCCAAATGTACCCTCATTAACATAACAAAAGACACCTCAATCACTCTCAACACTTAGGAAATTCCAAGGGTTTGGGGAGGTGTGAGGCAGAAATGGGGATGAAGACCCAATATATATTTCTTATAATAAATCACAATATCACAACTGGTGTCATCATTTTACCAGTTTGAGTAGAGTATGGAAACCTTACCCCTTTTTACATCCCTTTACCCTCTACTATTTATAATTGTCTTAAACATTTCTTCTGCATATATTTTTTTGAGGAAGATTAGCCCTGAGCTAACTGCTGCCAGTCCTCCTCTTTTTGCTGAGGAAGGCTGGCCCTGAGCTAACATCCGTGCCCATCTTCCTCTACTTTATACATGGGATGCCTGCCACAGCATGGCTTGCTGAGTGGTGCCATGTCCGCACCGGGGATCCGAACCGGCGAAACCCGGGCTGCCAAAGCAGAATGTGCGCACTTAACCACTGTGCCAACAGGCCGGCCCACTCTGCATACATTTAGAACAACACTAGGCAGTTGTACAATTTTTGCTTCAATTGCAAACATAATTCAGCAAACACAGAGGAGAAGAGAAATCTATTGTATTCACCCATATTTTTGCTTAGCCTCTTCTTTCTTCTTTCCTGGTGTTCCACAGTTTCTTCTTTTATCATTTCCTTTCTTTTTAGAGAATGTTCTTTAGTGATTCTTTTAGGGTTGGTCTACTGGCTTTCAATTCTCTTAGTTTGGTAAGAGTGAAACTTCTTGAAAAAAAGCTTTTTTTAAAAAAAACAAACAACTTTCAGTGGTTTCCCATTGAGCTTACAGTGACCCCCAAACTCCCAAGCAGGACTGGAACTCCCCGCAGGATCTAACTTCCACGCCCCTCTCTGATTCACATAATGAGATTATCCCATGAATTTATTTATCTGTCATTGATTGTTGGTCTCCCATCGTTAGAATGTCAGCTCCTCAGTCTCCAATCTTACAATGATGCCCAGGACCTGGAGGCACCCAACTGATGTTGTGGAGTGATTGAAAGAATGGTATCAGTGCTAGGTCTTGCAAAGGGAAAGAGAAAAGCATAGAAGAGACTGGATCAAGTCGCACCCTTGATCCCACTCTCCTACCTACCCCCCCCCACTCACACCTGGCCCCTTTTTTTGGTGTGCTGCCCTCCCTTGGTTTCCCTAATGCTGTACTCTTCCCGTCCCCCCTACCTCTCTGACTAGTCATCAGCTTGGCTCCTCTCCCTGGGTCTACTTGCCCCACTAGCACAGTCCTCAAGTTCCATCCTTAGCCCTCTTCTTTGCTAGCTTGGTACTCTCTCCCCAGTAGTTTTCAGTTATTCATCTATTCCCCAGCCTCCAGGTGGAAGTGTGAGTGCGCGTGTGTGTGTAATCTCCAACCATAACCTCCCTTAATCCAGACTCATGTTTCCGATTTCCCATTGGACTGTCCTATAGATCCCCTCAAACTCAACCCATCTGAAACTTACTGTATTACCCTCCATCGCATACTGCGCTTCCTCCTGTCTTTCCTAGCTTGATTTTTGGCAACATCTATTTCTCTCTCACCTCCATCACTATCTTGCCTATGCCTCATTTTCTCAATATCATTAGTATCCTTGCAGTACCACTCACCTCATCCTGCCCATCATCACTTCTTGATATTCCATCGTTATAGCGTCTGACGCAGACTTCCTTCTCCTATTCTCTTGCCTCTCCTACTTGCTGCTTCCAGTGTTACTTTCCTAAAAATAATTGGTTGGATTACTACTATTCCCTCTTCAGAAACTGTGACATTTCCCCATTGTCTATGGAATAAAGACCAAACTTCGTAGTGCGATGTTCAATGTCTTCCATACTCTGCTCCCAAACTCTCTCTCCAAATACGTCTCCTGCAGGAGCACTCCAGGGCTCTACACACCGTGGCTCAGCTGCGCTGGTCTCCTTACATTCTCCTAATTGGTAACGTGCTCATGGCTTCTGTGCCTTTGCATTGACTGCCCCTCTATTTTCTACTTGGAATATCTCTTCATCCTTCGTGGTGCGATCAAAATACTTCCTCCTCCATGAAGCCTTTCTGAATCCACCAAGACTGAACTAACTGTTCTTTCTTCTCTATCCCGCAACATACTACTCGTTGCTCTTTACCTCTTAAATCACTCTTCCTGGTATTAGGACTAGTTACTTAAATCTCTGTCTCCATGGATTGTAAGCTCCTTGAGGGTTAAAAGCATGCATTACTCACATTTATAGCCTTCACAGGCTATGGTGAATAAAAAGTCTGTACGGTATTGACATGAACTCTCTGACACTTGCTGTTTGTGCCCATTCGCATGGCGCTCGTTTACTGCCTGCCAGTCTAGCTCGTTATGTATGGATCTCATCTCTCCAGGAGATTAGGAACTTAGCTGTGCTCATCTTCGTATTTCCACATCGCCTATCACAGTGTCTTGCAACTCAAGTGTTACATGAATGACTGGAGGGATAAATAAGTAATGCATTTTGGGGTGCCAGGAGACAAAATTACTAGGCAAGTTTACTATTCAAACCTCACCATTTTTAATATCTCTTTCTGATAATAACCATGTCGTACTCAGAGTACAGTCTCCCACAGAATGTGTTTGCATCTGATGGGTATTTGAGCATGCATACAAGATCCATCCTGATAATCTTTGAATCAAATTTTTGTAAAACTGCAGGTATTACGGAAGGAAGGCTTCCAATAGTTATTACCAATCCCTTTTTTGGGGGGTGGGGAGGCAGAACATTTTTAAAGTAAATTTAGATTTTCATATGTCGGTTTTACATAAAACATAGTATTCCAGAATACCTGATGAGCCAATACACATCTCTGCCTGCTCTTTCTCACATGAGATCCATCTCAAAGCTTATTGGAAAATCAGGATAATCACAGGACGATGACTCGACTTTTCTTCCCTTTTATCTTCCAATAGAGAATTTTGCTAAGCCAACAGAGGAATTAAAAATGTTCACTCTCAGTAATGAGGAGGAAAGTGAAGAATTCTGTAACCTCGCAAGTGGTGTCAGACTGAAAAACTTGTCACCGCCAGCATCATTAAAAGGTAAAGAAAATTTGACCTGGTGTTCATTTTCTGGGACTTAAAATCCCCTTTTGCCGTCTCTAGGATGGCTATCTAAAAAAGGAGAAAGGATAGTAGTAACAGCCTGCGGTTGTTGTCTGTTTTGTGTTGCCCCAGGCAGTGGGAAGTCTCCACGGTGGGCTTAGCTTTTCTCCTTCTAATTAGGAGCCACCTTCCCGCTGTGCATATTCTGGGGTCTGATTTGAACAAAGTTTTGCTTAATTGCATAAAAGAATGAGGTACAGTATATATTGAATTAAACAGAAACCAAATAGAGAAAACCCAATATTGAAACTCTTTCTGCCATCTACTTTTATAAGAAATGGCGAGCAAGGCAATTTATATCATGGCTGTATTATTATTCTTTAAAGAAAATTGGCTTTCAAGCAATGTTCTAGTATGCATTCAGCTCTAATCCATGCCGTCTATAAATAACTTCAAATGTTTCGAAGGATGACCTAGGGACGCCTCAAGGTTCTCAGTCTTCAGAAGAGCATCATTTGTGTTTTGTTCACGATGTCTACTAAAGCAGGAAGGTGGACTAGGGTGGCCTGTGTAGTGTTCTGTGGGCAAGTTGAGAAGTTCAAATATCGTCTCTGATGAGGGGGCTGCATTGGAAGGACATTCTGATCAAGATGTCCAGGAGGCCACGTGAGCTTTGATGCTTGAGCTTAGGTGAAAAGCTGGGTTTGGAGTAGGAACTTCCGGACACTTTGGCATGAGCGTAGAGATGACAATGGACTGTCACAAGAATAAATGAATCTCTGAGGAAGATAGAGAGAAGGCTTATTGGTAAGAGGTTCCAGGAGAAGGCGTAGCCAGTGAAGTAGATAGAGAAGGACCCGCTGGAGAAGTCAACACAGAACATGGATGGCGAGCCCTGCGTTTTCTGACTACTGTGGCCTGCAATAACCTCTCCTCTCCTCCAAACCCTTGCCACACTTTAACGCAAAATCAGAATACCTTGAAATCAATCCTATTTTTGTCTGACCACTGTGCTATTTGTATTTTTAGATCATAGCATCTACATCTTTTGTATTCCCAGCGTGAGTGCTATCTGTGAAGTAGGTACTAAGAAAATCCTTCTTTTGGCTTAGTTTGGCTGGGTTTCTGTTACCAAGAACTGTAGAACAGGACAGTTGCCCATCTCCAGAATGTATTTGATAAAGACAGATTACCACTTCACTATCGTGTGGCTTTCCACCTGCAGAAATCTCTCTGGTTCAGCTGGATAGCATGAGCCTTTCCCACCAGATGTTAGTGAGATGTGCGGCCATCATTGGCCAGACCTTCACTACAGAGTTGTTGTTTGAGATTCTCCCTTGTTGGAACATGAAGATGATGATCAAGGCCCTGGCGACTCTAGTGGAATCCAACATCTTTGATTGTTTCCGGAATGGCAAGGAGCTCCGAATGGCTCTGAAACAGAACACGGCCTCGTTTGTGGTGAATTATCGCTCCCTGTCTCTGAAGCCCAGTGAAGGAATGGGTGAGTAAAGCCTGGAAGTGACCCATACTTCCTGTTAGTTAAAGGGACATCTAGATCAAAGAACTGATCTCGGTTAAGTAGCAGGAGTTGATTCGTTGCCCAGCGCCTGGCTGAAAAAACCTTTCTGTTCTCTCTAGCTCACGGAGAGGAGGAAGAGCTTCGTGAGCTGGAAAGCGAGGTGATCGAGTGTCACATCATTCGATTCTGCAAGCCTATTATGCAGAAAACAGCCTATGAGCTGTGGCTGAAGGACCAGAAGAAAGCCATGCACTTGAAATGTGCCCGCTTTTTAGAAGAAAATGCTCACAGGTGTGACCACTGCCGAAGTGGTGACTTCATTCCGTATCACCACTTCACGGTGGACATCCGGCTCAACACTCTGGACCTGGGCACCATTAAGAAGATGGCGAAGTCCCATGGATTTCAAAGTAAGCTTACTCTAGTCCTAATTAGTCCTAACTACTCCTGGGGAATGTGGAGGCTAAGACTTAGAATGAGTGAGTCTGGACCTGGAGGGTTTCAAGCCCCCTGAGGCTTGGGCACAGCAAACGCTGAGACGCCAGCAGTACCGGTCAGTGGGGCAGGGGAGAGCTGGGAATGTGTGTGTAGCCAAGTCTAGCAGAACCAATCTCACTGTGAGACTCTCAGTGAGGAACTGGGGACAAGAACTCTGGCAAAATGGAATGTGATCAGAGCTCAAATTAAAGTGTCCAAAGGGATAACACAAATTCAGCCTGTCAGCGCCCAGGATTCGAACCAGCGAAACCCCTGGCGGCCGAAGCGGAGTGTGTGAACTTAACCATTCGGCCACGGGGCCGGCCCCATGTCAGTCTAGTTTGAAACAAGGTTCCAGCAAAAAAAGAGTATGAGTGAGAGAGAATTGTGCAAGGCTAAGCAAGTCAGGGCTCCAGAAAAGAGGGCTTGGGTTCAAGACCATCTGTGAGGCAAAAGTGAAAAAGGTACAAAGTGATAGGACAAATCAGCCATTCAACCTGGGAAAACACAGTAGAGGATCCAAGGGGTGCCAGGGCCCAGGGACTCAGCTCCTGCAGACATGACAGGTGTGAGACTCGGGCAGCAGCCCCAATTCCTGCCCTCACTTGTGGGTGGCCAGGGAGCACCCAGTGTGCTGCCTGCCCTCACCAAAGGCCTCAGTGATTATGGCTAAATCTGGTCGGGAAAGCAAAGACTACAAGTAGAGGATTTTTATATGTTAAAGGATATTAAAAATTCGGAAGAAATGTATGCAAAGTGCCTAGCACATAGTAGGTACAAAATAAATATTTATTCTCATTCGTTCTCTATTTTACACGCATTTTTATTTGGTCCTCATATCACCCCTCCACGGTGGTGGGCTATTTTCATTTGATACACAAGAAAATTGAGCTTCTGGATGATAAAATAACTTGTCCAATGCCAGAGAATGAGTGGCAGACTTTATGCAACCCCAGATCAATCTAATTCCGAAGGTCATGCTGTGCCCGTTGCACCTGAGCTTCCCAAAATGCAGGGTTGGACTTTTAGGTAATACGGGCCAAGGAGATTGGAAGAAGTTCATAGCTACAGCATCAGGTATGAGTCAGAGAGCAAGGACGGTGACTTGATCAAGAGGAAAGCAGCTTTGCACCCTGGTCCCAGCCTATTGTTGACCCTGTTTACTAACACCTGCCTATCTCCCTTTTCAAAAAAGAGAAATCGAGCTCTAGGTTCAGGCCTTCGAGTCTGGATCATGAGGATTTCCAGCCCCCTGAGGGCTTGGGCGCAATGATGGTGAGACGTCAGCTGTAATCTTAGACTTAGCAGACGTCAGCAGGGACGATGTCAGGGCAATGTACATGTGGCTGAGTCTAGTGCTTATTATTAGCATTGATTACATTTCCCCTCGTGCATTATGTTTTTCCAAAATTGGAAATGTTTTATTATTATTATTATAGAAGTACTATGTGTGTAACATGATGTTGAACTTGAAATTTGTACCAAGCACCAAGATACAGGGGATGCTGCAATCCAAAGTGAGGTAATAGACGGACATACAGAATTTATGAAAGAAACAGCTGTGGGTCAGTTATCATCCTGGATCCCTCATCCAGAGCCAAGACATAAGAGTGAGGAGGAGTGTGGAGAGAGCCAGGGTTAGTGAAGAGATGTCTTTGGGGGGAACCGATGAGGTTGTGCGTGCCCTCCTCAGCTTGGTTGCTTCCTTTGTCACTTCAACCCTAGTAAGGTGTCTTCCTTGGAATCAGGTAGAGGACACGGAAGACTGGGGCCTCCCTCATACCTAAGAAAGCTAAAGTGGCCTGTGGCTGCACCGGGACCAACGTGCCCTCCCAGAGTTTGGGAAAGGATGTGTGAGAGTCTCCCATGGATCAGATATAGCTCACCTGGGAGAAAAAGCCAGACTGGAGGCATTTAAGTCCTTCCCCAGAGTACCCTTAGGAATGTGAGAAGAGTCCTAGATCCTTGGAATGGATCGAGACTCAAAAAAAAATTACAGTTTTTAAGAGGAACATGAGGATTGAAAGAGAGTGAATCGCTAGAACAAAACAGGGGCTAAGGGAGCAGGCTGCGGAGAGCTGGAAAGGATGCACGCCCAAACCCAGGAAGCTTCAGGGAGGGGTCCCAACACAGGGCCATAGTCCATAGGCAAAGAACCAGTGAGAGTATCAGTAGGAGAGAGCTGACTGACAGAGATATGAGAAAGAGGAGAGAATATTCCACACTGTGTGGGATCAGCGTTATTATGTATATATTATATATGAAAAGGTATATAAATATACATTTGGGGGGCTGAAATCAGCTGGCATCTAGTGGCTAGGTGGATCCGAGCAGTTGGTCTGAAGCAGGCTGGCCAGGGTCATGAAGGAAAACACGTTGAGTTGGCTGGGATCCTGCGGTCTACCTCACCGCAGTCTAGCTCGGGAGTGTATGTGCCCAGGTGTGTCCGAGCGATGTCTGCCCTTTCACCAGCACCTCCACCCGAGTGAGCCCAGGGCTCTACTGTTTCTCTTATCAGGATTTTTCAGCCGTTTAAAAGGGTATCAACTAGACATCTTTAAATACAGACTTTTTAAATTTCCTAAAAGTTTTACCGTGAATACAACAATCTCAAGACCCGCTGTCCCACGCGCCTTCAGCAGTTCTCAGGGGCGACGTTCAGCTTAGCTGTTTTTTCAGCCATCACCTCCATATACCAAATGATGTGTTAATAATGCTTTTTAAAAGATCGAATTCTGACATTATCTATTGTCTTGCTGTGGTAGGTGAGGATTAAACTCCGCTATGCCGCTCCTCAGCACCTTACCCCAATATTGTTGTATTACTATCGTGAGATAAACCCATCAAGTGTTTGCATTATTGAGACTATGTAAATGCTGCCTATTGCAGAATCGAGGAATATACTGTGAAGAGATTTCTTAACTAAAGTCTATTTTTCCTGGAGTTTCTAGGAGACTTTTCTTTTTTCAGTGTCTTCCTTATAATACCCTGCTTCAATCTTGGCTGGACGCTCTGTCTGTCCGTTACCCCTCTGTCTCCCCAAGTGTGGGGCATGCCTTTGGGTAATGCTGGTGAAGAACGTCATTGGAAGAGGTTCAAGGATGCAGCCTTGGATCAAGTGGTGACGTTGGTCTTCTTCCAGGATCAACAGCTCTTGGAATCCTTCCTGGACTCTCTCCTTCCACTTGCTCTCCCTACTGCATGAGCGACCACTCCTCTGTCTCCTTTGTCTTCTAGACGTGTGTTGAAATCTCATCTAATGTTTCATTAACTCACTCAACAAATACTGAGTTTCTACTGCGTGCCACACCCTGCGCTAGGCCCCTGAGCTGCATCAGTGAACAGAGCAGCAGTCTACTGGGGAGAAGCAGACAATGGAGAAGAAAACATCATAAAGCAGTAAATTCTAGTGTATGTTATAAGTGATAGATCTGAAGGAGGAAAACAAAAAAGGGTATTGGGTAGAACAAGGGGGATTAGGAGTGCAGAGTCCCTAGGGTAGCCTCCAGGAGAGGTAGGATCCGTAGAAAGACAGAGGAAGTGGGGGACTTTGTTGTATGGAGGGCTGGAGAAGAGCATGCTAGGCAGGGAGGTAGCCAGTGCAACGGCCCTGCGACAGGAATTGACTCTCCATTGAATACATTGTGGGTTTATGCTTTTAAAAATTATTTCGTTCTCATTTTATTGGGGTAAAATGTCCTGGACCTGGAGGTATATGAGATAAACAAAAGAGGTCAGTCTGTCACCAGAACCGAAAGTCTTATTTCTCAGTCTTTGAAACTATCAGGTGAGCACGTGATATTTTTGCTTTCCTCCTTTCTTCTGAGAACCCATAAGCATTTTGCATATTTTTTTCCTTTGGATTTTTACAGATCCTCTTTGAAGTAGGAAACTCTTTTTTTTTTTTTTTTTTGAGGAAGATTAGCCCTGAGCTAACATCTGCTGCCAATCCTCCTCTTTTTGCTGAGGAAGACTGGCCCTGAGCTAACATCTGTGCTCATCTTCCTCTACTTTATATGTGGGACGCCTGCCACAGCATCTCGTGCCAAGTGGTGCCCTGTCCGCACCCGGGATCCGAACTAGTGAACCCCGGGTCGGCGAAGCAGAACATGCAAACTTAACCACTGTGCCACCAGGCCAGCCCAAGGAAACTCTTAATATTTTGTTTGTAATGAAGAAAATTAAGAACTAAAACTAAAAATAATATGATTCACCCAAGGGGTAAATGATAATAATGACAAAAAGCATGTCTTGTATACCCCAACTTTATTTGCTTTATCTAGCCAATATTGCTCTTCTCTGCATCTCATTCTATCACTATTATAATTTGAAACATAAAAAAATAGGATTTTGAATAATAAAGATCATATATGAGAAACCCACAGCCAACATCACACTCAACAGTGAAAAACTGAAAGCCATTCCTCTGAGAACAGGAACAAGACAAGGGTGCCCACTCTCACCACTCTTATTCAACATATTTGTGGAAGTTTTAGCTAGAGCAAATAGGCAAGAAAAAGAAATAAAAGGCATCCAAATTGGAAAGGAAGAAGTGAAACTGTCACTATCTGTGGATGACGTGATTCTATATATAGAAAACCCTAAAGGATCCATCACAAATCTATTAGAAATAATTGTCGAATACAGTAAAGTTGCGGTATACAAAAACAACATACAAAAATCAGTTGCGTTTCTATACAGTAATAACGAACTAGCCGAAAGAGAAATCAGGAATATAATCCCATTTACATTCGCAACAAAAAGAATAAAATACCTAGGAATAAATTTAACCAATGAGGTGAAAGACTCATACACTGGAAACTGTAGGACATTGAAGAGGAAAGAAACTGACAGAAATTGAAGGAGACGGGGGCTGGCCCCGTGGCCGAGTGGTTAAGTTTGCGCGCTCCGCTGCAGGCGGCCCAGTGTTTCGTTAGTTCGAATCCTGGGCGCGGACATGGCACTGCTCATCAGACCACGCTGAGGCGGCGTCCCACATGCCACAACTAGAAGAACCCACAACGAAGAATACACAACTATGTACCGGGGGGCTTTGGGGAGAAACAGGAAAAAATAAAAAAAATCTTTAAAAAAAAAAAAAAAAGAAAAGAAATTGAAGGAGACGTAAAGAAATGGAAAGATATTCCGTGCTCATGAATTGGAAGAATAAACAGAGTTAAAATGTTCACATTACCTAAGGCAACCTACAGATTCAACGCTATCCCAGTCAGAATCCCAATGACATTCTTCACAGAACTAGAACAAAGAACCCTAAAAATCTATGTGGAACAACAAAAGACCCCAAATAGCTAAAGCAATCCTGAAAAAAACCGAACAAACCTGGAGGCATCACACTCCCTGATTTTAAAATATACTACAAAGCTATAGTAATCAAAATAGCATGGCGCCAGCCAGAAAAACAGACACACAAAAGAATGGACTGCCACGTGCAAAGAATGAAAGTAGACTGTTATCTTACACCATACACAAAAATTAACTCAAAATGGGTTAAAGACTTGGATGTTAAGACCTGAAACCATAAAATTCCTAGAGAAAAACATAAATAGTACACTTATTGACATCAGTCTTAGCAGTATCTTTTCAAATACCCCGTCTGCTCAGGCAAGGGAAACAAAAGAAAAAATAAACAAATGGGACTTCATCAGACTAAAAAGCTTCTGCAGGGCAAAGGAAACCATCAACAAAATGAAAAGATAATCCACCAACTGGGAGAAAATATTTGCAAATCATATATCCCACAAGGAGTTAATTTCCAAAATACATAAAGCACTCATACAACTCAACAACAAAAAAACAAACAACCTCATCAAAAATTGGGCAGAGGATACTAACAGACGTTCTTCCAAAGAAGATATACAGATGACCAACAAGCACAGGAAAAGATGTTCAACATCACTAAACATTAGGGAAATGCAAATCAAAACTACAATGAGATATCACCTCACACCCATCAGAATGGCCATTATTAAAAATCCAGGAGGGGCTGCCCCATGGCCGAGTGGTTAAGTTCTCGAGCTTTGCTTCGGCGGCCCTAGGTTTTGGCAGTTTGCATCCCGGGTGCAGATATGGCACTGTTTATTAGGCCACGCTGAGGCAGTGTCCCACATAGCACAACCAGAGGCGCTCACGACTAGAATATACTATATAATGGGGGGCTTTGGGGAAAAGAAGAAGGAAAAAAAAAAGAACTTTGGCAACAGATGTTAGCTCAGGTGCTAATCTTTAAAAAAAAAAAAAGGCAAGAAATAAGTATTGGAGAGAATGTGGAAAGAAGAGAAACCTCATACACTGCTGGTGCGAACGCAATCTGGTACAGCCACTATGGAAAACAGTTTGGAGATTTCCCAAAAAATTAAAAATAGAAATATCATATGATTCAGTTATTCCACTTCTGGGTATTTATCCAAAGAACATGAAAATACTAATTCAAAAAGACGTACGCAGCCCTATGTTCATTGCAGCATTATTCACAATAGCCAAGACTTGGGAGCAACCCAAGTGCCTACCAGTGGATGAATAGATAAAGAAGATATGGTATACACACAGTGGAATACTACTCAGCCATAAAAAAGACAAAATTGTGCCATTTGCAGCAACATGGATGGACCTTGAGGGTATCATGCTAAGTGAAATAAGCCCAGATGGAGAAAGACAAATGCCATATGATTTCACTCACGTGCAAGATAAACAAACTCATAGATAAGGAGAACAGATTGGTGGTTATCAGAGGGGAAGGGAGTGGGGAAAGAACAAAAGGGGTAAAGGGGCACAGACGTATGGTGATGGATAAAAACTAGACTATTGGTGGTGAACACGTTGTCGTTTATACAGAAACTGAAATATAATAATGTACCCTTGAAGTTTATACAATGTCATAAACCAATGTGACCTCAATAAAATAATTCATAAATATATATATAGGATGTTTAAGGAGGAATAGCACTTTATTTTTACTCATTGATTTTTTTCCGACAAATGTGCATTTATTCAGCAAATATTTATTGAGTATCTACTATGTGCCAGGCAGTGATGCAGGTCTACGGGGGATATAGTGGTGGAAATGACAGATGTGTGTCTATTCTCATATATTTGAATTGCAATGAAGGCTGATAGACAATAAACAGATTAATAAAACCATCAAGGGGCCTTGTAGGCCTTGATATGTAGTCTGAATTTTATTCTAAGTGAATTGGAACATATTGGAGAGATGTTGATTAGAATTTGTGTTGGCTGCATACAACAAGGACCCAGCTAGAGTGGCTTAACTTTATTTATTATTAAATGTATTTCTTTGTCGTGTAAAATGCTTGTCTCATCACTTGGACTAATCATCAGAGACCCTTGGTCCAAAATGGCTGCTGGAGTTCTAACCATCATGTTCACGTTTAACACTTAGAAGAGGAGAAAAGAAACCAAACAAATGGAAGGGATGTCCCTCACCTTTTAAGGAATTTTCTACAAGTCCTACCCAATACTTCCTCTTACATCTCATTGACCAGAACTTAGGCATGTGGCTGTATGCAGTCACAAGGAAGGCTGGAAAATATAGCTGCCCTGAGTAAAACTGAGTTCCATTACTAAGGAGAAAAGGGACTATGGAAGTTGAGATAGGAAGCCAGCAATTTCTGCTACAGAGATCTGAATCATGTTTTTACAAACCCATTCTATCTTCTCTAGAGAAAACAGATTGAAGGGCATAGGAATAGAAAGGAGATCAGTTTTTCACACCTGTCCAGATAAAATTTGGCGATGGACTAGGATGGTGCTAAAGTAAAGATGGACAGAAGACGATGGATTCAGATACGTTTTTGGGTAGAGTCAATGGGACTTCCTGATAGACTGAATGAGGATCGGGATGAGGGAAAGAAAAGAATCATAGATATTGCCTGGGTTTTTGCCTTGACAAAATGGCTATATGGCACTGGCGCTTACAGAGACATGGGGAAAGTTATAGTGAAGTTATAGGGAAAACTTAGGTGGATATAGGTTTATGGATGAGAGATTCAAAAGTTCTGTTTGTTAAAAACAAACAGAAAAATTCTGTTTATGTTAATTTTAAAATACCGTTAGGCATCCAAGTGGCAGTTGCCAAGGATGCATTTGGATGCATGAGTCTGTAGTCAAGGGTAGATAATCAGGGCTTAGAGATATAAAATGGAAAGTTATTGGCATATGAATGTAATTTAAAGTCATGGGCAGATGAAATTACCTAGGGAGAAATTTGGATAGGACCAAATGAAGGCTTATCAACATTTGGAATGCTGATAGAGGAGTAGGAGCCAGAAAAGTGAGCAGCCAAGGAGCCAGGGGACCAAGGGAATGGTTGTTACAAAAGAGAGTGGTCAATTGCATTAAACGCTGCCAGAGAGGTGTAATAAGACGTGGACAAAGATGTAACCTTTGGATTTGGTGAATGGTAGCCACTGGTAACCTTGACAAGAGCAGTTTTAGAGGAATAGGAGGATAGAGGCATAATTCAATTTATTCAGCCTCTAGTCGCTAGAGATGCACTAGATGGTAGTCCAGGAGGAGAGGTGGGCAAATTCATCCTTCTACACTGTGACAAGGACTGTGATGTAGGTCTGCACGGGGAGTCGGGCACACGTGAGCTGGGGTACTAATTATAGGGGGCAAGGGCACGGAAGGCTTTCAGAAGAAGGTGGTAACTAAATGCTTAAACTGCACTTTTGGAAATTAAACGATCTCTGCAGCAACGCGTTCACCTTGGAGCCAGGGGACCTAGGTCCCGGTCCCACCTCCGTCACGAACATCCGTGATGTGAGACAAGTCCCTTCCCTTCTCCCTCAACGGAGAAGTGGCTAGATTAGACAACTCGCATTTGTTTTCTCTTTTGCGATCATTATGGAATTTCTAACCTATTGAAATATGGCTGGACTGAAGGTTTTAAATTCAAAATTCTCTGCCCTTTTGTTGACATTTTGGGGTATTACATTTAAATGTTCGTATTTCTCCACTAGAAACTGACGTCTCTTTCTTCAGGATCATTAATTCCTAGTTTCAGTTATTGCAGGGTAAATGAGTTAGGAGGACGTTATCATCTACAACAAACCCCAGCATTTCAGTGGCTTTACACAACAGAACAATAGTTTTTTCCCTGTGTCGACAATGATCCAAGAGTTTTGACAAATAGCCTTGCACAGTCAGCCAGGGACCCAGGCTCCCTCCATTCTGTGGTTCTGTTCTCCCTCAGAGCCTCTTGCTTTCCTGTGGAAGAAAAGGGTGGAGAAGATACCTAACCACCTCAGCTCACAAGTGACATATGTTACTTCTGCTCTGATTCCATTTAAACCAATCACACGGCTTTCCCTAAGGTGCAATGGGAACGGGTACAGAGCTTCTGGCTGGGCAGCAACAACTGTGTCGTGAAAGGGGCACAAGAGACTGGTGGACAACAGCCATCTCTGCCACATGGAAACTTTCAATGACCCACACAACTCATTTGTTTATTTTCTAGCTGAAGAAGAGATCAGCTTTTCCAAAATAGAGATTCCTAAGAAATCCGAGATATTTCCTGAAAGTCTCAGGTACGGGCGTATATCGTTGTTCAGGAGGCAGAGCACAAACAATTGTTGTTAAATTCAGAACACTGTTGGGGTCATCTGTCCGGTCAGGAGTCTGGCCACAGGGAGGGGAATGTCGGGAGGTGTGTGCTGAGTTTGGTGAGTAGTATCTACGTTAGACTTTATCATCTTGCTCTTTTATTTGTTTTTAAAGATATTTTCATCTTTTCATCATTACTATATCTACAAGTTATTACTCCTAATTTTTTCTGCCTTTGGACAGTTCTGAAGAAATAAGAGAAAAGATCTTGAGTTTCCTTGACATCATTATACTAAAAATGAAGACGTCTGAGGAAGACATCATCCCCCTGGAATCTTGCCAGTGTGAGGAAATCCTCGAGATCGTCACCATACCTCTGGCCAACCATTTTCTGGCTTTGGGAGAAAACAACAAAGCTTTATATTACTTCCTAGAAATCGCCTCTGCGCATCTCCTCTTAGGTGATAATTACATGGTAAGCTGTTTCCACCGGATGCCCTCCACCCTTGAGAGCTGACAGACCACAGAGCCAGAAGGGAAGCTGTTGTGTGCTTTTTTCTTTCTTCATGTTCTTGATTCCTGCCAGCATCTCCTTCCTTTGAAAATCAAATTGCTCAGAAGGGAAATGACCTGAGGTTGAGGAAAGTGAGAACAAATTGCCACTAACATTATATATCACTTAAAATATTGCCACCTTTAGAAACTTGCCGTGAATGGCCTACCTATATGTGGGGGGTGCATGTCTCATTTCCACAATGATGCAGACAGGACTCGTGGTATCGTAGCTTCAGTTTCAGCAGAGTCTTCCTCAGTAGCATCCTAGCGGCATCCACTGTCTTCCCCACTACCTGTGCGCACAAGTACCTGGGGGCTTTGGAAAAGTACACATCTGGCTTCAGGCTTGTGACCTCCCAGGAGGCTCACCCACTTTGGTCTTCATGTAATTAGTGCTGAATTATCACACACACCTTTAGACTACCAAAGTACTAATGCACGTTCCTCTAGGATAGTTGTCACTGAGGCTCCAGGGCAATGTGCCCTTAGAAATGGGGGGATTAGAGACTAGAAGTAAATTTAAGAATTCCTTGTTGAGTGAGTTGGGAAGCGCCGAGCTGGTTTCTTTACTGCTAAGACATATGTAACTCTCCCAGAGGGTAGGGCTGGGGCTGGGGCACACTGTGTTTCTCGAACTTATTTGACCTTAGGTCACTTTTCGTAGAGCAGCTGGCTGGACTAAGCTTCTGTGAGCTCGCTTGAGGAAATGCCTTTGCGGGCCTTTCTCCGTCTGCCGCCATCCGGCTCCAGGCACAGCTTCACACGCCTCAGCGGCCCCGCCTGTGGTCTTCACACCCACACTGGGGGCAGTTCCGTGTTTTACAGTTGCTGTGGATCACAGCAACCTAATCAGCCCTCACACCTTAGGTTTACCTAAAAATTAAACCATTACAAATGCCAGAAAGCCTCTATTCTCTCAAGTATTTATGTTAAGCATGAAAGTCTCCCATGCATATTTTATACACCTATGTGGGGATATGGCCAGTGAGTCCCAGGAAGAGAAGGCCTAGGTGGGCTTGGGGGCCACCTTGCTAACCCTGTGCACACCCCCATTTCCCTCTGCAGGGAGTGGTGGATGCTCAGGAAGACAATGATTGGAAACAGAGCCCTGAGCAAAGTCCCAGAATGTGCCGTTTGCACCTGCCTCTCCCATCAAAGAAAACTTGGTAGGACTGGGGCTGGCGGCCACCTCATGTCTCCCTCCTTCTGCCTCCCACTCACACCCCTTAGGCAGCATAAGACTTGGGGAGACTGCCTCACCTGATTGTACTCTTCGAATCTGACCTTGCCTTGGCGTTTACACGTGCCAAGACTCTCCTGTCTAACGATGTCATGGGAGGTTGAAGATGAAGCAAGGAGAGTTGCTCGGGGCCTTACCTTCTCTTCCACCTCCCAAAGATGGCCCTGGCAAAGACGGAAGTGGGGTGGTTCATAACTCATTCCAGCAGTAGAGACTGGCTTCTCATAACTGCGAGGGTGCTATCAGGGGCAGTGAGTATGTTGGTGGAAATCAAGAGGTTGGGGATGGAATTACTTGAAGGAGGAAACTGCCTGGGGGAAACTTCAGGTAAGGTGACTTACGTGACAACATGAGGAAAGGGGGAGATTTCTAGATTCATCCTCTAGTATAGTGATCCAGGGCGCAAAGTGGACATGGAGGTGGCCTGTGTCTTCAGTGGGAGCCCGACCCATCCTCATCCTGTGTGGTGTTCGGAGGCCCTTTCTAATTAGGAGCTGGGGGTAGAGGCGGAGACGGGACCTGGAGTGGCGCCTGCCGCACTCCCTTCAGTAGAATCTGGGGCGATGGCCCTCTGTGGCTGGGCTCCCTGCTGACTCAACGCTTTCTGCTCCTTGTGCTGGTTGCAGGCATACGTGTACCTGAATGAGGGAGAGAGGCTGCTAAAAACTCTCAATAAGGAAAAGTCTTGGAATCAGACTTTTGAGTCTGCCACCTTTTACAGCCTCAAAGGTCAGGTAAGAAGACATTAAACACATGATGAATCTGTTATCTGCCTTGAGGGCTTCACGTAGAAGAAGAAGAATCAGCCCTAAAATTTCTACACCTGCCTCCCATCCCCTGCCACAGATCCTATCCAAGGCTCCGGAACCACAAGCCTTGGCACTCAAACCTCCTCACCATCACTTGCCAACAACAAGATCTTCCTTGTCCTCTTTTTTTTCCCTTTGGTGAAGAAGATTGGCTCTGAGCTAACATCTGTTGCCAATCTTCCTCTATTTTTTGTGTGTGTGTGGGATGCTGCCACAGCTTGGTTTGATGAGTCGTGTATAGGTCTGCACCTGGGATCCGAACCCGTGAACCCCAGGCCACTGAAGCAGAGCACACAAACTAAACCACTACAACCACTGGGCCAGCCCCCTTCCTTATCCTCTTAGTTGACATCTTTATGAAATGTTTTTCTAACAACCTCCGAAAATGGACATGAATTGGTAAACATTTTCTTAGAGGTAGATGACCCACAAGAAAGATGCTCGATCCTGGTCATGCAACCATCCCCCCATGCACACGTCCGATAAACATTTACCACTCTGCCAGACACAGGGGGATTTTGTTCCTGGGCCAGAAACTTACCATCTTTTGACAAGAATTCCCAATATATGCACTGTTGGAGCATAGCAACTAAGTCCAGAATCCCTGCTTTTCCTCTTTTCCTCTCTACCCCTCCCTTCTCCCTGCAGGTCTGCTTCAACATGGGCCAGATGGTGCTTGCCAAGAAAATGCTGAGGAAGGCCCTGAAGCTCCTCAACCGAATCTTTCCTAACAACGTCATCTCCTTGTTTCTCCAGACCCACGTCGAGAAAAACAGACACTTTCGTTATGTGAATCAGCAGGCCCAAGAGAGCTCGCCTCCAGGGTAAGGGGAGGAGGTAGGAGGAGCTGGGGGTGTCACCTCACTCCGCGGAGGAGAGAGACCTACACATAATCTAACAGACAGCCGGCCCCCAAAACCTGGGCCTCTAGGGCTGCAAGGAGCGCGGTGGCGGTGGCTCACCGGTGGGGAGGGCGCGGGTGGGGGCGGGCTCCCAGGCCAGAGCTGAGGGGCCAGAGAACACTTCACAGGCAGCTTTTGCCAAAGGGAGTTCAGGTTGTTGACACAAAATAACCAATTGCCGTTCTATAAATAAGAGAAATAAGGTGAATTTTAGCGAGGATTATAACCCAGGAAGGCCTTTTCCAGAAAGGAAGGAAATGTTGTGGAGAAGCATGGTTTTCAGTACCGTCTTATATCTTTGTAGAACAAAGGACATACATTAAACACACCCAGAATACATCTTCAAAGTTTCAAATAGGTATTTAGTTGCAAATTAGCAGGTCAACAGGACCCTGATGTCAGGAGAGGGACTAACATGGATGTTACCCATAGGGTGTTACCAATAGAGCATTACCATTAGGGCTAGGAGGGGAAGCGTGCACTCTTATCCTAAGAGAGTGCATTCTCTACTTTGATGGTTAAAGTGGATGTACAACTGATACCGAGCGAGGGCTTGATCTGCTCACTGCAAGACAAAAACCCAGCCATCAAGAGGCCAGGCGGTGGGGAGAAAGAACTTTAGTAAGTGGTGAGCTAGCCGATTGCAAGATGGCAGACTATCACCCTTAAAAAAAACCACCTTAAAGGGGAACTGATTTGGAAATGACTTATGTAAGGCAAACGGGGGTTGGGGAGGGGCCTCAGGAGTGTCAGGTGCTGGATGACCGCAGACTGTCGGGCGCCTCTCCGTAGACAAAAAGTTTCAGATCTGCTGAATGCAACATTCCCAAGGAATCTAAGAAAACGTTAGTTGTTTTCTTCTCAGGGACAGAAGGAACAGTTTTTGGGGTAGGGACTGTAAATTTTCTGCCAACAAGTCCTTCTTTCTCTTGTTACTGATTAGCTTGCCTACGTGCACGTCTCAGTGTTTTCCCAAAGCACACTGTGAAGATAAGATGGGGGGCGCAGTTTAGACATGGGGTCTTTCACGTTAACTCGGTCTCATAATGTATGTTTCATAGGCCAAAAGTCAGGCTTCTTTAGTTCAAGCCAAAGCAGTTTTGAAACCAAATAGTTACCCCATACACCTCAATACGTGAAACTCTCTTGTCAAGGTGACAAAAAAATGTAAGGGAGCCAGTGGCAAGGTGAGCTCCAGTGCCCCTCCCTACCCATCTCGCCCACTGAGCCCTCTGGCTGTTCCAATTGGAACCTGCACCCCTGCTCCCAGAGCCTCAGTCACAAGCCCTCTTCCATTCATTGCTAAGACACTGGGTATTGTCTGTGTCCCGAAGAAGAATAGCAGGCCCTGAAGACGTCTGCCAGAAGACAAAGCAGCCCACCCCTCTATGCATCTCCAAAGGGATGTGTTACATGGGGGTATCACTGGTTAAGATTTGTACATTTCAATGTATGTAAATCTTATCTATAAAAGAACTGTAAGAGGGGCTGGCCCTGTGGCTGAGTGGTTGAGTTCCCGTGCTCTGCTGCAGCGACCCAGGGTTTTGCCAGTTCGGATCCTGGGCATGGACATGGCACCACTCATTAGGCCATGCTGAGGTGGCGTCCCACATGCCACAACTAGAAGAACCCACAACTAAAATATACAACTATGTACTGGGGGAATTTGGGGAGAAAATAAAGCAGAAAAAAAAAGTAAATAAATAAATAAAAATACCCAACTATGTACCAGGGGGCTTTGGGGAGAAAAAGGAAAAACTTAAAAAAAAGAACTATAAGAAATAATAATGGGGTGAGGGGAGAGAAACAATGAGCAGAGAGATAGATGAAATAAGAATGTAGATAGTTGCTGAAGCTGGGTGTTGGGTATACATGGTTCATTATATTTTTCTGTTTTACTGGATATGTATGTTTGAAATTTTCCACAGTAAAAGTTTTAAAATCTGTTCCACTTATCTAACAGTTCACACCAAGGGAGATCCCACCTTGGTGGGCTCTGGATTGTTGACAGATGACATCTTGGGAGAAGCCAGTAGCAATGTTCCTACAGGTTCTGCCTGAGATGCAAATATCTACTCCTATGAGCAGGTTGCTGCAACTTTTGCGACCCCACCAAAAACTGCCTTCCTCAGCTTCCCGAAAGTGTTCCCTTAAATGTGAGGGAGCCTGGAGTGGAAGGGAGCTGGAGCTGACCTCCACTGCAGCTTGCAGGCAGGCTCCTGGGGGTCTATGGAGACGCTGTCTCAGGAGACTCCTAGAGGGAGTGGGTGGGGAGAAATTCAGCAGACAGCTCCCTGAGAGGGAAGAGGGAATTGGAGTCTGGAGTCACACATAAGACTGCCAGGTAGAATACAAGATGCCTAGTTAAATTTGAAGTTGTAGGGGAGGAAGACATTTCCTCTACCCTCTCTGGATTCGTCTGGCCAGAGTTCACATGAGACAGAATAGCAGGAGAAAATTAAACAAAGCTTTATAACATGTATACATGGAAGAGGTCAGGCAAACTGAGCAACTCGCCAAAATGGCTGAAGCCCCCACCTTAAATATCATATTGTTACCAAACCTGAAGTGAGTTCGCTCATCCGTTGCCCAGCAAGCCAATCTCTGACACCGAGTGTGGTGAAAGAAAGTAGGAATTTTATTTTTTGCACAGTGCTGAGCAGGGAGAGAGGGCAGCTAATGGTGAAATCCCAAACTCCCCAAAAAGCTAAAAGGAAGGGCTTTTATTTGGGATTTTAGGTAGGGGAGGGGGAGCATACAGCCTTGCTGTTTGGAGCTTTCCCACCAGCCTGTCTTTGGTCTTGAGACACTTACAGAGAGGAGGAAGCCTGTGACCTTGCTGGTCAGCAGCTTTCCCACCAGCCCGTATCTCTTTGCGGGAGGAGATAGTCCAGGTGCTTGTCCTTGATGGTGTCTGTCTCCATGGAGGATAGTGGATTCTGGAGCCAGGAAGCCAGAGAGTAAGCAGGGAGTGAGTGTTTTGGTTTTAACCTCATATATGCTGGGTTTAATGTGGGGAAACTGATATCAGGGTTGGTATCAATATCCAGAAAGGAGGATGTTGGGGGGGAGTCAGTTACAGGAGGTTACCAGAAACAGGAATAAGGTTATTATGCAGATTTAAGTCCTTGCCTTTGGCATTGATTGAGAGTTTCTAGAGAGAACGTCATCCCCTTTCTTCTTCCTGGTACAGAGAGGGAGGCACCTTTACAGATAGAGATTTCCTTTACAATGTAAATGTCTCCTAACAAAGGGCAAGCAAGTTCCACCCCTCAGAGCCTCCTTCCCTGTCCCAGTTTATCAAAAGCAATCAGCCTCAAATAATCCTCATGCCAAAGAGACATATCTTGGGCTGGCCAAGACCAGTCCCCCACAAAGTTTAGCTATGCAATGAATTTTTCTTTTTTTTCCTGAGGAAGATTTGCCCTGAGCTAAAATCTGTGCCAATCTTCCTCTATTTAGTATGTGGGTTGCCACCACAGCATGGCCACCACCGAGTGTTGTAGGTCTGTGCCTGGGAACCAAACCCAGGCACTGAAGTGGAGCATGCTGAACTTAACCACTCAGCCACTGGGCTGGCCCACAATGAATATTTTTTCTAGAATATGTATGTCACACAAAATATTTAGGACATACGCATTCTAAAGAAAATTGTTGTTTTGCAATTCAAATTTCACTGGGCATCCCACGTTTTCATTCTCTAACTCTGACAACCTGGTTTACGACCCCATTTTGTAAAAGGTAAAGGAAGCTCCTGCATAAGGGGGAAGTCTTGAAGAGGAAAAATCTGCAGAGCTGTTGGCTTAACGTACCTTCCAGCCAAAAGGGTCTGATCTCAAAAATGAGGACAAGAAACAAGATTTAATGTCAGAGTTTCTATGGCCCTCATGATGGCCTTCTCCTGGAAAGGATTCGACCCTGTCCATGTTTCCTTAGAACCTTAAAAAAAAATTCCCCCGACAGAATCAATGTCATCAACGTCTACAGCGAGAGTACCTGGAAGTCTTCTTTAAGTATCTCCAGGATCTCTCTTTCCTCTTTCGTTCTCATTTTTATTTAAAATCTGCTTTGTGATAAATATTTCTAATTATATTTTGTTTTCTTGGTTTTGTTAGTTTACTAATATTGCAGTATCTTGTTTATGTTCCCATTTTTATCACAGATAGAGGGGACTTGGGTGTATATTATCAGCTGAGGCTGGGTGGCTTATGAACTGCAGAAGGTTATTGCTCACAGTTCTGGAGGCCGGAACCTGAGCTCAGAGCGCCAGCGAGGTCTTGCGAGCCCTCTTAGGGTTGCAGACTTCTCATTGTATCCTCACATGGGGAAAGGGGCGGGGGAGCTCTGTGGGATTGCTTTTATGGGAGAGCCAATCCCATTCACGAGGGCTCCACTCTCATGACCTAATCACCTCACGAAGGCCCCACCTGCTAATGCCATCGCTTTTGGGGGTTAGCATGCAGCATATGAATTTTGGGGGGATGCGTTCAGACAATAGCAGAATGTAATTGTTAAAAATGCTCAGTTCCTTCACTGAGCTGAGACGTAGCTCCTGAGAGCAGTATGCACTGAAGGAAATGACACACCGGACTGGCCAGGCTCGGGTCCTGGCACCGCCATATTCTCGCTGTGTGTCTATGAGTTAATTACTTAACCTGTCTGAGGCTCACCTTCCACTTATGTAAAATGGAGTTAATTATTCCTTCCTTTCCCACAGGGTGGTCCTCAGAATCAAACGTGATGAGTGATATAAATGTGCTTTTTAAACAGCTTCATTTAAAAAGCAGTGACCTGACAGGGGGAGGTGATTTACATAAATTATCTCAATCATCACAAAGTAGGTGTTACAGTCCCCAGTTTGCAGTGGAGAAAATGTGCTTCATAAAAATTACTGTGTTTGTTAGTCAACTGAGGAGGCAGGCCTCAACCCAAGATAGTTTTGACCCCCAAGCCTGCGGTGAAGTTTCTGCATCTGTGCTCCCCTCCAGCATGCTGGTGACCTTGACTTCTTTCTATGTCCCGTGTGCATGTGTGTGTGTGTGCCTATGTGTGAACGCGTGTGCGTGTGTGTGTACTTTATCTAACAGGAAGAAGAGACTGGCGCAGCTTTACCGGCAATCCGTCTGCTTCTCCTTGCTGTGGCGGATCTATAGCTTAAATTATTTTTTTTACTACAAGTATTACAGCCAGCTGGCAGCTATGATGCAAGTGAACACCGCCCTGGAAACTCAAGATGATTTCCAGGTAGGCTATTTTTGGTAGCTGCTTTTTAAATTCTGAATCTTGTTTGGAGAGAAAAGCCTAGTGAAAGCCAGTTGGGACTGAGAATCATGAGGGTGTACAACAGGTCCCAAACATTTTAGTTCCAGGGTCACAATAATTATCGAGGACCCCACATAGCTTTCATTTCTATGGTTGTAGCTATTATCATATAAGAAGCAAAAACTGAGATATTTAAAAAATATTTTCAAAAATAAAAGTAATAAACCCATTACATATTAACATACTTAACGTTTTCATTGAAAAAAATCTGATATTTCCCCAAACAAAAAATTTAGTGAGAAGAGAGGCATGTATACCATTTTTGCAGATATCTTAACGTTTGACTTCACAGAAGACAGCTAGATGCTCCCTCTGCTTCCACCTTCACTCCCTTGCAATGTCTCAGAGCTCTCCCCTGGGAAAGTCCCCTGTGTACTCATGGGAGAATGAGGACGAAAAGCAAAAACGTTAAAGGATAGTTCTTAAAAAGATAAAATCGTGACCCACACAAATGAGTCATGGAACTCGTTAATCAGTGAGAGAGCTAGTAAGATGTTAGAAGTGGTTCCAAGGAGAATTCAGTTTATGAATGGATGCAAAACTAGTCAAGTCACGGAGTCGTGATCACTTGTCTCCCACTGAACATTTACATTTCTATGAAAAAGAATCATTTCCAGTTTATCCGTTTTCTGCTGAATACAGAGTTGTCTTCGGGCAAAGACAATGAAAGGCAGAGATAACCTTGCGAGTGAGATAGACAGGACACATACCAAGGTTTTTGTTTTGGCTCATTTCAAGGTCTTTCACTATTTTCCTGACACAAATGATGCTTGATATTATGAAACTAGATTTGACCTCTTCGTGTCCTCCCGGAGCCTGAGACCACATGGGGAGAGCCACTAGTTTAGGTCATAAACTGGGAAGTCTGACTAGATGAGGAAGACTCTAGGAGACAAAACCAAGAAATTATTAGCTAAATCCAACTCCTACAATGAAAGTGATCAGGTCCCTTCATTAAAGCACATCAGGTCTGGGTTTTTGCTGGGGCGGTAACTTCCTCCTGGGCTCATTCATTATCAAGAATTAAGGGAAACGGTTGAGAGCACCGTGCGTGTTGGAAGAGCTTAGCTTCCCAGCCAGGACTCCGTCCCCAGCATCAGTTCCTTTCAGGAGGCCAGGATCCGTAAGTGTTTATAAAGCCCATAATATTGGGCCTCTGCCCATATGCCATCCTCCTCTCCTAGCTCCCTGGGCCACTTTCAGTTCCTCAAATGTGTAAATTCAATCCTGTCTTAGGTCTTTGCACTGGATATTTCCTCTGCCCACCGTGCTCATGCCCTGACCTTTACTGAGCTCTCCACTTAGCAGCTTGACGGTCACCTCCTCCGTGAGACCTTTCTTGACCACCTGACCCATTCTCTCTCTAGCCTATCACCCTATTTTAGTAGGTCTTATTACCATCTCACGTTTTCTTTTTGGCTCCTTCGTTGGTGTGTGGTCTGCGTCCTCCACTAGCCTGTAAACTCCATGAGAGCAGGGACCTCGTCTGTTATCTTGTCCACATCCTGAGCTACTAGAACAGTGTCTGACGCATAGTAGGTGCTCAACAAATATTTATTGACTGAAATGCTTTACTTCTCCTCCACACTTGGGGCTATCTCCCAAAAACGTGCTAGAGCTGGGGGGTAGGGGGGGACAAAACGGAAAAGTCAAAATTAGAAAGTGAATCCAAAGACGCTTGTTAACGAGACGGCTGTGACTGAGGCAGAACAGGAGGGAAAGTGCTCCCCCGGGTGCTCAGAAGCAGATGAGGCACTCAGTGTAGGATGACAGAAAAAACCAGAATGAGCGCCCGGAGAGCAGTTTCCAGCACTCCACCCCTCTGTGGTGTGACCACTGGCAAGCCACAGAACCTCCCAACTCTCTCTTTCCCCATCAAGTTTGGAAGCAGTTCTGTTGGTCCAAATCCAAGAAATCCTGGGCTTTCTCGCAGCTTCGGATTTTTCGTTTGCCCAACAATCCTCTGTCTTCCACCACCATTTCTGGCTGGTCTTCCCTTCCGGCAGCATTATCTGAAACACGTTCTAAGCCAGGAACAGAGGAATTCCTCAAGACTGACTTTGTGGTTTAAGAAATATCCACAGAACTGCCTATAACACAGAACTTGTGGACTGGCTATTTTGTGCAATTTGAGGAATTCCAGGAAAAAAAGTCCCCTTCTCCAAAATGCCGCCCCACCCAACTGCCCTCAGCGCCCAGCGCTTCTCCCAGCAGGGCGCCTCCTCAGAGGCACTGCTTTCTCTTCACTCTTCTCTAAGAGTTTATGTTCTGAAGCAAATTTAATTATCATTTTAAAGAGTTGTTTAAAGAGTAACCAACTTCTCTTAAATCTCTCAATTAAGTTTTAGAATGACTTCTTACATTTTTTTACAAACAAATCAAACCAACGTTCCTTTTTTGTTGAATAACATAAGTAACACATGCTTGCTGTAACAAATTAAAAAGCACAGAAATGCATCAAGTGAAAAGTCGCTCCCCGCCCTCAGCTCTCCCCTCTACCCCCAACAAATAGGCAATGACTGTTGACACTTCGGAGCCAATCCTTCCAGGCTTTTTGCTATGCAATCACATGTCCACATATATAAGATATTGCTTTTATTTCTCACAAAAATTAAGATTCTCATATTTTGTTTAAGGACTCTGTGGGCAAGAGGGGCCATTAAACTTGTCCTGGATGATAGAGGAAATGAGTGGCAGAAACCCAATTTAATTTCTGTATCTAAGCCCATGGTTTGGCCAAATGACCAGCTCCATCCCCAAGCTCAGTAAGCACGCTTACTGGCAGACACTGGGTAACGTCCCTGGCCTTTCAGCTCTGGGCTCCGTCTCAGCCTTGCCCCTCTCTCCTCCACTGCTGCCATTGCAGATCATTAAGGCCTACCTGGACTATTCGCTGCACTACCAGCTGGCCGGCTACCAGGGTGTGTGGTTCAAGTACGAAGTCATGGCCATGGAGCAGGTCTTCAGCCTCCCCCTGAAGGGCGAGGGCATTGAAATGGTGACGTATGTGGCTGATACACTGGGCTACATCAAGCTCATAATGGGCCACTTGGACTTGGCCTATGACTTAGGTAAGGGCTGGTTGGGCAAGAAGGGATAGGCAGATGCAAGTAATACCCAGAAATGTACTGGAATTGTTTTCCTCCCAGGCTCTCGAGCCCACAAGATGTGGGCACTGCTCCGGAATCCCAACAGACACTATATAGTCCTCTGCTGGCTTAGCAAATGTCTCCTCTTGAAAACCAGGTATTTATCTTAAAGCGTTTTCCAAAATGAGGGGGAGGAAGCCATAGTCACTGCGCGTGCTGGGCTCACGCATCCCTGGCCGTAAGGGAGGGAAAGGAGTAGGGTTCACAGTAGAAGATGTAACTGAGACTCCTTTGGACGCCACTGCTCCTGTCACGGAATTCTCTCACACGCATCATCTCTAACCTGGTTGCTCTGGCCAGTGACTGGGAGAGTCAGACAGTCGTCCCCACTGTGGGACTCAGGCCTCCACCACGGTGAGGTGGCAGGAAAGGGACCAGCCTTACAGGGAAAACAAGTGCCCAGAGGACAGCAACCTGGACCAGAGGCCAGGACAGCTTGGCCTGATTCCGGTCACACGGATATAGAGGTGCATGAGGCAACAGTTTGAACAAAGAGCCTGTCTGAGATTCAGGAGTGGGCCCAAGTCTGTTTTGGGGTCATATGTGGTCCTGGATCACCTGGCAGGACCGAGACCGGACCAGGGCTGGACCGCATCCTCTTCTCCCACCGCTTTTTGATCCTGCTGCCTTCTCTTTCCCACAGACACAAGCAGCTGGTGCAGGTGCTGGGGTCGCTGTGGGATCTTTCTATAGCAGAAGAGCACATCTTCAGCAAGGCGTTTTTCTATTTTGTCTGCCTGGACATCATGCTTTATTCTGGTAAATGTGGCTTTGGGATTTATAAGAAGTTGGGAGTCTGGCACCGTGTGGTGTGATGTGGCCGCTCTCAGGGCTGTGGCTTTGAGGCCACTAGGTTTCTGCCTGGAAAGACATACAGAACAGGGAAGGAGAGCCTGGTGTTATGAGCCGAGGAGCCATCTAGAAGGCGCAAGATTATAAGGGACCACCAAGGAGAATTTAGTCTGGAGGAACCTGTTGGGTATAAGCTGCCCGTTGAGGTGTCAGATCAATTTACACACAAGGGATAGTTGACTGACAGCACCTTACCATGTGCCTTTTACTAGGCTATTTAATTTTCAGCAGGATGTACTTAGAGACTTCATGCATTAGAATGAAGGACTGGATTGCTAACAGTAAGAGTTGTGGGCACTGGTAGCTGCTGGTTTGGAAAACAAGTTATTTCCTGATAACCTTCAGGTTACACCAAGTAGGCAGCCCTCAGTGTACATATTAAACCAGAGGGGCCAATCTGGGCATTCTTTCCCCCACACATATTTTGAAAGGGGATGCAGATATTGCTGCCAACAGGGAAAGCACGGGTGGGAAGATGGAGAGTCCCAGGCAGCGCTAAGGTGGCCTCCCGCCGGGCTCCACGGGGAGGGCTGGTTTAAACCCCGCTCCTGTCTGGTCAACTCCACGGAATTGCACCGCGTGTGCATAAACTTCCCAACAAGCTGGGGCTCGGCAGACGCAGGGCAGTGCAGTCACACGGCTGTTGCAATACGGGACCCTTTCGGTCATAAGGTAATCAGAGACTGAGCAGCCTCTCCCACAGCTGGAAACTGTCCTGGCAGCGACTAGGCCCGAAAGATGTCCCCCTCACCCCACAGCCAAGCTCTCCTATTTCTCTTTCTTTTAGGCTTTGTTTATAGGCCATTTGAAGAATGTTTGGAATTCATACACCAAAACGAAGACCATTGGATCCTCAAGTTCCAGAGTGGAATGCTCCTGGGACTTTATTCGTGCATAGCTGTCTGGTAACAATGTATTATTGTCACGAAATCCCCAAATTTGAAAACGTTGAATTGCGAAGAAGAGTTCTATGAGATTTTAAAAAAAGAAAGAAAGAAAAGGAAAGAAAGTAGAAGTGTTTATAATTTACACGTGGGACAGATTGAAGGCATCAGAGTGGATCTATACTGAAAGAGCCCTTGGGCATCAGCTAGTTCATCCCCTCAACTGTACTCAGTGCAACGAGCATTTAAATACGTGCATATCATGTTGTGGGACTAGAGATGAGTAAGAAAGGAGTACTTGCTTCTGAGGAGTGCGGGGTTTGAGGGAGACTGATACATAGCGCCACTTGCCCACCCCGACCCCAAGATCTAGTCACGTTGGAAAACAATGTTGACAGAGCTGGTGTTGGAGGATGTGGCTTATTTCTGCAGGCACACGGCTCTCCTGATCTTGAACCCCAGCGTTAGACTTACCCACTCAGCGGCAGGCAGTTCTGTGGGTCTGCCCCGGCGAGGCAGGCCTCTGTCCCGCACCTGGCTGAGAGAAGAGCAGAACGTGGGCCTCCCTGGCTCAGGGGGAACAGGAGGGGCAGACCTCGAGCTTCAGCTGCCTGACTCCTCTCTCAAAGTGACCCCCCTCCGCCCACTAAGTCACCCCCCATCATGGAGGAGGGAGCAAGGCAGGGAACAGACTGGAGTTTTCTCACCTGGAAGGAAACTAGTGGAGCGAGGAGGAAGGATGCCCCTGTACCTCATTAACACATTAAGCCTGAGGCTTAATCCCTTTAACCTCTTCAGTTGTAAACGCAGAAGCCTGCAGCTACGGCCTTACCCTCAAGGAAGGAGATCAATGTAAGGCTCCCGAACATTAACTAAATTACTTCCAAGACTGAAAGTCATTCCTTATTGTACTCCCCATCTCAAATTATATATGCAGCTATGTTGTCCAATATTTAGAGATTATGTGATAAGATTAAATGACAATCAAAAGACTCCCATAGAAAGTGCCACAAACTGGGGCAGTTCCAAATTTGAACAGAAATCTCCTCTTATTATAACCTTCCTTGGGAGAAATTAAAATCCAAAAACTAATTACCCTTGCCAGTTAAAGCCTAAAGGAATTAAAGTTCAAAGTCAAATTAACTTGCCCATGTGAGTTAAAGTTCAAGGAATCTAAAGTCCAAAAATCCTCCTAATTTCTTATTCTGGCCTGTCTCACCTGCAGAGTCCTTTCAGCAGTGGTGGCCTGGGCCAAGCCCTCTCCCGCTTCAGTGGGCATAGGAACCGCCTGGAGAGCTTGTTGACTCAGAGATCCCTGGCCCCATCCCCAGAGTCTTTCTGATTCAATAGATCTGGCTTGGACCAGAGAGCTCGCAGGCCTAAGGAGCACTCATGTGCTACCGACGAGGCAGCTGCGGCCCACCCGGGAGCGCACTGGCCTCGGCCTTCTCTCTTTGGAATTGGAGCAATTTCTCCAAGCCCTCGAGTTTATGGCTCCAAGTGTCTGATCGGCTTCACTTTTAAAGAGTCCAAAGAGTTAAATAAATGGTGGCTAAGATTGCCTGAGTGTTCCCAAGGATTCCATTCATCTCAAACCATCAAAAAGTCCTCTTCCGTCCTTGCTCCGCATCACGTGGTTCCCTCCGGGCAGGCAGGCGGCAGGGTCCCAGAGGCCCAGGGACGGGGAGCTTCACCTCCAGAGAGACCCATTTCAGGAAATCAGCCCCTGCCAAGGGCGGTACTGATTTTTCTTCTGTGGTGGTGCAGGTATGCCAGACTTCAGGAATGGCAGAACTTTCACATGTTCTCCAATAGAGCTAAAAATCTAGTGCCAAGAAGAACCCCGACAGCTCTGTACTGTGAAGGAATCACTAGATACATGGAGGGGCAAGTTCTCTACCTGCAGAAGCAAATTGAAGAACAGTCTGAGAACGCTCAAGACAGTGGCGTTGAGCTACTCAAGGTGAGGCTGATGCTCTGGTTTCTAGGATAAACCGTTCCTTCAGTGGATTTCTGTCTACCTCTTGTGATAATTGTTTTCTCTGATTATGCGTTTATAGTACCAGTTTGCGAAGGCAACCCCTCTCCCCAAGTTAGAAGAAAAGAGAAACTGCTCATAAACTTACTACTCAGAGATAATCACTTTTTACATATTGAGACATCACTTTTCCGGTTTTTTCTATGTGTGTGTGCCTACATTTCCATTTTCTAAACTTGCATTAAATAAAATATAACTAATTTCCTGTCATTAAATTGTTTTCTACACCGCTAGTTAAAAGGAAGCATAGTATTTTATCTTACAGTTATACCAGTAAATTACATCACCAAACTATTCTTGGATGGAAATCTTCTGCAATAATTTACTGCTATTGCTGTGATCAACACCTTGATGGATAAATCTTTGCACACAGAAAATGTAAGCATTCAACTGATATGTGGTGAACATCAGTTACTAGGCGCTGGGATACAAGAGTGGGCAAATTCGACCTGCTGCCCGCCTCCTGGAGCTGACAGCCTCTGTGGGCGAGCCCCCTGCGAGAAGGAAGGGCTGAACCTCTGCCATGGGCTTGACACTCACTCACCTTGTTCTCCTAAAAACTGAGCACGGGTGTATTAGTTTTCTATTGCCATGCCCTCAGTTCCCACAAACTTAACAGCTTAAACAACACCCACGTCTTATCTCACAGTCGGGCAGGTCAGAGGTGTAGGTGGGTTGATGGGGTTCTCCACCGAGGATCTTATAAAGATAAAATCAAGGTGTTGGGCGAGCTAGGAACATAGCTGCTTCCCTCTTCCTTCAGGTTGTTGGCAGAATCCAGATGCTGATGACTTTCAGGCACATCTCTGTTTCAGAGATATTAAAATGTTTCAAAGCAAGGCATCTTGGGACCACTGAAGTATCGTAGCTTGTTTAATCCTCTAGCACTGTTATGAGGTCCATCTTTTTCACTCCCGCCGTATAGAAGACAAAGTTCTAAATTTGCCGGCGGGAGCCCGTACTGCTCACTATCACTCACACCACACACAGCCTCGGGATCTCCTCCTGCCATTCGCTGACAGCTTATAAATCACTGCCTCTAAAAACACAAACTCTGTGGTCACCACTGCTCGGAGGTGCGTACTCTTTGACATACAGCATGTCTTTATATTTCTGCTTCATAAACATTCTATTGGCTCTCACTCAGGACATGGAAACGCTTGGTTATAAAAAAGCAATAGTGTGTTTTATGTAATTATTGTGTGTTACATATAATTTATGTAATTATTACATATTATGTAATTTATTTCCTGTAATTTGATAGAGTAAATGTCTTTACTTAAGAAAATAACTTATGAGGGATTTCAGACATGCTTGACTCCATGTTGTTCAGAAGAAATAGATTTTTGCCCATGTTACACATGATTTAATTCATTCCAACATTCTCTTTTTCCTTTCAAATACTGAGCATGTTACATACGACAAGTAAGTTGACTGTCATTATCACTTTTAAATGTTGATTGAATACTAATAAAGGTGTGCCACACTTTTGGCCAAGTCGATATCTGAAAATCCAGATAGATAAATTAGCAGGTGATTCAAAGAAAGCACATTTTTCTTTAATGAGTAGTAAAGTGATAAAATTCAGCTATCCCACAGACAGTACAGGTTAAAAATACACCAGGTGCTAAGGGATGAGTGAACCCTATCTTTGTACTCTAGGAGTTTGTGTTTTACTTGAGTTTGAGAAGGGGTGAGGTAGGAAGCCTGGGGATGGGAGGAGGTGATGGAGGTGGAGATTAGAAAGAATACAAGGACACAAATGAATGCGGACTCAAACTTTGTGTCTCCCACAGTACACGGAACAATGCCTTGTACCCAGTAGATGTTTAATTTCTTGAATAAATAATTGGTGAACTAAAAAGGTGTGTAACAAGAAAACTCAATGTTTTGATTCCATTTCTATGATATTGAAGTAAATGCAATAAAACATTGTTCTTTTGTTGACCATCAAATTAGCAAAGACACAAGAGAAGATGCATTCATAGTCTGAAGGACTCTCATAAACTTTCTAGAGAGCATTCTGACAAAATGCATAAATGTCTTTAAAATATGCACGTCATTTAATTCTCCTCCTGGGGATTATCCTAAAGAAATAATCAGATGGAAAACAAAAATTTCTCTATAAAGATGTCGATCTCAGGTCTATAGTATTAAAAAAACTAGGAGAAAATAAAAACCATAAGCCCTTCAAAAAGAAGATGGTTAAGTTAGAAGTGCTACATTTAAATATTGGGATATTTCATATTAAAAAAATCTGACTTTCTGACTCTTCCTTTAGAAATTGGAGTATCTGGTGACTCCAGGCCCGCATTCCTAAAGGGCAGCTGTTGGCTGGAATTGATGGGGGTGACACTTAGATGGGGCGCACCTCCTCCAAGATGACATAATCCCCTCTTCATCCAGCCTGCTTATTTATGTCACTTCCTGTCTGCTATCCGAATTTGAATTTGTGAGCCCTGATGTAAAGGAATTATGTTGTCAGAAAATGTTCATAATGTGATGCTAAATGAGAAAAAAAAGCTTCCCCTACTGTGTGCTTAGCATGCCCCCAGTTATGGTGGATATGAGTGTGTGTGTGTGCGTCCATGTGTGATCAAGGAACGAAGAAGTGGGAAAGTATGTTCCCAAATGTTAAAAATATTCCTTTCTGGGTGTTAGGGTTATGTGTGATTCTTACTTTTTTGGGTCCTTTTCACTTTTTCCTAAACTTTTGAGCAATTAACTTAGATTGCTTTGGTAATCAAAAGAAAATGTATTTTTTTAAAAAGTGGTCGCAGAGAAGGGCTAATGAGCCCGTCCATATCGCACTCTTGGGCTGGGGAGGCCCCTGGGGCTGCTCCACCTGCCAGCGGTCCTTCTGTCTCCACGACGCCCTCTGTGTGTCTCTGTAACATGCTTTTTCGCATGATTGCTCATCTCCTTGAAATATTCCCAAATCATGTGTGGAGGAGAAAACTTTGCCACCAAGGACCCCTTTCTGATTCTGATATGCTGTTTTTTCTTTAGAACCTGGAGAATCTGGTGGCTCAAAGTACCACTGGCCCCGTCTTCTACCCGAGGCTGTACCACCTGATGGCATACGTCTGTATACTCATGGGAGACGGGCAGAACTGCGACCTCTTCCTGAACACGGCCTTACAGCTCTCTGACACACAGGGGAACGTGCTGGAGAAGTGCTGGCTGAACATGAGTAAAGTATGTCCCCTCGGCCAGTGAGCTGGGCGGGGGGTGCTCACCCCGTTGAGGAAGCCCCAGGAGCCCTCTGCTTGGGTAGGGTCCCCAGGGCGTGGACGGCCACCACAGGCCTTTCTGGACTTAACGACACGAGTGACATGTCCATAGTTCAGCTGTGTGCACCTCCCCTTCCCCTGAGTTCTCATGGGATCGCCCCCTCCTCCAGATTGCCTTTAGCACGATCTCTGCCCCCTCCTGTGGCCCTCACCGCTTTCCACTTGGTGTTACATTTGTGTGCGCGTCTTTCCTCCCCTCAAGAATGCGAACTCTGAGGAGGCAGAAACCACGCTTAGTATCCAGTACAGCACCTTCTACTCAGTGTTTGCTGGTTTAGTGAATGAATGTCCACTTCTGTGCGTTTACTTAAAGAGTTGTGCATCAGTATCCTAGTTTGGACAGCAAAACTCATCGTCTCTGGGCACGTGGTTTTAAAAGCTCAAGGACATTTGACCATTTCTGTTTTAGATCAGTTCTAATCGCACAGGTCAGAGAGCTCCAGTTCATTCTTTCTTCTCTTTCCCTCCTCTCAGGAATGGTGGTACTCGAGCTCCGAGTTCATGGAAGATCAATGGCTTCAAACGGTCTTGAGTCTCCCATCATGGGAAAAAATTGTTTCAGGCAAAGTAAACATGCAAGATATCCAAAAAAACAAATTCCTAATGAGAGTTAACATCCTGGACAATCCTTTCTAACATTTCATGGAAGAGAATAAAGATTTTAGTAAGACTCATTCTCCTGTGACCATCTGTCATCAACCATTCTCTGTAGCCAGCGCCCTCCAGGTTCCTACATGGTCTCTTCTGTTCCAGACACAGAACCAGATGTGCTGGTTTCTTCTCTTTCTGGAGGGTCACACAAGGTCGGCAGTGTCCTGCTTTACTTTCTCCAACTTTGCACAAATTGCCTTTGCCTTTCAATGTTTTAGCTTGACCTGTTTATTTCAGCCCATACAAAATTATATCATATGGAAAAATATTAATATCAAAATGGTGGGGCTGGCCTGGTGGCATACTAGGTAAATTCGCACACTGTGCTTTGGCAGCCCGGGGTTCGCAGGTTCGGGTCCCGGGCGTGGACCTATGCTGTGGTGATGTCTCACATAGAAAACAGAGGAAGATGAGCACAGATGTTAGCTCAGGGACAATCTTCCCAACCAAGAAAAAGAAGAAAAAAAAGGTACCTGCGGTGACAGATACATTTCTGGTTAATTTATTAAACTGAAAATGTTTATTTTTAAGTGTCCAGCTGTTCAGTCTTTTGTATGCAGCGCAGTATCACAAACAGCAAATTCTCGTCATGGTCTGCAGGGGAAGATTTGAAGACACGTCTTCGTGGTGCCTGTCTGCAGCTCCCAGAGCCCCTCTCACCACGTGGGTCAGATATCTGCAGAAATAAAGCTTTAAAAATTGAAGGATTCGTAATTTTGATACAGACGTCTTTTACACGCTTAGAGTTTACGTATTTTTATATGTAAGAAAGTAATCGCAAGTGGAATGCGTATCGATTCCACCCCTCTGGGTGCTGCGGCTCCCTCATGCTGGCTCATTTTGTGGACCCAGGTAGCCACCTCAAGCAGGTGCACCGGGGTTTCCGTTTGTGGATCCCAGGCACCTTCCCATCCTGAGGGGTTCTTCTAATGGGCGTTGACACGTCCTACTCTAACACACGCCTCAAATTCCCATAGTGATTTCGGAGGCAGGGCCCTGAGCAGGCAGGCATTCCTTTAAGAGGTCAGTATTGCACTGCCCTCCTGCGAAAGGCCACGCTGCGTATTTTCCCTCCTGGTAACCTGGCTGAGTTCTGCAAAGGAGCTTAGGCACAGAGCCTGGGGGCCTGGCATGGGGGCAGGAACAGCAGGCTCGGAAATTGGAGCTCTGCACAAGCACACTTAATTCCTGTGGGCTCACCACCTGCCCTCCCCATTTCGGTGTGTGGTTGTGAGCGTTGATGGGGCTCAGGGCAGCTGCCCCAAGACGCGCCACTGTGCATGCGGATTATTTCCAGCTGAAGACAGTAAAGACTCGGAAGACTCGGGAAGGACATTTGACCTTCCCCAAAACTGGCTAAAAGAATTTAATTTAGAAGGCCTGATCCAGGAAGGAGCTAACACCATAAGCTAGCTACAGTATGATGTAAGATAGGTGTGATAGAAAGGCATCAACAAGCCCATTTTTGGCCCAGCAAAACTTGTTTAACAAATATCTGCATTTCCATCTCCACGTGAATTGCCTTCCTCCCCTCTGAAATCCCAAACCACCACCCCCACATCCTCCTTGTCTTTAGCTGAAGATATTTAAACAGGCAGCTGGGGCCAGATGGCCAAGTTGCTCAGTTTTTCCTGAGTTTCTCCCACGTATACATGTTATGAAACTTTGTGTGATTGTTTCCTGCTAACCTGCCTTTTACATTATTGAACAGCCATAAGAACCTTAAGAGAAAAGGGTGGGAGGAGAATTCTCTCTCTTCTACGGTATCAAATAAGATACTGAAGGTGAAAAGGCGTTCACAATCACAACATGCCATACAAGTAAAAATTTAGTGTCAGACAGATGACTGATTTTAAAAATAAACACATCAAATATGAAACTTTAACTATTATCCCCTTCAAAGTTGTCATCTTGGAAGCTGCATACTTGTCCCATGGTCCTACATAAAAATCCCTTGCTTTCTACTTGCCTGCGTTATTTTGTCTACCATCATCATTTTCATTCACTTATTTACTCATCCAACTAACATTTTTTGACTAATCACCGTGTACCAGGCACTGATTAAGTGCTGGAGACGAAGATACAAAGACGTAGAAGACACAATCCTCGACCTTGGCAAGCTCGTCAATCTAGTAGAATCCACTGAAACACAAGGAGACCTGACTTAGCCTGTTCCACTATGTTACAACAGAGGTGTGTACACCGCAAACAGAGATGGTGGAGAGAGGAGCACACACAAGACCCACGAATCTCAGAAGCCTCAGCTGAACTGCTTCCGAAGTGAAGTCATTCTGATTTCACGGTCCCTCCTTGGAGCGGGTGCAGGGCAAGCGGGGGGTGAAGATGGGTGGGTGTAAAAGAGAGAGTGGTGTGCACATGAGGAGACAAGTGACAACAATGCTTGTCCCATAGAAAAGAGGTGTTTGACGTGGAGCTTATCGGAGATGCAGGCTGGGCATTGGGGGTCCGCTCTGCCTAGGCTGCATCGTCCTGGAAGTGAAGTGTTGTCCCCTTCCGTACCCCCAGCCCCCCACCCCTCCCGGGCACCCCAGGAGAGCAGGCCTCAGGGTGAAGCTGCGGTGGGACGTGCCCACAATCCTTGATGCTCCAAAACTTCGAAAATTGCTTTCACTTCATTATATTGGCTTCTGATGAAGCCAAAGCCAAGCCCGGGCAAGGCTGGAGGAGGTGGGCAGCCAGAGGCGGGCTGGTAGTGGAAGTGCAGAGACATTCTTCCCCAAGGACTGATAAAGGAAGGTGAGGACAGAGGAAGAGGCAGGAAAAGGCTGGACTGCAATTTAAAGATTTTACCCTCCGTAGGTCTGAATCCAGAGAAGTGGGCATTGAGCTTTACGGGAACCCTGAACTTGGTTTCTAGCCCTGACTGTGCCACAAACCGGTCATGTGACCTTCTCACCAGTTTCCTCTTGTCTAAACTAAACAGGTTGTGACAAGGCGTCCTCTCTCCCCCTCAGGCTGCCTGCGATTCCGCCTCCTACCGACAGGATGGGCGTGGGCGCATCTTCCCTCTGGCCAGCAGATGGCAGCACCAGCTCTCTGACGTAGCCGGGAACAGTTTCTGGTCAAGCCTTCAGACCCACAGCCTGGGCCCTGAGCAAATAGAACCGCTCCAGCTTCCACAGCAGCTTCCCTTGTCACCTACAGGAAGCTTCCAGCAGGAGGTTCTCAGGAACATCACTCGAGAAAGTGATTCAGGCTAGAATTCTTTTTAGGAGAAGGCAGGTAATCCATGAAGCCTTTAGGAACAGAGAGGAATGGAGAAGTGATGATCCCTTTTTTTTGTGTGTGAGGAAGATTGGCCCTGAGCGAACATCTGGTGCCAAACTTCCTTCTTTTTTTTCCCCTCCCCAAAGCCCCGGTACATAGTTGTACATCCTAGTTGTAAGTCATTCTAGTTCTTCTATGTGGGATGCTGCCTCAGCATGGCCAGATAAGTGGTGTGTAGGTCCATGCCCAGGACCGGAACTGGCAAATCCTGGGCCACCGAAGCGGAGCATGTGAACTTAACCACTTGGCCACGGGGCCGGCACCCTACACTTTTTTTTTTTTAATATGAGCCCTTGAACTCTCTTCTACAAGTCTACGGACTCCTAGAGGGCAGAGGCTCTGTCCTCATTCTCTGTCTCCAGCACTACACCACGTAAGTGCTCAGAAAGCATTTGTGAATTAAGGATTGTGTTAAAGAGCAACAGGAGTCAATCAGTGCAGGGACCACATTTCCATTTTAGAACAACCACTCCCTTTGCAGGAAATGGATGGGAAGCGAGCTGCGCCAAGATGAAGCCTGTGAGATGGCTTCTGTTGCAAGCTTGGAATTAGGGTGGCCTGCAATGAAGAGGTGGCAGTGGAGATAGAAATTAGGACACAGATGTGAAAGATGTTGGAGGAAGAACAGACTGATGTCAGAGATTGGCTTTTCAAGGAGGATGCTCAAAGTAACAAGCACATAGAGAAAGGCCCAGTAAGGTAAGGACTGAGAAGGGTCAAGCCCTACAGGTTCCCACTACTTGCTCAATGGACTGTCATATTCCCTCCCCCAACCCCAACTGCAGCCTTTTAAACCCACCTCCCCAGGATCACCCACTCACGACCCTGTTTCCCATCTGTGTTAATGGTACCCGTCGCTGCTCATCATGATTCTTCTCTCATCCTCCAGCCAGTCGTTTTGAACATCCAGCCCCTTCATCTCTCACTGAGCTCTGCGAGAGCCTCATAAGTAATTGGTCTCTCAATTTCAGATCTCCATCCTCCACCAATTGGCGGGGTAAGCTTGCTAAAATGCAAATCCCCCTTTATTACTCCTCTACTTAAAATCCTACTTGCCTTTGGGACAACATCCCGATTTCTTAGCCTGGAATGTAAGGTCCTGCCAAACCCAACAGTCCGATCATGTCGGCCGCACTCTTGCCCACCCTGAAACTGGGGGGCTGGTCCCTCTAACTGGAATGGTTTTTACCAGAATCTTCGGGTTTCTCCCAATCTGTTTTCAAATGCTCTGCCCAAAAGCACCTTCTCCCTGGCTGCTGTGGGTTGGGTTCTTCTGTCCGTCCGTCCTTGTTATTCCCCAGCTGTCCGTCCTTCCTCGCTGGAGCTGCTCTCACGTGACTGCCTGGCGCAGTTTCTTGGGGCTGTCTCCTCTCTGAGCTTGTCAAGGGCAGGGGTTCTGTCTCCTTCATCTGGTACCCCAGCACTTGGCATTGACTGGAGCATCAGAAGGCCCTGGGCATGCTCCGTCTTGTTCACAGTCGCATCCTGGCATTTCGCAGTGTGTGCAACATAACAGGTAATAACTACATTGAGTGAGTGAGTGACTGAAGGAGTGAGTGTATGCGACCTCTTCGCGAGAAAGTGGCAGCCACCAGGGCCACCACTGTGAGGTGTACCGCCATCCCCACCCACCACATCTCCATACCAAGAGAAAAAAGAGGTGTGGGGAGATTCTGGGAGCATGTGTGTGTGTGTAACCTGGCACAACTTTCCAAAAGGCTGCCAACTCCTGCGTGGTCTACACCAGCACAGTCCAGTAGAACTTTCTGAGCAAATGTCCTATCTCCGCACTGTCCAGTGTGGCAGCCACAGCCCCATGTAGCTACTGAGCGCTTGAAAAGTACTTAGTGTGACTGAGGATCTGTTTTAAATTTTATTTAATTTAAATGGCTGCCTGTAGCCGGTGACTCCCACATAGGACAGTGCAATAACTGCATTACCCTTAAAGGGCCCTCTCTCCCCCAACTCAGAATCTAGAAGCTGGAAATGCATTGAAATAGATGTCAAATCTACAGTAGGAACCCAAACCTTCCACTTTCTCTTACGGTGTCTTTTAGAGAGGACGTGGAAGGAGGCCAGTTCTTTCCAGCCAAGTGCTAGCGCTCCTCCTGTTTACTTCACTTCTCTCCCTTGGGCTTTTTCTCTCTTGCTCAACCTCAACTAGCCAACGTTGAGTCATCAGCCCGCCGTCCTTTCCGGGAGCCTGGCGTGTCCTGAGGTGTCCTGTGCAGCGCGAGCTCCTTCCCAACGATGCATGCTGTTTCGTTTCCTTTAACCCGCAGCTCAGCTCAGCCTCCTCGGCTAATGGATACGGGCAGTACAACACTTGCTGGCTGTGGGTACCCGTGTGTCCACAGATGCTTTACACTCTTTGAGACCAAGATCCTCAAGCAAGCTTTTCACAAACATTTTCCCCCTCTGCCAGAGCAACTTCCTTCAGGAATGGCTTACATGGAAAAACTGGGCTCTTACTGAGGTGGGAGCACCCAGACACACTATAAACAAACCATCTGGGGTTCTGCTGGGCTAGCAAGAGCGGGGACAGGGGCCTGCAAAGTGCTCCCCATTCCTATGGGTCTATCGTACATTCTGAGAGACTCCCTCCAAATAAATTTAATGTTTCTCCTATCTAGTTAAAAGAAACTCTGTAATTAAAAAAATAACTCTAGTCAAAGCCAGAGAAAGAACCAAGAATGTGATCTAGACTCAAACCTCAGTGTCCTGGGAGTCCTCGTGGGAGAAGGGAAAGCTCAGGCCTTCGGCAAGCTGCCCTGTGGCTTTGCTTTGTTCCCACTCCCAGAGCAGAGCCCTGATTGGTACAGACAACTTGAAATCACTTAATGCCCCCAAGGGCAGAGTAACCACAACTGTGTCAGGCCCCAGCACTGGAGGGCAGGGCTCGTGAGCAAATGTGGGGATACCAAACCTGCCAGACTTCCTCTTCCCAGATGCAGGGAGCTTAAAAGAAGACCCTAGCCCTTCCTCATATTCTGGAACCGTAAAGGCCAACCCCACAAAGCCCCCGGTGAAGGAATGGACGGACAATCAAATCCAAACCCTGAGCCAAGAAGGGACAATAGTTTAACATCCTGTTTGTGGGAGGAAATTGAAGCGGAAAGCGGCTGCTGCCCTGGGGCTCAGAGCTTGAAAGATTTGCGTTTCCTTCCTTGTAAACACAGCCAGGTCTCCTGCAGGTGCTGGAGTTCCCTCCTGCCTTCCGCCCCTCATTGTTCTTCTTACAATCTAAGACTTGGGCTGACTTGAGAGCAGGGGCTCTCGGGCCACCTCCTGATGGCTTTAGGGGGCACGTGTGGAAGGGAGGGGGCCCATGGCCACCATCATCGCCCTCAGACATTGGATCCCATTTCCAAGGGGCCAGGACGACTTCGCTCATCTTGTGCTGCTTTTCTGCGGCTGCAAATGGTTTGCATTTGGCTTTTTTTTTCTTTAATAGTTCATAAGGACAAGTGACAATTACAGCAACACTTGTGATGGATAAAAACAAGACAACTGGAAACAACCTAACTGTCCAGAAATTCAGACATGGTTTAAAGTACTATGGAACATCTCTACAAGAGACGGCCCTATGGGCACTGTGAAACAATGGCCTAGTTCTTTCCGTACTGACGTGAAAGCTGCTCTGACACAACGCTAAGAGAAGAAAGCAACTGTTTTTTGTCTTTAAGAGGCAAGACATCTTTACTGGAACCATGTTTGGATCCTGATTTGAAGAGACCATTTGTAAAATGCCATTTTTGAGACAAGGGGAAATTTGAGCATGAACTGGGTATTGGATGAAATCAAGGAATTATTTGTTTAAATGTGTGTTTTAAAATGTTTCCATTAAATGTGAAGACATTATGATTATGTAAGAAAATGACCATATTCTTAAAAAGATGTACATCAAAGAATGTAGGGGTGAACTGGCATGATTTGGGGATTTGTTTTAGAATAATTCAGAAAAGAGGAAAAAGAAAAAAGGGATGGATGAAGTCATTACTGAGGATGGGTAAACAGAGGTTGATTTTACTCTTCTGTCTTCTTTTGTGCATTTTTGAAATCCTTAATAATAAAAAATCTTGAATATACAGGAAAAACGTGTTAGTGTGGAACCTGCCATAAAAGCAGATGGTTAGTTCCTAACACTAGCTCTACCATCACGGCAAATGCCATCTGCCTCCTCTGCGAATGCTCCCTCAACTTCTGTGAGCAGCTGGGAGGGTTGAAAGTCATTGGATCCTGGGGCTGGCCCTGTGGCCTAGTGATTGAGTTAGCACGTCCAGATCCCAGGTGTGGACCTACACACCGCTGGTCAAGCCATGCTGTGGCGGTATCCCACATACAAAATAGAGGAAGACTGGCAACAGATGGTAGCTCAGGGCCAATCTTCCTCACCAAAAGTCCTTGGTTCCCAAATCTAGTTAGCACTGGAATCACCCAGAGGGGTCAGAGGGAGCCTGCAGCTTTAAGGGAGTCAGAGAGCATCTGAGGTATCCCCTGAAATAGTTCAACTCCAGCTCACCCAGGGTTGAAGGCGCCCTCAGAAATGACGAGCATGGGTTTGACCAGCATGTTCCCTGTGCAGCTTGGAAACCAGAACCTCAGCAGAAGGAAGAAACTCCCCAATACTTAGTACTAACTTGGGAAGAACCCTAGAGACGAGAGAACCCATAGACTCCATTACTCTGCTGGCCAGCAGAGGCTGCTGGGGAAGCACTGTTCTTCCCGCCACATACCGTGTGATGGATGTGACTCACGTGAGATTCACTCCCACAGGTGATCCTGCAGCTCTAACTCTTTCTCTCTTACCAGAGAAAGCATAAAGGTATGCAAGCCAGGAGCTTGGCATGAATCCATGGTAATTTATAAAATTAGTAAATCAGTGGAAAACTTCAATGCTTTATTAGTAAGACATTATTTGTGACACAGCTCTTAGCAGATTAAGTCACCATATTGTCTTCCAGTCTGAGGTTAAGGCCCCTGGGCATCTGTGTCTCTATCATCTATGCACCCACTCCCTTCACTTCACCCCCACCCAGATCCTAAGGAACAGGGAGAAACTGCATTTCAGGCACCCAGCACATTGATTTGAATAAGGAAGGTTAGGTTCTCTTTGGTGAGAGGCCACAGGACACAGTGGTTAAAAACAGGCTTTGGATCAAACAGTGCCAGCCCCAGCCCTACCTCTCTGGACCTTATTAGCTAGAGTGGCCTTGGGCAAGTTATAGACCCCTCGGCCTCACACTGTCTTTCTAAAAATGGGTTTAAGATTAGTACAAGTAGCGCTAACTCACAGATGAGAAGTAAGAAAGAAACGCACAATGCCTGCCATAGCAATTATTGAGGAGCTATTACCACCATTACATCACCTTCTGTCACCCCCAGACCCCAGCAAGCTCCTTGTGGAGCTCTGTCTTGTTCATTTGGTTCCTTATACTCAGTGTAGTGCCTCGCACAGGACAGCTCTCAGGACAGATTTTGGAACGGATAAACCCATCCACCATCCATCCAGCCAACACGTACCCAGCACCTGCTAAGTGCCAGGTACTATTCTGTGCACTAAGGACGGAGCAGTGAACACAACAGCAGATTCTGGCCTCTGGGTGCCTATGTTCCAGTGGGGAAACGGACAAGCACACACAGTGTGACAGTGGCAGAAAACCGAGCAGGACTAATGGGTTGGGGAGAGCCGGTGGTGAGGGAGGTTGCCCTTTGGTATATGGCAGGTGGTCTCTCTGACAAGGTGACATGTGAGCAGAGACTCAGAGGAAGTGAGGGAGCAAAACGCACGAATGTGTGCAGGGCAGTGCCCGGCCTAAGCCAGCATATACTTGGCGGTTCTGAAGAACAAGAGTGGGTGTAGTTGGAGCGGATGAGCGAAAAGGCTTTTATCTCCTTTTCTACTGGATTAAAAATGAGCACAAAACACAATTCAGTAAATGAAAAAGATGTATTAAAATATTCACAAAAGTACAAGTGAAAAAGAAAACAAAAAGTACTAATGAACTTGATGGTTTTTCCCTGGCTGGCTGCATCTCCATTGAAAAATGACAGACAGTCTGGAAGTTTGATCTCCAGGTAGTCCCTTTTAGGTGCTCCCTTACAAAAACCACATGTAATTTTAAGAGGTCCCATTCTGCCAATAACAAGGGCAGCTCTGCCATTTGGAGGCAGCCCCACTGTTGCCATCTGTGGCCAGCGACAGGAATGCTGGGACACAGAGGAAAGGGCTGAAAAGATCCCCAGGAGGTGGCGTGCCGAGGTTAGGAAGCAGCCCCCATGGTGAGGTGCTGTACCCCCGAGTGACAACTTCCTGTGGACAAGCCCATCACAGACGGGACACTGGGGGCTGAGGCCCTCACCAGGGCAGAAGGTCGGGTTGGGGGGAGGGGAGTCTCTGGCACAATGCCAATGTGGACAGAGTCTGAGCTGGTTGGTGGGCAGGCCACGCAGGTGGCAGGGGGCTGGGGAGGGAAGAGAGGCGTACAAGTGCTGTTGGAGGGAGCGCTGGGCTGGAGCTCCAGGCGGCAGCTTCACAGACGTCTGGTCCCCGCCCCAAAGGAGAAATTAGGACTCTTGCTATCAGGAGGTATTAGGAATGTATAGTTTATTCATAGGACCTGTTGAGAAAGGAGAAAAAGGAAAATGCCCTTTTTCTCTGTAAAAAAAATGACTGTAAGGAAACATTACACATATAAATGTACACACTTGGTCACTCAACAATTTGTGTCTTTTCTACCTTAAAAATAGTCTTGGTCAGCTGCACAATTCTTGCAGTGGCAGATGTTCACAAGAGTATCATCATATTGGCATCAGTTTGAAGAATGGTGATAATTCCAACATCCCGCTTCTTCCCGTCCCCAACACATAAGAGAGGTCTTCCAAAGGCTCCCGTAGTTTTCAAAATAGATGCAAAAAAGTTTTAGGATGCAAGGCAGGGTGGACGACTGGGCAGAAATGTCGCAGGGTAGGCGCTCTGCACCCCTCGCTTGTACCAGGCCCTCTGAGTGTGGAAGAGACCGTGAGAGGGCACTGAGCTAGCACCCGTGTGTGATTATAAAGCCCATCCCGTTTACTCACATATAAGTGAGATGTAAGCTGGGGCATTATGGGAGTATCCACAGTTCCTCCGAAAATAAAAGACCACACATATTGGAGAGTTAGTGTTGAAGCTCACACGCCCTTTCTCTATTTTAGCACCTTGTGCACATCTTTAAATCTAAATCCTGCTTTATTCCCTTTATGAATTCTCTTAGAACTCAGCCTTCAAACTCCCTCACAAAGATGACAGAGGATGGGAAGGAAAAGGAAGCAGCTCACAGGGACCTCAAACTGAACGGGAGGAACAGCAGCGTCAGCCGGCCCTGCCTCCTACCCAAGTCCTGTGACTGTCGTGTCACAATTCTTCCGAAATTGGCCTTTCAGACCACTTCAAAGGGAAAAAAAATTCTTTTAAAACAAAATAATCCAGAAAATGGGAGAATGACAACATAAATGAGTGTTTATGGATCTTCACCATGCTTTTCATTCCCAGTAAAAAATAAAAACTCATAGGTTAGAGATGGGGTAAGAGGAAGTCACTGGGAGACAGTGAGTTATTGGCAAGGATACCCAAATTGTCTAGATTTTTCCTTATCTCATTGTTTATCAATTTCATGTAATGGGAGGGAAAAGTGAAAAACAACAATAAAAAACAGTCAACAGAGACGAGATTCCCCACGTGGGAGTGCTGGCCTTACTTGCTAACTTACTCCAGACCCTCGTGCACCTCAGCGGCCGGAGGCGCCGTGTCGCTCTCGTGGCCCATGAGTGAGGCCGCCCCTGGAAGCACGACTGAAGCCTGATAAAGAAGCGGCTTCTCAAGACCCTGGTCCTGGAGACTGCCTCTCTAATCATCCCACTTCTGCCGCGCAGAAGGAGACGAGACTCCTCTCGTTGGCCGTCCGGGGATGCTCACAGTAAGCGGGAAGGACTTCAGCGAAAACCAGAAGCGACAGCTATCACTCTCCGAATGGTAGGGACTCCTCAGGGGAGGCCTGGCTGCTCCACTTCAGTTGTGTATATGATGGAGAAATGCCTCGAAGGGAGAGAGCTCTGGCGCATCTCCTTGCCAGCCTCGCTGGGGCGCAGAGGGCCCAAGCAGGGTGCTCAGCTGTGCGCCAGGTCACCAGGCATCGGCGGCTGCTCGATAGCACTAACAACAAAATCTTGCTATATGAATCCACAAATTGATATGATAAAGGGTGTAATGTTAAAGTAAGTTAACACAACACAGGAAGCAGAAAGCACCCTGTATTTTAGAGAGAGCAACATCAACAAAAACTTCTCAAATTGTCTTCAAGTGGCATAGCTAATGGATATTTTCCAAAAACTACAACCGACAGTTGGTGCTGACACCGGGTTCCAGCCAGTCTGGACACGTATCCGTCACTGTATCTACATTCTCCAACCACAAGAGACGCTAAGACTGGTTAAGCCCTTTGATAAAAAGGCCATGTCTATAGAAATATTAAAAGAGCACCTACTGTCTGCATTAAAGCAAACCATTATCTAAATGATGGTGACAGGAATGTCTCTGAATCTTCCCAGCTGTAAATGACCCTGAACCAAAGTACAAAAACAGCAAGACAATTTATATCTATGTGGAATCACACCATCTTTTCACCATGCAACACTGGCTCCTCACATCAGGAAGATTAAATAGAGTATTTATACATATCCTTTATACACATCTTTTTCTCCCTCTCTGAATAAACACGTGCTTGTCCTCGCCCAGGTTTCCAAGGCCACCTGTGATTACGGGCTACATTTTCTGTACAAGAGTCCAGTCTGGATTTGTTTCTTGCTGAGGAGATGAGCTGGGTCTTTTCTTAATTTTTCCGGATGTCCGCATACACCACAGACTCTGACTTGTTAATCTTGTCACTGTGATGTCCGCCGGAGTGGTCTAACTGCGCATATATGACTGGGCCCTGGAGAAGACAAGCAGAATGAGAGGTCTGGAAAAGCTGGTGGTCCCACTGGGTGCAGGTATAGAAGCAGTAACTACAGCGAGAACGTTAGGCTTCCAGAGCAAAGACTTCCCTTCTTTGAAAGTCCTCAAGGAGACCTCCTAGGAATGATGTGTCCAGGAGCGACTTTAAAATAAGATGGGCATATGTTGGTAATTGTTAAAGCTGGTACATGGGGCTATGTTACATTGTCCTCTCTTTTGTATATATTTGGAAATTTCTATAACAATATAATATTCCTTCTCAGGAATTACTCTTATCTGAATATCTATCACAGGATTCCTCAACCCCTGTAACTGGGATCAGAGTCTTAAGGACTAAGATGGGCACTTCTACCAACCTGAGACCCCAATGAAACCATGAGCTTCAGAACAATACACGTAAGAAACCAACATATTCAGTGCCACCCAAAGATACAATCAATTTGAACTGGTCATTTTATATAAACAGTTACTTTAAAACATTTCAAATATTCTTCCACATACCTACTTATAATCCTTTTAGTCTGATCCCATCATAACCAATAAAAATACTGCTTCTTTGACATCTAAGATCAGATAACTGCTTTTCTTGTTTCAGAATAAAATTCAAAAAAAACCCAGAAAGCCATGATCTATCGAGATAGAAAGGGAAACCTGAGATGGACTGAAGGAGAAGAGATCCTTTCTCGGCCTCAGCAGGAAGGCAGAGAGCTGGTGGGGTCCCACCCAGGAGAGCACGGCTGCCTGGGGCAGGGCGAGGCCTCTCACTCTTGCGGGAGGAGGTCTGAGCAGGGGCTGGGGGTTCAACCATCACACAGGGGGTTGCACTTCATGACCTTTACAGTTCCTCCCAACCCAGAGCTTCTAAAACTGTAAACAACAACAACAAAACCACCCTGGTTTTAAAAGAAAGGTTTAACATAACCCAAAGTCGACTTTTCTCGCAATCCAGGGAAACTCTCCTTAAGAAGCCTAACACTGTGCTTAAGCTTTCAACTTTGAAATCATAAACTCAGTAGCCAAAGGCATGTGGTTTAAAACAAACATCTTACTCCCACCTAGGAGCCCCCATGACTCGCATCTTTTAGGGTGTCACAGGGCTTCTGTGGCGCTCGCGCACTCCGACTTCCACAGCGTGGACAAACCCAGCTGTGGGGCTCTACCATGGTGCAGCTGGGAGTGGGGCAAGAAGTCACACCCGAGGGCTGGACCCGTCTGCTCTTTGGTGGATCCCCTGTCCGAATTCATGAGACTTTCTTCTTGAGGTGGTGGCACTGGTGAGCATAGCCATGTGGCTTCAGGCACGTCTGGAAACCCCTAAGCATCAGTTTCTCTGTCTCTAAAAAGGCACTAATAAAGTGTTATCCCTCTTAGAGTTGTTGTGAGAATTAAGTGAGATGATACCTTAATTAACTTAAGCAGCGTCCCACACATAGCACTCAATACGCATTAGTCATTATTATCAAGAACATCTTCTACAAACACACTTTAGAATGCACCGCAGTGACTGAGGAGTGAATCAAACAGTCAGACTCAGTGGGTCTGTCTTTGGTGTTGTATGTCCATCCTGGTGAATATAACAGATCACACTGTTAATACCAGATCAGAGACCCTCTGTATTCATCTCAGAAAGCTGCATGTTAAATGCGAATTTAAAAGGAAAACAAAAAGAAGTTAAAAAAACCCATTTTCTATCATGAGGAACAGAATGAAAACAAAGTGTTCTCTAGTAAGTTCAAAGAATAGGACAGACCCTGAAATTAAATTATGTGACTTCCTAGGTAATAAAACTTCATATTGTAATTCCTCAAGACTCACCAGGAGTTTCAGGGTGTGTTCACGGGGGAAGGAGTTTATACCACGTGACAGAGTGTAAAAATGGCTACGAACTCTTTCCCTTGCAATATAATGCTCTTCCCAGCAGGAGTAAGTGCCCGCTTCTCCGCCCCTTGAGTCTGGGCTGGTCTTGTGCCTTGCTTTCACCAACAGAAAGTGGCAGAAGTAACACTGTACGAGCTCCACACCTAGACCTCAACAGGCCTCCGAGCTTCCACCCTCTTCCTGATCTCGGGACTCAGACAGCCACGGCCACCCTGTGAAGAAGCCCAAGCTAACTGCTGGCTGATGAGACACAAGGCCCAGCTGCCCTCTTCTTTCTGGCGAGCAGCCTCCTAACTGACAGACTAGGAGTGAGACCACTGCAGAGGCACACGTGAGCCAGCAGAGATCAGCGGGACCGTCCCAGACCAGAAGATCCAGTCACCAACCCACAGAATCAGGGGCCTAAGAAACGGTGGTTGTTTTAAGCCACTGTGTTCCTCAGTGGTTTGTCACACAGCAATAGATAAGCTGAAACACTGTGTGAGCGGAGGACAAAGACAACAGAGAAAGCAACAAAGAAACAACACACAGAATCATCTCTGACTCAGTCAGTAAATGTTAAGACACCAGTACGGTCTTTCGTGTGAGACCGTATTGTCTTTCACGGCAAGAGAACATAACAATTTGTTGAAAGCAGTTGGGAAAACACTGAAGAATAAAAGGAATTCCTTCCTGTTGCTAGATCTGGTTTGCTTCAAACTGCTCACCACTATCCAATGTCCTCACTCTTTCCCCTTTCGAATCTAACAGGCTCCTAAGGTCAGGGCCTTTGTTAATTAACTGCCTAGAGTGGTCGGTCCTCGGCAGGCTGTCGGCGCTGGAGGGAGGAATGGAGGAAGTGATGGATCCAGAGGAATTCTGGGGCCTGAGCTGAGATCCAAGATCTGCTGATGGATCTGGCTCAGTGTAGACCAGCGCTGTGAAGTCTGGTTCTGGGGAATATTTGAAAGCTGAAGGTACCCTGGGTCTCCGTGGAACATGCCTCAGGATCTTGACTTTGAGGGCCAACGAGCCCAGTCAGAACTTCAGGCGGATCCAGTGAACCAAGATCAACCTGGAAATGAACCCGCCACTGCTAAGACACTCACTTTTGGGCATGCGAGAATTAAACCACCACCGCCGCCACCCACGTCAACCTAGCTGTCTCTCCTGTACATCTCGGCACCCACCCTCCCCACCCTCCCCTTTTTTGTTTTTGGTTTTGCCATAACGAATTACAAGAGCCAAGTGAAAAACTGCCCTGGATATATACTTTTTCCAACTATTTACTAAACAAACAGTCCATAACTACTGAAAATGTTTCAAGAAACCAACTGCTTGACCTAGGTCTATTTTAGTTCCAATTAGAGGTAAAAATACCTCTGAAGTGCAGCTGAGTGAAATTCACTCCAATATAAAAACATACTGGTGAAGGTGTGGGGAGAGGGCCCCGGAAGGGCGGGTCATGGAAGAGTGCGGAGCAGCACTACCTGGAAAACAGCTTCACTGCTCAGAAGCTGTTCTGTTCTCTCTGAAGGACACTTGCCGTAGCCTCTGCAGCTGGTCCTTCAGGCATCAGAGGAGTCCCTCCTGACACCCAGCACAGGGATCTCCAAGGGAGCACCTGCTTTCACCACGGCTTCACCGAGTGTTCACAGAATACCTCTCTCAGTACTTATTTCACTGCGTTTTAAAAGCTAAATGCACGGGCAGGCCCAGGGGCACAGCGGTCAAATTTGCACGTTCCACTTCTCGGTGGCCCGGGGTTTCCCTGGTTCGGATCCCGGGTGCGGAGACGGCACCGCTTGGCAAAAGCCATGCTGTGGTAGGCGTCCCACGTATAAAAAGTGGAGGAAGGCGGGCATGGATGTTAGCGCAGGGCTAATCTTCCTCAAAAAAAAAAAAAGCCAAATGCAGCTGTGAAACACAGCTACATATTATGACTGTCTCTGAGATAAATGAGACTAACATCGATAATCAAAATGGAGTTGACAAGAACTGGACAGGCAGGATGGAATGAGCACAGGCCTCAGAGCCAGACAGATCTGAGTCTAACAGCAGCTCTGCTGCTAAGTGCTGCCCTCGACCAGGTGACGCAACCTAGCTGAGCCTCGCTTTCTTCTGTGTAAAACAGACAATAAAAGATCTTACCTGTGGGCGGCTGTGAGGACTAACTGAGGTAACGCACACATACACACGTCTTCTCAAAACAGTCCCACATCTCTGTACCGTCGCTGACAGATCCAGAGCTATTCTAGTCAATTACTGCTCTCCAAAACACGCCTGCCTTTTGCATACAAAGCATTAACCATTTCCAGAAAAGGATCGAAAAACCAACTCTTCATAAGACATATACCCAAAAATTATTTTAAACCAACGTCAGTCAAAACTAAGCTTTACAAAGAAGGACTTTACTTATCTTTTAACTCCAGGGGTGCATACCTCACACCCTTTCCAACCCAATCTCCACCCCGCTTTGCTGGAAGAACCCTAATTTGGTTCCAGTGCTCACCCTCCCTCTGCTCAGGTAAATGACCTTGGTCTCCCCTGTCCCCAGGGGCGAAGCCAAGTCATAACTCCTGTCCCCTTGCAGATGACTGAAGAGGCATCAGCATGTGACCCACTCTGGCCAATGGGGAGAAGTGGGGGCAGTCTGCTGGGGGGCTCCTGGTAAAGCTTTTCTTCCAGAACAAAAACTGCACGGGAGAAGACTCAGCAATTCTTCCAGTTTCCTGTTTTCATGTGCTGCCTGAAACCGTGGCAGCCATTCTGCAGCTGAGGGAAGGAGCCTGAGAACAAAGACAGTACGCAAAGGATGAAAGAATAAGATGGAAAGAACTTGTGTCTGTAATGACATTGCTGGGCCACTGAACTAACGAACCCAGAGGTGCTCTGCTTTGGGACCTCCTGCAAGTTAATAAACCTCTTATTGTTAAAGCTACTTTTACTTAAGCCTTCCAATCATAACAAAAATAGTGACCAAAGAGAGACGAGTAATATAGCAACTTAACGTCCTGTCTGGGCACTATGCGTCACCTTTGTAAACCTCTTAGAGCACTAGTATTCTTTCTCCTCTTGTGATAAAGTAACCTGGAGTTATTTATTCATCCAAATAGTTAT